AAGATTTGTTACAGATTGCTAAGCCACTAAAACTAAAGGATTTTCGCAGCGTTTTCCATGGATTTGTCGTAATATATATGATGCGTATTGGATAACAAAATCATAATACTCGAAGCCAAAGACTATGCCCTGACTATGCGTAGCCTAGTTACCACTTTGATGGGCGGCAAGTCGCATATTAGTGTTGACCTCATCAGACCTTCTACAGAAAGTTCTAATGAATGCAGCTGCAGCTTGGCGAAATGCTCAACATGCTTGCAACTAATTGCCAGCCACTTGCAACTAGATGCGGCAAAACTAAATGCAAAGTTTGCGCGTAATGAAAATAACATAGCACACCTTCTGGCATAGCCAAGGCTGTGCACCTGCAGCAGCAGCAGCAGCAGCAGCAGCTTGCTATGCGTTTTGTCTAAATGTCTGTCAGTCATAAATAACATCAATTAATAGCCAAGCCGCAGGAGCTGCAGCTGTAGCAGGAGATAAAGCTAATTGAGTGCCGCAGCAAGGCTGAGCAAATGCCAAAAACTTTGCGTAAGCTAAGCGGCAAGCCTGGCGCACTTAACACGCAACAACAACAAGTGCAACAACAACAGCAACAACATCAACTTATGCTTAGCTGCTGCATGTTCACTTGCCCTAAAATCTAAGCTAATTAGTTGCACTTAAGCGTGCACGCTTAGACGTCGCTTAGTGGCTCTAGCCACGCCCACCAACCACCCACACCCAACACCTGCTTGCGGCACCATTTACCTTTTTTTGTCTAACAGCCACAAATGTTTAGCATACTTTTGGCTCTTAAATATATGTAATTGCAGTTGTTGTCGCAGTACAAAAACGAAGTGAGTCATAGCAGGCGGGTTGGCACGACTGCACAATGCTCGCTCGGAATTTGACAGCCGCTGAAAGTTGAATTCTTTAATATTTTATTTAATATTGATTTTTAAATGCTTATCAGTAAGTTCTATTTAAAGTATGGTCATCCTAATTTTAATACTTTTGTATTGGATATATATATTATAATTCGATAATAACCATTTGAATATTTGTTTAATGCTTATAGATGATATTGAGTATGTTTCATTAAAATATGGTCACCCTAATTATGAGGTTGGGCTCAAATTTCTTCTTTAACACACTGAGTACTTTTGGTATGCCTCTATCTCGCTCGCAGACGCCTTTCACAGAGTTTTATTAAAAATATGGTAGCCCTAATTTGCACACTGTAATCGTTGTATATTTTTCGATGCGTTAAGATTCCCTTGAATGCTTTTTCATTTGTTTGTATCTTTTCAGTGAGATTTATAAGAAATATGGTCACTCTAATTATGATATTAATGTGGGAGAAATGCCATTTTTGTGCTAGAAACGTTCAACACACATTATATTTATGAATACATGAAAAGATCCGAAATATATAAAGAAATATTCCACTATGTTTTCCATAGACTTTTCCTTGACTGAGCTATGATACTTGGATAACATCAATCATAGCTGTAACCCAATATGGTCAACTTCACACACTCGCTGAGCGAGTATTGCCAGAGGTAACAAAAATTCGTCTTTTTTCTTGTTTTTGGGTTGCGCAAGCGACGCACAAATTGTCAGCAGACCGCAAAACATGCGAACAAAAAAGCAACATTGTTGCTGTCATTCAAACACACCCACACACACACCCATACACACATACACACACGTAACGTTGCCCTGGCAGACAGGCCTGTGTGTTGGCCAGCTCTGTTGCCTGTCACATCATCGAAGCGTAAATGAGACATTTGCGACGCTTGTTTAATTAAAATAAATTTTAATTTAATCAAAAGTTGTCTCTACCCAACAACAACAACCAGAACAACAACAATCCATAACACCGGCTGGCACTTAACATTAAAATTGTTGGCATAGTTTTTGGGCTTTCACATTTGGTGGCTTGCACCCCTCCTTTGAGTGCCGCTCTGCTCTCCTCGACTATCTCCTGCCAGATCTCTTGTCTATACGTGCGCCTTAAATAATTGCTTAAAACTCGTCTATTGTCTACGTGTCAATTATAGAGGTGTCAATGTGGGCGTGGCACTTAATTAAATTCTTTAGCACACGTTTGATTAATTGTTAGTTGCGAGCATTTCGTGTTATACAACTTTAACGATAATTGCACAGGCGCCTAATGGATAAAACATGTATTTCAAATTTATAAATGAGAAGAATGTAAAAGACAAAAAAAGTTGATTTGATAAAATTTAAATACACTTCCAGAGATGTTAGATAAGTTAAAGATGATGAGAGGAAATAGAAAAAAAGAAACTGCCTTTTATTAATAAAGCCTTAAAAAAGACAAGTTTTATAACTTAATATATACGACTATGGACAAATAGTTAACTATAGTTAATAATAAGTTTATTAATTGACAGGACAACAAACTCCAGTTGAAGAACCTTTAAGCCTTTTGTGCTATGGATACCCCAAAGCCAAGTTAAATTCAATTATTTATTGTTGTAGAACAAGGGAAACTTTTTAGTTTTAGTTTTGTTGTGTTTGTTAAAACAATGCCAAAGAGTTTTATTGTTTGTGCACATTCAAATGCAATAAGCATACGCCTTCTGCATGTGTGAGTGTACATATGTGTGTGCGTGTGTCTGTCTCTGTGTGTGTGTGTGTGTGAATGAAGCAATTCAATTAAATTGCTTGCTTAAAAGAAAAGTTTGTAATTTAATTTGGCCCCGTTTCGTCAGACGAAGTGAAGTTCGTTTGTTGCCATTGCCATTGTCATTGTTTCAATTTATTTTTGCGCGCGCTCTTTTTTTTTATTAGATTGTGTGAAAGCGACAGTACGCGACGTGGCCAACGTGACGTATGAGTCATATGAAAAGCCAAGCAGCAGTGGCAACAGTGGTACTGTCAGAGCTCAGACCAATTGCCAAACATAAATGCAATTTAAATCGTGTGCCCAACAAATGTTATTACAATTAAAAGGAGTGCAACAATAACAACAACAACAGCAGCAACAGCTGCAGTTACTCTGGCCAAGCTGCAGACAAAAAGCGCTGCGGCACCCATGAAAAATGCATATCTGAGCTTAACCGAAAAATAAACAAGGCCAACCAAAAAAAGCAGCCAACAACATGCCCCAACATGTGGCAACATGCCATTTTTTTTATATTTTTCGTATGCTCGCGCGCTGAGCCGAAAAGTATGCAACAATAAATTTCGCTGCTATGCGCGAAACAACAACAAATAAAAAATCGAAATAAGAACAAATAAATTTGTTGCAAAACTATAAAATACACTTTGGCCCTGCCAATTTTCTATCAATTTGAGGGTGAGGCAAATGTTTGCAATTGCGCTTTTGTCTAGCTTAAATGGCAGCCACTTTGATGGCTATGCCACCAAAATGTGCCACGATGTCTGTCTATGTGTGTGTGTGTGTGGCAATCAGGCCGAAAAAACTAAAATTGAATAGCCAGCGGCAACTGTTTATTGCTAGCAGTTTAATCAAACATTCTTTTACTGGCAGACAAGCAAATGTTATGGAGACTGCACAAATGCTGTTAGTTAACAGCATTGGTATCTGTACCTGTATTTGTGGTTGTGCAACGAAATATACAAACAAAAGACCACTTGTCTCGGTTGCCATGAGATTGAGATACCTGCACCTGCATTTTATTGCTGTCATCTGCAACGCTGCTCTGACAAAAATCCAAGTTGAGTGCATTTTTAGATGCATTTTAGAATTTCATTTTGCATTTTGTATTTTACAATTGTCGCTTACTTTGCTGCTATAATTACCAAGTGCAGTTGGGGTATCTTATCTATGACATATCATATTAATAAACTAGCATTTTATTCAGGTTAATAAAATATTATTGCATCCGGTTTGCTTAGAATCAAAGTCAGATCTCTAAGCAACAAAGTGTTTCTTCAATCTCTTTTGGTTTAATGCTCGATTAACTATTAATCGAATTTGTTGTCTAATACTGGAACTGGAATAATATATATCCTTAGGTTAACAGAGCCAGATCATTTGATAAATAACTCACTTTCTTGCGATATCTTTTTGGCTATCGACTTAAAGCTTTAATTTTCCAACACTGTTTGGAAAAGAGAAACTGTTAAAGACTTACAGAATGTGTTCTCGCTCAGTTTTAGTTACGCTCAAAACATACAATTTTAAAACAGGGTATATGATACTCGACTACACTCAGTAAAATTCTGTACTGCATGCTGATAAATATCATCTCTGATTTACTTGACAGCGGCTTTGCTGCTACGGATTCAGTCGGGCGTGGCAAGTGCTCTGTGTTTGCCGGGAGGCCATAAGAATGCCGCAAGCAGCAGAAACCAAAGCTGTTGTTGGGTAATAACAAAAATATGATAAGGTTTAACGCTTGAACGAAACCATTTCAAGATATTTCAACCAGACGACACTGTCACAACCAAATAGAATGTATGTGGTTTACATGATATAACCATAGGCTGAGTTTCGAGTGGTGCCCCCAGAAACCTAGTTATAAAAATGCATGTACCTTTAGCGAGTGCCTACTGTGGCTCGGCAATGACTCGTTTAGTTATGAAATATGAAAATGCATAAGCTGCAAGTGCCAGCCACGAGGGATTAGTGACAAAACCAAAGCAAAGCCGCAAAGCGAAAAGGGATTTTCATTTTGTATCAAATTTCCATGAAACAAGCTTGAGCGAGAATGCTAGAACACAGGTAAGAATGTGGAATCTACTTGAATTTAAAATACCCTGTACTTAGTGGCGCTGACACTCCGTAAATGATTAGACATTATATAATAGGGATTATTGGGGGCATATAAAGTAAAATTGAAATAAATATTCAATCAAAATATATATCAAGAGGATACACTTATAGCAAAAGCGTTCACTTAATTTTTATAGGGTATATAGCGAGATTCGTTCAGAGTGCAATGCACTGGAAGAGCGGGGATAGGAGAGTCATAAGGTCCATAACAATATGACAATAGTAAATTGCAAATAATTAAATGCGAGAACTGCAAGTTCGCCAAGTCAATCGAAGCGGACGCAGACGCTGAACTGTGCAATTGGCAAAGGCAGCGACCGACTGAGGCAGCCGCTGCGATTGCTTGGGGGGCGATAGCGCACAGCCTCCGCACATCAGTTGCTCGAGGCACACGCAGTTGTTTGGGTTATCTCTGAGTAGCTCTGTCTATCTATCAAGCAAGCGGCATGGAGAGTTTCTACTGGCGCAATAAGGTGGCGGTCATCACGGGCGCTTCGGTGGGCATTGGCGCTAGCATAGCTCTGACTCTGGCCAATGCGGGCATGGTGGTGGTGGGTCTGGCCAGGCGCGTTGAGCTCATTGAGGTGAGTGCTCACTTCAAGTTTTGTAAGACATCATTACATCTGACCTGTTATGGCAGGCTCTGAGCGCTCAAGTAACGGGCGAGGGTAAGATCTTTGCGCGTCAATGTGACCTCAGCGATGATGAACAACTTATCAGCACCTTCAACTGGATACGCGAGCGTTTCTTTTGCATCCATGTGCTCATCTGTAACGCGGGCATACTTAAGGCTAACTTTTTGAGCGGTAAGTGCAACGAGCGCGTGAGATAAATCCAATACGAATGCTTTTCACTAGAATCGCCCACCAAGGACATAAAGGAATTGTTCGATTTGAATGTTGTGGCCACAGCGAGCTGTTTGCGAGAGACCTTAAAGCATATGGCTGCAATAAAGGTGCGCTGTCATATTATCGTTATAAATAGGTAAGTTAAACCAAAGCACAATTATATACACAAATTTCAAATCAGAATATTGCTAAATTCCAAATTGCTAGTGTTGCTTAACGCTCAATCCTATATATGTCAAAAGATAGTATTTCCGATAATCATCATATTTGCTATCGGAACAAGTTCATATAATTAGCCTATCTTCAACAACAGTGCTGCCGAGTGGGCAGTGTAAATTATAATTATTTGTATTGAATTGGCTGCGTACTGTTAGATTGTTGGCATAGCTCAATAATTAAATAGGGCATACATTGGGCAGGCTGCTAGCTCACAAAACCAATACACTCGACTACAAATGACAACAAATTTGCTTTCAAATCGCCTGATTGCACTACAACATTAGCACAATTATCGCTTAGCTTAGTTTGAAGAGACGAGTGTGTTATCGTTTTGTAAATGATGTTTGTCCAGCTAAAATAGCAAAATGGGTCCAGTGGGCTTGAATTGGTGGTCATGCATCAGCACAATGCACTTACGAGCACACACACACACACACGCACAAATAGCTTGAATATGTATTAGCTTTATAGCAATTGCTTGCAATGGACAAACATCAAGCCAAAGTTGCCTTGAGTGCCAAAATTATGCTAGTATTTAGAGTATTATGCATGTGTCCATGCGCGAGTGTGTGTGTAAGGGCGTAATGAAAGTGTAAATAGTGCGTCTGCATTGCCTTCACTGGCTAGTGTTGAGTAGCGCATACATTTTTCATTGGCTTCGTTTCGGCATTGTGTGGAGGCGAGACGATTGCGCGTTATTTAAATTAAATTAAAAGCCATTGCACAAAAACAAACAAACATTTATTGATATTTAAATGTTGCAATCGCCGCAACGACTGTTTCCGTTATTGTTGCTGTTGTTGTTGTTGTTGCTGCTGCTTTGTGGTTGTCCTGTGCATTAAAAGCTTTGCATTTGCAGCGCGATGGCGAAAGTGTTTGCGCAAATAGCAACTGCAACAGCAACAACAACAACTCAATTATTCAACATAATTAAGTATTTTGCATTAAGCAGCCTGCATACAAATGTATTCATATGTTTGTATTTGTGTATGTCTGCTGATTTTTATTTCATGAATTCCAATGGGCAACGCTTTTAAAATCAAAATGCTGCGCATTAAGCCGCCTCGTTTGCTGCGCGCTTTGGCTTTAAATTAAAATTGAATTGATCTCGTTTAAATGCAACTTATTTGTAAAGCACACACAGACACACATATACATACAAGCAATCATAAACGTATTTAATTAAAGATAAATTGAATAATTGCGCATACGCACGGAGCGCCTGTCCCAAGTGCACAGGTAAAAACCAACTTTAATAGGTTAAATAATATCAAATTAATGAATATAATTAATGTCAAAGCAGCTCAGAACAAATCACAAAACAGCTCAAGTCAGTTCAAAGGCTTTAGTGTCAATGTCAAAGTGAATTTCCTTAGCAATTCAGTCCATTTCTGAACTTTAATTCGAACTTTACTTTTGTTTGCCATGAATTTGCATTATTGTCCTCAAGAAGTGCGTTTAATTTGCAGTTTTAATGAGCCAAGAAGAAAAGCAAACGCATACATTGAATGACAGCCGTAATCAAATACAATTGAGCAACTGCTCAACGCTGCGCCACAAAAGAAAACTCTCGAGCATCAGCAGTAATTAATGAGAAAATTGATATAATGCAGCTGCAGGCCGTAGGCGTACTTTATATATATATATATATATATATATATACTTATATATATAAAGGAGAATAATAATTGAGCACGCCGCAGATGCGTTGCTAATGAACGCCTATCGAGTCGGAGACCTGGCCTCAGCTTGTGCGCTTCAATATGCATTGCGCTTAATGTCAATGAAATAATATTCAGACTTAATTAATTAAAAGTGCGTGAACAAGACCGGGCTGCTGCTGGTGCTGGCCATGGGCTGTCTCCTGTTGGTACCGCTATTTGCACTTAATGCTGCAGCCTCCACTCTGTCTCAGACACTGTTAAATTAAAAGAAGTTTACGCAATGTTTGCATAAAATGCACAACGACAGCTTTCGAGTGATGGTCCTCTCCGGTCCGGGCGCCTCTTTCACACGGTGAATGCAACGACAGCTGTTGACCATCATTTTACTCGTGAGTGATTCGACAGTTGCCAATCGCCTTTGTTGTTATTTCAAGTGCTTACATTGCGTAGCAACGTTGACTTTATTCATTTCCCCATTGCGTGCCTATGCTCACTCTCTCGCTCTCACTTTCTCTCTCTCTGTCTCATTTGCTATGTTGATTGACAACAGCGTGCTGGGGCATCGCATACCGGATGTGCCTGTGCCCTTATTCAGCGTTTATCCGGCCACGAAGCATGCAATTACAGCACTTTGCCAGACGGTGCGCCAGGAAATACATTTTCTCAAATTAAATATTAAATTAACGGTAAGTTAAATGCACTGCATACATTGCACCCGACCGATAAGCGGGATGGGCTTTGGTTTGCCCCGCATGTTGCAAGCAAACAAATGTGACGCTGTCTTCTTTCGCCCGCACAGAGCATCTGCCCCGGCATGGTGGACACAGATTTTCTGAATGTTTACTCACAGGCTGTCGATGCATTGCCCAAACTCCAGCCAGAGGATGTGGCCAAGGCAGTTCTATATGCCCTCGACACTCCCGACGGTGTACAGGTGGAGGATATTATTCTGCAGAAGATGCGAAATGTTGAATAAAGCAAAATCAGTTTAAATTACAAAACAATATTCACTAAATATTCCACAGTTGTCTATACTATATTACTCTTGGTATAATGAAACAATAAGCAATCACTTCATTAAATAAAACTAGCAATTCGCATTTTATTTGGTTGATGAAATCAGTTCTTAATGCTTTGCTACTAAATATGTGTACATACTTCAATTTCTGATTTAAAAATAATTTTGAAAAGACGGTTCCCGCGTTAATTTTTTCAGTGCTGTAAATCGATCGAAATTTATTGCACTGGCTCCAATGAACGTTCATTGTCGAGCTGCAGCTAGTTTAGCACTATCGCTGGTACAATCGGTATGCATAAAAGTCATCGATAGCACATCGATAAGGATATGAATAACTTTTCCTTTGAATATGAAATTAAAAGCAAAAGCTATATTATTTGATCATCAACATACATATAGTTGCAATTTGGTAATATTAAAAGCTGGTTATGCCTAACAACAGCTGAGCCACAAACATTTTGTGCCCCACTGTTAATAACAGTGCGATTAAATGTTAGCCATCTGCTACTGCACATACGTAACGAACTAGATGAACAGCAATCGCTTGTTCAGTTTAGTGAGTCGTTCGATTGAACTTATTCCGAACGATTCGATACAACGTGTGCAGAAAAAGTAATAAATAATAATAACTCGTAAATAATAAACGAAAAATGCATTTAACGCATCCACATAGTGTTACATATAATACAGCGATCCATTCTAGTTAGTGCTGCAAAGTAACGTGGCAGCAACACGAGAGTAACAGGCAATCAAATGCATAAAATAAGAGGCAACTATAAATGTGTGTCCACGTAGTGCAAAATCAGATTGTCATGTCTGCTGTTTTTTTAATACATATGAGCCCAGACCAATAAGTGGTATGGCGCGAGCGTCAAGGGTGCGGCAAATTGAAATGATTGTGGGGCACACAGAGTATGCCTAGCTCCAAAGTGCGAGATTACGAAATTCAAATAAATGAAAATTACAAAGTTTTATGCGTGTTAACCACGTACATATAATACAGCGTACACGCGCACACACACATGCAGACAAAGCCGTAGCCGCTCACAACCATTTATATATATATATATATATACAACCGCATACTTGTAAAGAAAGAAAGTGTTGCCCAGAGAGCTTGACAAAGAACTGAAACAGGTTTTTAACCTAATTATAATCGGTCAGACATTACTTCCTGAACGCAATAACTGTCGCGGTATTTTCCGAATGTATTTATGTCAAGGCTGCTTCGAAATTAATACATTTAAAAACTAGCATTTAGGTTACGAGCGATAGCAAATGGATTATGAATAACAAAAAATAACAGTGTCGCAACTGAATGTTAAACTAGTCACGCATATTTACTTAATTCATCTACATTTCGTTGATTTGTACGAAAATTATATGCTTTTTTGTTTATATATATATATCTATTTTTTTTATAGTATCGCACCGCACTTCCCCCCAATAAACACACATTCAGCCTTTTTGCTACTGAAGCTCACTCCCGCAAGAAACCACAGCACAAGCCAAGATGTTCATTTGGGACTGGTTCACGGGTGTTCTGGGATACTTAGGTAAGTGTCTGGGCCAGTTGGAATTTGACATTGCTACATGAGCGATTTTCTTGACCGTTTGCCAACAAAACAGAAACAGCAGCAGCAACAACAATAACAGAAGCAGACAACAAAAGCAAATGAAATCGTTTAGTTGTGTGCGTGTGTTTTGGTGAAGCTGTTGATTTGGAATCAATGTCGATTTCGTTAAGTCGGAACTGAAACGCAGTTTAACCTTAACATTAACATTGACAAGCAAACGGCCAGGGCTTTTGTTGAAATATATTATTAATCACTAAATCAACATTTACAATGCGCAGGTCTATGGAAAAAGTCCGGCAAACTATTGTTCCTTGGCTTGGATAATGCTGGTAAGACCACATTATTGCATATGCTCAAAGATGATAAGCTGGCGCAACATGTGCCAACACTGCATCCAAGTAAGTAGAACATTCACCTTCTCCAGATTATGGTATAACTCATTTATATTCTCTTTCCCTGATTTGCATAGCATCTGAGGAGCTGTCCATAGGAAATATGCGTTTCACTACATTCGACTTGGGTGGCCACACTCAAGGTAAGTAAAGCTCCGTAAAGAGATAAAACATTCAGAAGATATATTAAATATTCAATCATCTTAGTTTACTTATTAAAATCATAAATATTGCGCATGTTAAAACGTGCTCTTCGTCTAAATATAGCACAAAGCGCATAGACATACATAGCACAAAGACAACAAAATAATCAGCGTAAAATATAGCGCAGGGGGTCACACACACATACTCACACCCACACGCACACATATACTTGCAAATAAAAAACACGTTGTAAATTTTGCCATTTGTTGCGTTCACTCTTCAGAAACAATAACAACAACGTCACAACGCAGTGCTTAAAGATATGTAAAAATATGTCATCGTTAATCTATATGCAAAACAACAAAACAAAATTGTATATATCTATATACGTGATTATCTATAGGTAGTAAACTAATTTATATATTAAATATTTATATTTTACTTACACTATCTACTGTTGGCTATATTGTAAATTCCCTACTGTGCCTACAAAATCAGATCGAGATTTGTCTAGGGAAGTAATAAATCAGGAAAGAAAGGTTTTCACATTTTCTCATCTAAACTATTCAGAAAATTACGTACATATTATTAGAAAAGTTGAGATGATTGCAGAATTAACCGAGTTTTTGTGAGTTTTTCGACAAAATTTTTATTCGGGCATCTCCTAACCAAAATAGAAATAATATAAAAGATTATTTTTGATTTCACACCATAGATGGGATATAAAAATGATTTAAAATAAATGAGCGTGTAAAGAATTTTCTTTTAAAAATACTTAAATTTGTCAACAATTTAAATTTAAAAATATTAAATAATTATTTTAATTTGGAAATATCATATTTTTAACCACTGTGCTTAGAATAACTGTTACAAAACACTATGTCAAGCACACGGGCTAGATAGCAAAAACAAATATAATAACTGCAAATTATCAACAACGAATAAAAGCACTTGCATGTACATAGTGCACAAATATATATTTATATATACATTTATAAGAAATGTTCAAGTTTTTACGTATAAACGAATCCATATAATCATGCTGGTAAGCGTTAGATGGCGGAAACTGTCTAGCGACTGGCAAATATATATATATATATATTGCATGTGTATATGAACTTTTATTGATAAGCGAGGTAGGGCGAGGCGCAGCTCATATATACGTCTAATATGTACATGTATATTAAAAGCCTAAAGAACGAAATGACGCTGACAGCGTTACGCGTGATTTTTAGACAGAGCTGTGTTTGTTTTGAGTGAAAGACGCTTAGATTGAATGATACTACAATCGTGACTGATGGCAATGGCACCTCCATTCTGTTCAGATTGATTAATAACTGGCAATGTTTGGTTTCTTGCAGCGCGTCGTGTCTGGAAGGATTACTTTCCTGCTGTGGATGCTATCGTATTCTTGATAGATGCCTGGGATCGCGGTCGCTTCCAGGAGAGCAAAAACGAACTGGATTCACTGCTCACAGATGAGGCGCTGTCCAACTGCCCGGTGCTCATATTGGGCAACAAAATTGATAAGCCTGGCGCGGCCAGTGAAGATGAGCTGAGAAATGTGTTTGGACTGTATCAGTTAACGACCGGCAAGGTATGCATTTACTTTAAATATATAATTAAATCAATTGATCTACATTTGTTGCTTTCAGGGCAAAGTTGCACGCTCGGACTTGCCTGGTCGCCCGTTGGAATTGTTCATGTGCTCTGTGCTGAAGCGACAGGGCTATGGCGAAGGGTTCCGTTGGTTAGCGCAGTATATTGATTAAGTCTTGATTAACATAAACAAACAATAACAAACTGAATTCAACAACAACCAATCACACAACAAAACACAAACCGAGAACTTGGCTAACAACAAGATTTAAATTCAGAATGGACAAAAACAGAAACAGTAAGCAATTCGAAGCTGCAAGCGCAATATTCAATTTTTACACAATGATAAACAATAAATCGTAAATATAAAAACAAAAAGGAACTAAATTAAATAAACAACATAAATAAGAATGAAAAGCAAAACAATATTTTTTAAAATCACAAAGTGCAAAAACTTCTCAAAATTCAACACACGCAGGTCGCCAAAATAAATGATAATAATAAAAACAAGAAACAACATAAAAACGGGATAACATGAGGAATGCGTGGGAAAAGCTTTTAAAAATAATTATGTATGAATAAAAAATTGTAGCGAATTAAAGGTGATTTTTTAAGGACCATGTGCTTGCTTATGTTCCATAAATAAATTTTATTATTTAAACATTTGAAAATGTCTGTAATATTTTTGATTTCGTTTCTTCAATTGCCATCAACTTTTTCACGAACAATACGATTTGTTGCTCTACATCTTTTAAGTTGCATGGAAAACAATTTATAAAAACGCAAATTCTAAAAAAAATAATAAAAAGAATGATAAAGTTTTGTATAAAGAAAATTGAATGGTTTTTAAAATAATTCGAATATATTCCAGCAGTAAAACACAATTTAGGTTTTTACAAATATATTGAATTTATTTATGTTGCATTCAAGTCGTTGGCTAATTATCCTTGACGGATCAACTGGCATTTAAATAAAAAATCGACTATTTGGAGCTAATATTAAGCGGCTATCGGGCCAAGCCGTTGATAATTCAAAGTTTTATTTTACAGCAACATCGTTAATTACTCGACTATGTAGAAAAATATTACTAAAACATGCAGAGCTGATCAGGGTCTGGATTATCCCTGCTAGCTGTGGCGGCAGGATGGGTGGCCACACGGACCTTGACAACGTGGCATACGACGACAGAAAAACAGTTGACGATGGAACAGCCGCAGCAGGAGGCCATTCCTCTTCGCTTTGTGCCGACATCAAGAGCGCGATGAGGCCGTGGCACTGCCGCCATCTCCGCTCCCGCCCATCCGCCGTTTCTTCTTTTTCTTTGCGGTAAGACTTTCTTGGCCGCTATCAGTATTTGAGTCGGCGTCAGCCTCCGTCTCAGAAGATGAGGAACTGCTGGACGAGGAGGATGAACTTGAATTGCTTGAACTATCGGAGGCAAAGCCAGTGCTCTCATTTATATTAATACTTTCGGCTATCTGAGCCAACTCCGGACGCTGATCGCGCAGCACACGCAACCATTTGCGCGACAACTTGGGTCGACCGCGCACCGTCTTATGCCACACACAAGGAAAGTTCGTAAAGCTACAGAAGTTCTGCGTTATCGCAATGGTGTCGTCCAAGTTAAGCACAACGTGCCACCATCCACCAGGCACAAATACCGTTTCGCCAGCACACTGAAGTACCTCGATGGGTTTGTATTCCTGCGGCCACGAGGACAGCTGGGTGCGAGGATAGATGGTGCTAAACCAGGTGATGGCCTCGTCTCGCTGCTTGCCTCCCATGGCACTGGTCACCTTAAGCAAATCCTTGGGCGTGTGCGTTGGAAACAAACACCAGCGCTTGTGGCCACGAATTAGTGTATTCCATGCACTAGTACCTAACGGATCTATATGAATGCCGGTGCCTGATCGAGAAGGGCCCATTACGAACCATCGGTATGGCGGACGGCGCTCCTCGCCGCAATACTTGAAGAGATCATCACAAAAATATTTAGGCACCGCATAATCCTCGAGCAGCTTGCGTCGGCGATGATGTTCGCCAAAGCTGCTGTCGAATATGTAGAGCGGACTGTCGTCACGCGTCCCTTTCATATACTCGATATAATATTTCATTTTCATTTTAACGCTGTAGCCTTCATTATCCTCGCCGCACTTGAATTTCTGATTACGATACTTTTTTGCCAGGCGGGAGAGCGTCCATTTTTCCTGCGCCAGCCAGCCGTCAGCGCAGCCAGTTATTATTACCGGCAGATATGGGCGTTCGAACCGTTCAATGAATTCATCACATGTTACAGTTTCATTGTCTATTCTTTCCAGGTTATCCACGAAGTCCCAAAATGGTTCGAACTTCTCAAAATAACGCATTGCTATCCACGCGTTATCTCCATCGAGTTCAGGTCGTGCTTTCCGCTTTACATCACGCGTACGCTTACGCGACCGTTTTGGCAGTTTAAACTCTTCACTCATTGTAGGAATTTTATAAAAATTTATAAAATTGTAATTCGGCAGATGGTGGATGACTTTCTGCACGTCGCATTCGCTGCTAATGCAGATGAGTTGTATTTACAACTATCGATATATATTTCTTTGGTTTGATATCGATTTTTCTTCGTGAAATGACATGAAATTAAAATTTGAGTTTAACAATTATGTCTAAAATTTGAATTACGTTGCTTTATGGTTACAAACTACCTTGGGTAGTAAAACACTTAATTCCAATTTTAATTTTCGTTATTATATTGTTATGGGAAAGTCATCAATGTTATATTTACATATCGTATTCATATATCGATTAATGATTGTTATATCGTTGACCCACTCATGTGACAGAAGTAAAAAATTTTGAGTTTTGTGAAGAAAAATAATGATAAGCCAAGTTGGGAGAGGTACGTGTTTTTCAGAACTTTACCTGGAAGACGACTTAAGTAAAAATTTGACTCTTGCAGAATTATACAAAGTGCCGCATCGCATCTTAGACCATCGAGTATTTGTTAACGGCGAAATCGACACATTCTTGGATAAATTCGAACTAAAACGCAACGATAGCGAAGTCGAGTCACTTTTTCAGGTCACCGAAATTGTGGGTTCGCTGAAGTACGATCTCTCCGAGCGTTGCATTACATTAGGTAACCAAAGTCTTACTGAACTTGCAACAGCTGTTAACAATTTGCTAAACGGCGTTGAAACACTGCTACAGAAAGCCAAAGTTGAACGAGAAGTGCGTATATTTAAACAATAATAAAGGTCTATTTATATATATATAATTTTGTTTGCACAGCCGAGCGTTGAGCTACAGGAGGCAAGACGAGCACGTGAGCAACGCAAAGCTGAGTTTATGAACAATCTGAAACACAATTATCAACGTATTGATAATTCATTCGAGGAAAAAGAGGAGGAAATCGCAGAACTTTATTCGGATTTGCAGCTAAAGTTAAATATTAGCAAATAACTTAATCTACAACATGCTGAAGTCAACTATCGTGGACACTCGCGTTCGTCTCCGGCCATCCAAGAAACTGTTGGACTTATTGGGCGCGCAGAAGGAACACTTAAAAGAGCTGCCAGCCAATTTGGCCAAAGTCCTAGAGAAAAACGGATATAGCATACCAAAAAGTACTCGAATCTTAAAAGACAATGAGATAGTCTGTAAGCGACCACAAATCGATGTTAAGCTGTTGGATAAACTGACTGCAAATTTGCCAGATGTGCCTTCAAAAGTTCAAGAAATTGATGAAATGCCAGAGGAGAAAGAGGAAGAGGCACAAACCCAGCCACTTACTGGCGACTTTTTATATCTGAACGATTTGCACTTTCTTAACTCAATATTAATCGAACTGCGCCAGAAGAATGTAACTAATGTATTTCTATATGAGCTAATTGAAAGCTGCGAGCTTATCCTGCCGGAAAATGAGTTGAAGCCTCGCAATCCGGAGCTGGAAGCGCGTTGTCAGCGCCTGCGCGAAGAGCAACAAAATCGCGAATATCACAAAATGACCAAAAATGTTGATGCTTCACTTAAGCATATTCCAGAGGACACAGTTGCCTATCAATGTGAGTTGACAAATTCTATTCTAAACTCAATTGTTAAACATCGTAAATCTCTCTCTTGCAGTAAAAAGCATTAATAAGCAAATTATAGCTGTGGCCCAGTTCATCTTCTCGGTAGCAGCTGGATTTACTTTTGGCTTTTTTGGTGTCAATCTGATGATTGGTCCATTGCCTTTTGGCTTTCGCATTCTACTGGGCGTCATTGTGGCTCTAGTTATAGCGCTAGCTGAGATGTATTTCCTAGCCAAGAAGCTACACGAGTACGACGAGGTATTGGATGCGCCAAAACGTAAAAATAAAAATTCACCTAAAGTTAGTGGCGTGCAAATGATGCAAAAGCCACATGTTGATTAAAACGTTATTAAGAAAGCTTAATATTAAGTTTCCTTTTGCAATATTTTGGGTTACATAAATAAGTTTTGATTTTAACAGAGGGAAGGACTTTTCGGATATATGATTACGCGTTACACACATATATATACTTATTCGTAGTGGTTTTGTTTGGGGTTTGGATTGTTCCAGCTGTCATCCAAGCTATCGTTGCCGCCGCCGCGACCCAGCACTGCCATTATATATATAAACATAATGAAGGCTAAAATGCCACTGAGTACCAAGAACCAAGTGCGGCGCCAAGGTGGACGCGAGGATGGTGCGTAAAAACGACGCGTCCAACGCGAGAAAAGCTCAGCCGGTGAACGGCGCTGATATTTATTATCATCACGATCGGTGCCGCCAATTGGCGACTGTCGGGGCAGCAGAGGACGCCTGCTGCTAGTTCCTAAAGAAAAGTTGAATATATTTAAGAGAAGCGATTACAAGGTGAGAAGTTTGAACAAACCATGCATGTCACCAGAGCTAGGCGGATTAAAGGCATCCATTAAAAGAACGGAATGTGGACTGGAGCCATCAATGCCCCCATTCGGTTTCATACGCTCACGTTCTCCAGTGGAATGATGATGCACTTTGGTAATATTGGTAACAGCCGACTGGCCACTAATAGCTTTTGCCTTGAAGCTATTGTTTTGTTCATCCGAAAGCTGAAAGTCCATTTGTAAATATATAAGCATTATATATATATGCCCTTTGGTTGGGTGCTTACCAATGCAAGACCCAATCCATTTCGACCCCAGTTCACTTGCGCCAGATATTGTTTGAGTGCATCTGCCACAGGTGAAACCAGATTCGATGTTGGAAAAATTTCCACACTACAACTCGGACATTGGTGGCCACTAGGCGCTGTATTGGCAGGCAGACCGGCTTGGCGTGCATTCAAGCAGTCCCAGTGATAAACATCTAAATGAACTCGTTGAATGTTGATCGATTTTCACAAAACATACAATTATACTTACGGTAGCACACTAAACGCACACATTCACCCTGCTCCAGGCCGGTGCCACAAAGCGTACAATTGGATATATAGTCACTATCACGTAGCCATTGCAAATACGATTGCACTATGCACTGAAAGAGATTGATAAAGTGAAAAATATCTTGGCCAATGTATGAACTTACCTTTGGATGGCTCTGTACCATGCAGTGCTCACAGACATTGACTCTATGCTCAAAGCAAAATTGGTTTGTCACCAAACGTTTTGGACACTTGCACAGTCCCATTGTGGAGGCCGAGTAGTTATTGTCGTTCTTTGCAGTTTATCTTTGTACAGCACTAGAGCTAACAGTCGCAATTCGTATAGAGTTTATCGCATATTTAATGTGAATACATCTAAATTAATTTTAATTATGTGCTTAGCTTTGCTGGAATTTTTGTCGAGACAACAACAGAATCGACAGCCACGTATTTATACTGTTTCCTGGTCGACAATTTTTATCGAGCTCACGATTAATCGATAGACGGGGTGCAATTATTTACTGCGGAAATGGCGAAGGCGCGCTAAGTAAATTTAAATTAACGTAACAGGAATAGAAGAAATTTCAGTTCATTGCATATTTAATCCAACCAATCGTTCATATATTGACAATTTATAGCGGTTACATCACCACAATTGGAGCAATTCTTGATCACAGGGCATATGCCACACGGCATTTGAACCAAACCAGGTGCCGGTAGAGGTAAATTTACCGCACGATAAACGTACGTGCCATCTGATTGTAGAATACGTTCTGCGCTTCCATCATATACAACGGTTTTCAATATTGTCTCTAAATCATCTTCATCCAGATTGACTTTACTAATACCCAAATCTGAAATAAATTTGTGCACTTCCTTCACAGTACAGCAGGACATTTGTTTAAATGCCAGCGGTCCATCACGTTTCTTCTCGGCACCCTCGCGTTTCATCTGAAGAAATCGCAGGCATTGTTGGTTCAGCACATCTACGAACTCGACTTCAAAATCCTGGTCCTGATACCAAGCGCCACCTGTCACAGATCTATCTGCTTCCAAGTTGTACAGCATATAGACTTTCTTTTTGCTTGCCTTTAATATGGTAATATAAATTGATTAATTTTCTTTTTATAGATATCCTTTACTTACGTTCACAGATTTAACGGCTTTAATAAGTTTCTTGGTTTCCAGATTCTTGAGGATTTTGTTTAGTTGCGTCATATTCAAATTAGACTTCATGCGTATATCCCGTATCCAAATTCCTTTGTTGCCGCCCTCTTCAACAATACTATAGACCACCTTTTCTTCATTATCGGCATCCTTGGGCAGTGCACTTTTCTTTTCCGGATCCTTGGCACGATAAATGAGTTTATCTCCTTTCTTCAAAATTTCTATGCTCCCCTGCTTTAACAATACATTCAAGCCCTCAACCCGTGAGCCTGCGGGCATATCTGATAACGCTTTACTTAGGTCATCATTTGTCGCTCCTCCTGGAATTCCTTGGATTACCGCGAGCAACAGTTGAGCGACCTCGGCTTCCATTTTGATCTATAAACGAATTTTACGAAATGTACAATCATTTGCTGCTGGTAGTGAAGTGTGGAGTGTTTTCGAAAAGAGGAGCATCTCTGATATTGTGCTGTTAAGTTCTAGCAACGCATACACGCGAATGTTTTTGTTTTCTATAGCTGAAAAATAATTGTGGTGCTGTAATTTTACATTAACTTACGTTTGTACAAACACAAAATGTCACAAACACACAGCTCTGATGATGAAACTGATTTTAAAGCCGTCAACAGAAATAATTACCAGCGAATTCAGGAAAAAGTTGAAAAAGTATGACAAAAGCGTGCTTTGAACCAAATTGCTTGCCTGCACCACGGACAGCGTCTGTTATTAAAAAGAAGCAGTCTGTTAAGTGCAAGAGACTGTTAATAAAATCAGCTGTCATTGTACTGAACTAAACATATGGCAAATAAAAATAATTTGTTTCCAGATTAATTATGCCGACGGAATCGCGGATGGACGCGAACAAATTTTCCAGAGCAGCTTTGATCAAGGCTATGCAGATGGATTAAAAACTGGCATGGAACTAACAAAGTTTTCAGCTTTTTATGAGACATTTACAAAGGCAAACATTGAAAACAATCTAGCAAAGGAGCACCTGGCATACACGGAAATGAAGCTGGCGAAAGCTACAGATAAAATCCACTTCAAGTATTTAGAACATCAAAGCGAACCACTTAGCATTGTATCCGAAAAACAAAATGCCTATGTCGACAATTTATTGGAACACTGCGCCGATGCACTGCACACAACAACAAATTTGTTCAAATCACAAGCGAAATGATTTGATAGATTAAGATTAACCTGGTTTAATGCTTGTGTGTGATTAGGAATTATAATATATGTTAACTGAAAATTGAACTGACTTATAAATACAATCCCTCGGGCGTGCCTTCCTTCTTGCGATACAAAACGCTCTCCTTTGATTTTTTAAAGTCCTCGTTGGTCACCTTCATGCGACGCTCACGCAGCGCCATCAACCCAGCTTCTGTACAAATCGCCTTAATATCGGCACCAGACAGATCATCCTTTGCCATAATTAACTCATTCAAGTTCACGTCCTCGGCGAGCGTCATGCGCGATGTGTGTATGGTGAAAATGCGGCGCTTGGTCTTTTCATCGGGCAATGGGAACTCAATCTTACGATCAATACGTCCCGGACGTATAAGCGCTGGATCAAGTGTTTCAATACGATTTGTAGCCATGATGACTTTAACATCACCACGAGAATCGAAACCATCTAGCTGATTGAGTAACTCCAACATGGTGCGCTGAATTTCTCGCTCGCCACCTGAATTGGAATCATAACGCTTTGTACCCACTGCATCGATTTCATCTATAAAGACAATGGACGGCGCATGCTCCTCAGCAACGCGGAACAACTCGCGCACCAGCTTGGGACCATCGCCCAAGTACTTTTGAATAAGCTCGGAGCCGACAACACGTAAGAAAGTCGCGGAGGTCTGATTGGCAACAGCCTTGGCGAGAAGCGTTTTACCAGTGCCTGGGGGACCATACAGAATCACACCCTTTGGTGGTTTAATGCCCATTTCTTCGTAGTATTCGGGATGGGTTAGCGGAAGCTCAACAGATTCCTTGATTTCCTGAATTTGCGTGTCCAACCCACCAATGTCTGCATAGGTTTCTTGTGGTGCTTTTTCTAGCTTCATTACCGTGACCATGGGATCTGTGTCGTCGCTCAGGACACCCACTACAGCATGAACCTTGTGATTCAAAAGGACAGAGCAGCCAGGCTCCAATTGGTCCTTGTCGACGAAGGACAGAATGCTGACATAGTGCTCGGAGCCCACAGATGTCGACACAATTGCATGATTGTCATCGATAATCTCCTCCAGATTGCCCACAGACATTGGTGTACCACGCAAGTCATCAACCTTTGAGCGTTCTTCTTCGTTTTTTTCGTCTTGTGGCTTCAGTCGTTCTTGGTTGCGTATAAACTCGTCCTCCATCATTAAGTAATCCTTGATGCGCTCCAATTTGAGAAGCTTTAGACGACAGCGCGTATGAGGTGTCACTTGTGGCAGTTTCATGGCTGCATCTGGACCCTTTGCGCGACGCTTCTTTTTGCCAACGCGAGTGGGAATTGGTGGCTCATATTTCTTCTTTTTGTCTTTGTCATCCTTCTTGTCTCCAGTGCCACCCTGTGCCGATTGATTTTGGCCCTACAAAACGAAAGCAGTTAATGTAGCTTTCAGCCCAAATCGTTGCTGAGCTAATTTACCATTTTGCGTTTCTACTTTAATATCTTCAGACGAAAATGAAATTTATTTTGTCGGCAACACAAACAGATTTTTACTAGTCATAACCAACGTGAAGTTGGCTGCGGCTACATTGCCAGTGTGTACACTCTATGTTAAGCACGGTTGCACAGCATGCTAATCGAACTTTGGCGCCTACTGATTTTTAAACATTAACATAACATGAAATATGAGTTTGAACAGTTTTCTTTCATACACATATGCGAATTGGGCATATTTGTAATATTTTCCATCAACATTTTAGATTAATTTAATAAACAGCTGTTTAGTTATGCTTCTATAGCTAATGTTCACTATTTAACATGGCATCGTAGTTAACATAGCATCTCATTACAGAAGTTACATTCTACTCAACATATTCACCACGAAGAGTAAGGACATTACAAGCCGACATGGCAAGATCATTTACGAAGTGAATTAAAGTATTATTAACAATATTAAATATATTCAAGTTCCGAAACTAATAACAACACATAACAACATAAGCAACACAAACAGTTGCTATATTTATTAGCGATTGGTTATATCTTACTGACTTATCAACAGGTAGATATTGATTTAGACACCTGACGATCCACCTAGCTCTAATGGAATTCTGTTAACTCTTTTTAGATACCTGTGTATCACAATGTTATTGAAATTGTTTTATCTCTTCATCACATTTCTGTTGATTCTGTTCGTTGCGTCGTATATTTTAATATTATTTAAAAGCAAAAGAAAAGCAATTGTGGAAATGGTTTTGCCGAGTGGGGCAATCGTTAAACGTGCATTCCATCAGGCACCTGGCCCACATCCATGGCCCATCCTTGGCAATTTGGACATAATTGGACAGTTCGACAATCCCTTCAAAGGATTTGGAACATTGGCAAATTGTTATGGAGACATTTACTCCTTGACTCTTGGCCACACGCGCTGCCTTGTCGTGAACAACTTGGAATTGATTCGGGAAGTTCTTAATAAGAATGGAAAATTCTTTGGTGGCCGACCGGATTTTCTACGCTATCATAAGCTGTTTGGAGGTGATCGTAATAACTCTTTAGCTCTGTGCGATTGGTCGCAATTGCAACAGAAACGAAGGAATTTAGCTAGACGTCATTGCTCTCCCCGTGAATCGTCCTCGTACTTCTGCAAGATGTCCTTGATTGGATGTGCAGAGGCTGACACATTACTGGAGGAGCTGGAAAAAGTTATTGTACCTGGTCAACCTGTCGCTTTGAAGCCCATTTTAAATGCAGCCTGTGCAAATATGTTTATCCAGTATATGTGCTCAATGCGATTTGAATATGACGATGAGGAATTTAAAAAAATTGTCTGGTTCTTTGACGAAATCTTCTGGGAAATCAATCAAGGACATCCATTGGATTTCCTGCCTTGGCTGTCACCATTTTACAATCAGCACACAAATCGCATTGCACATTGGTCAACGACGATTCGAAAATTTATTCTGGATCGAGTTCTTGAGCATCGAGAGCTGAATATTGATCCTGAGGAGCCAGACAACGATTTCACTGATGCATTGTTAAAAAGTTTAATTGAGAACGAAAATATGTGCCGTAATACAATCATCTTCATGCTGGAAGACTTTATCGGTGGCCATTCAGCGGTTGGGAACTTGATAATGCTGGTGTTTGCATATATAGCCAAAGATCCAGCGATCGGCAGGCATATTCAATTTGAAGCAGATGTGATCTCAAATAGGGGAGAGCGAAGTATTACTTTAGAGGACATGGAACATATGCCTTACACAATGGCCACAATCTTTGAAGTTTTGCGCTATTCATCATCTCCCATTGTACCTCATGTGGCAACCGAGGACTCAGTTATATCTGGATTTGGAGTAACTAAAGGCACAATTGTGTTTATAAACAACTATATACTCAATATGAGTCAAGAAAGCTGGAAAAATCCTCAGAGCTTTTGGCCAGAAAGATTTTTAGAGGAAAAATCTATAAAAAATACTCAAAGAACATCAACATTTAATGACAAGAGAAAAATATCTGAGGGGTCTGATTCCGGCATAGAGTTTGAAGAAAATAATTATTTACTAAGCACCAGAGATAATCAAAGCAATCTGAATCTCCCAGAGTTTCAATTGAAGAAGAATCTTCCACATTTTTTGCCTTTTAGTATAGGAAAACGTACTTGCATTGGACAAAATTTAGTGCGAGGATTTGGTTTTATATTGCTTTCAAATATTTTATTACATTATAATGTAAGTACTCCCGACATCTCGAATATAAAAATTAATCCAGCTAGCTTAGCGTTACCCGCGAACTGCTTTCCACTTATATTAACGGCCAGAGTTTAAAGTAAGCAACAGAAGAAAATTTCTATTGTTATTTTATTGATAAAAATGTAAATACAAATTTTTATCACCAGATGTAGTTTCTAAATAAGAATATGAATATTTAAAATAAATATTTTTTCAAAAACCTCTGAATATGTAGATAATATCGATTATCTTTTTTGTCATATATCGAGATTTCAACAAGCTAGTTCCATGAAAGCGATAGCTTGCCTACTGTCATCTCTAACCTAAACAACTCAAGTCTATTTGCTAAAGAAACCCGCGAAATTGTTCCGCCTGTAAACAAATGGCACAAAACACTAAAAATATTGAACTGAGGCTCCAAGACGTTGACGTCTTAACAGCGGGAATCACTGCGGAGTTTGTAATTAGCATACTCGACTTTCTTTTATTTCACCGTAGTCAAATTCCATTCGTGTATAAAACATACAAATATTATGTGAACAAATGGGATGAGGATAACCACAAGGAAAATAAACAAGAATCTTTTAATCACTATCAATTACAAAAGCAGCGTTCCTTGGCTAAAGAGACTAAGGATGCCATCAGCAATATGCGAGAAGTAAAAATAAACATAGAGTATTGTAACAAATAAATGATACTTAAATTTTATTTTTTTAGCTGATACGACGAACGTTTAGGGGAAACAAAGCCGTAAAAAGTTTACGATTTCTGTTTGGAAATAATACATTTATGCCATCAGAATCGTACACAGTACACATACCACACGCATCTATATCAAAATACCACGGTGATCTGCACTCCATGCCAGATGGGCCAATGAACCAAACACTTCTGCAGCTGCTCACATGCGAGGAGCTCTACTCGCTGTGGTCCACAGAGCTGAAGGCCACTAATGTGTTTCTGGAACTGGAACTATTGACAAGTGAGCAAGAGCAACAGGTTGACACTTGGAAACTATTTCCTAAGGATGTCATCAGTCAGCTTCCCCGAAGTTGTAAAAATGTTCATTTGCATTTGTTGCATGTGAATGAGAAGGAAAAATCGGACCTGCAATGCTGCAAGGAATTAACTATATATGAGGATATCGCCATTTTGAATTTACATTCAACAGATGTCAAGGACGAAGTGTGTATTGAAGAGACAGAGCAAAAGACTGGGTGGTGGCAAGCCGATGTAATAGTTCATGGATTTAGAGCACCAAAATTCGACTTGTGGTCTAGCTAAAAAATTTGGAAATATTTTACCTTATGTGCCAATAGTAAAAATTAGAATTTTACATATACGAATTCTGTCGTTTAAAAAGGGTTTGGGATTATATCCAGGTTTTTCGGTCAGCTAACGAAGAAATTGATTTTGATAATTTTAAATAAATTTAAAAACTCGAAGTGAACCATTCACTTGTTGAAGCAACCGCGATGCTTGTAGCTCGATAACAGATGCTATCGGCTTATCGAACCAAACAAACACAACATTTCAGCCCTGACGCTTGCTTTTGTATTTGATTCGCGTCCCGTTTACATATAATTTAAAGGTTTTGAAACGATACAGAAGCAAGAGTCTAGTCATTCGTCGTAGTCTCGTTGTTGGTTTCGTCGTCGTCGCTGGTGTCGTTACAGTATGTCTGAGAAACCGACTGTTTTAATTTTGGGCGGTAAGTACAAGTGGGGAAGTGCAATCTGAGCGATAAGTACGACTTATCTCGACTGTATCTACAGGCTGCGGCTTCATTGGACGCAACTTGGTGACTTACTTGTTAAAAAATGAGCTGACGCAGGAAATACGAATTGTTGATAAGACTCCGCCACAAATGGCCTGGCTGAATGAGCAGCAAACCAAGGCCTTCGCCCATGATAAAGTCGAGTTTTTCAGCGCGAATTTAATTAATGCCGGTATGTAATAATGCAACCCACTCACGCACACTAACACAGCGGCTAAAACTGGTTTTGATTTTTCATTTGTACGGGTCCTTTATGTATTGCAGCCTCATGCAAATTGGCGTTCGCACCACACCCAACAACGAATCGAGGCTGGGATGTGGTCATCAACTGCGCAGCCGAGACGCGTGCGAACCAAGATGATGCCGTCTATAAGGAGGGCATCTACAAGCTGAGCATTAACTGTGCCAATGAAGCAGCCAGTCAGCAGGTGAAACGATTTGTGGAGCTCAGCTCGGGCTGTGTGAACAGCAGCGAGAAAACGCCGCTGAAAGAAGACTGCAAGCTGGAGCCCTGGACGGGCGTGGCCAAGCAAAAGCTTAAAGTCGAAAAGGAGCTGGCGCACATCAACAATCTGAGCTATACGGTGGTGCGCCTACCAATTGTTTACGGCATTGGTGATAAGCGCTATTTAAGTAAGTCGCTGTCGACGTCGTTGTCAGCAATCGTAATCGCCATTACAATCTGTTTTGTATATTTGTACGTATAACAAACATTACAACTACTTCACAGTGCCACGCATTATAATAGCAGCCATATACAAATTTCTGGGCGAGACAATGAAACTGCTGTGGAACGATGCGATGCGGCTCAATACGGTGCATGTGAGCGACGTGTGTGCCGCGATTTGGCAATTAGCTCAGAGTCCAAAAACGGCTGGACAGGTCTACAACATTGTGGATGACTCAGCGTCTACGCAGGGCAGCATCAGCGATTTGCTAGTGGACATTTTTGAAATCAATGTGGAATACTTTGGCATTGTTATGTCCAATTTGACAAAGGTATGTCATCAATTTTGGTCGATGACTCATGACTATTTAATCACTAAATATTCATTGCTTTTTTATTTTTCAGCTCTATCCAAGCGACACGGTGGGTGAAATCAACGATAAGCACATGGCGCCCTGGGCTGATATTTGCCAACACAATGGCATTGACAATACACCGCTTACACCGTACTTGGACGAGGAGCAATTGCATCATAAACATCTCTATCTGGACAACACGAAACTGAAGGACTTCGGCTATACACTGCAGCACCCAAAGCTGACGCGCGAATTGCTTATGGAAATGATTGACGATTATGTGAAGCAGCAGCTATTCCCGAAATCTCTGGCGATCTAAATTGAAGCTGCGAACACTGTTTGGACCAAGCACCACGTTAATACGCACACAACAATTTTTTATTAGTTAAGTGGAAAGTTTTGATATTGCGAATCTACTATATACGACCACGAACTATCTTCCAATTTATGCCAGGTTTATTGTCCTGTAATTTGTTTTGTAGCTTTCGCAAAAACAAAGAAAAAAGGAAAAGTGTACTTATAGTATTATGTGTAGCTCCCAATATTTTTATATACATATATAAACATATCTTAGTATTCCCATACATTCCAATCAATTATAAAATGTATACGTAATGGAAAGACTAAAATTGATATTGTGATGTTTTTAGTGGCCAACGACAATTGTCAATTTTAATTAAATATAAATACAAAGAGAAAACGCAAATTGTTTAATTTTTGTTTTGTTTAGTTTATGTGTATATTTGATTACTTTAAAAGTTGCGGCAACGGAGCGTTTCATACGTTACGATACATAATTGAAAAATGCAATTGCTTCACTTTAACGCTCATTAAACTTAAAAACTTACAGAAAATCAACAATATTCATTGTAAAAGCAAGCTCGCCTTTTTGTTTCTTGCTTAGCTTAATGTAAAACACAATATGAAGTTGAAAAGTTGAACAAACTCAGCTCCAGCTAGTCATTTGTCGATTTATATAAATTAATTTGCTTTTGTGACTTTTTCTAAAAACGGAGGTGCGCTGATGCCATATGTTTAATGTTTTGTTGCTTGTTGAGTTCGATTGATTAATAAACTAGTTAAGTTTTAGCTGCGAAGCTTAGAAGGCCAAACCGGCGTCACGGTATGTGGTGAAGATCTTCTCAATGGAGTTGACATAGGCAGCGGTTCTCAGATCCAGACCCAGATTGTATTTCATGGCTGTCTTCATTATGGCACGTGCGGACCGCTCCATGGTATAATCAAGACCGGAGTGCACAATATCCTTCTCGGAGGCGCCGGAGATGCGCTTCTGGAACGACTCAGAAGGTGTCACGGGAATACGACCGCCGACACGGCCAAAGCGGCGCTCCAAGGATTCTTGCACGGATTCTAAAATATGACCAAGCACGCATTGTACAAGGAGAGCGGACGAGAGAGAGAATGAAGAGAAATACAAAAAACCGAAATAAAGCGATTAATTAAATATGCTTCATGCTGGATAGTTTTGACGTTAGAAGCAGCCGCCAAGGTTAACTAGACAGATTAGGTTAGAGCAGGGATGGAGGCACAGTTAGATCACAGGCATGATGCGTATGTGTGTATGAATGGATAGGGAGCTGGAAAGAGATGTCCGGGTGTGATCTAAACAGATCCTCAAGCTCTACCAATGCATTGATGGTACGGATAATGCTGACACAAGGAACAGAACATACAAAAAGGATAAATCCAAAAGCTACAAAGCAAAAACAGATGCATATATAGATATATATGTCACACAATAAACTTGTCTAAATTATGCAGGATAACAAGAATTAATGTGGGCGATTCGTGTGTGGGTGAATACATAATGAGTAACAGTAAAAGGCATTTGTTTTGTTTGTTTATGGTGGGGGCAGGAGGATAATAGAAAAAGAAGAATTAATAATAAGAATGTACCGTCGTTAATAATTCTTTCAATTGACTGTTGGACTGAGTCTACATTGGTGATAGAGAAACAGAAAAAAAGAAGAAATAGAATAAACAACGAATTACTAAGATGGCATTATAATTAAATTACGGTCTTAAGTTCTTGTTGATAAAAATAGTTGGAAATACGAATATTGAGGAGAGCACTAAATGGTTCGAGTCAAATAAATATTCATTTTGGTGTTTTGTGTATTTCGATGAAAACCAAACACGAAGAGCAAACGCTGCTTTTCTGCATGGTTTGGTGCAACTGGCTTAAGAGACATAATATACAATAAATAATATAAGAACTTTATAAAACCATATACCCTTAAATGAATTTTAAATGACATGGCATGATTGGTCGTACAAGCCTATGAAATACTCATAGATAAGACAGATAGATAGAAAGAGTGTGCGCAGAAACTGCAGATGGTGCGCTTAAATCTAATTAGCTAAAGGCCCTAACTTACCGAGCAGATGATAGTTGGACTCGCGCTCATATTTGAAGGTCAGGCGACCGTATGAGACATGGTTCAAGTTCTTGAGCCATTCGAAGAAGGAGACAGTGACACCGCCAGCATTGATGTACAGATCGGGGATGACCAAAATGTTGCGATCGATGAGTATTTTATCAGCAGCAGGCGTGGTGGGTCCGTTGGCGGCTTCGGCAATGATCTATGAGTGGAAAAGGCAAATATTAAATAAAGGAAAATTACTGTGAAAGCATCATAAACAAGGCTGTAAACGGGATTTCAGATGGATCCATTTGATTTCATAATACTGCCATTACATTCACACAATCAGTAATAGCTCTGATACAGAGAGGCAACAAGATTCTTTGCTTTACATCAAGACGAAGCCGACCCGCATCAATCATTAGCCTATAGCCTTGCTCATATCTGTTTGATACATACTTTGCATTGAATTCGGCCCGCATTCTCGCTGTTGATGACCTTCTCGACGGCCGCTGGAATGAAGATGTCGCACTTCTCGAACATCAGGTTCTCGCCCTCGTATGGCTTGGCATTGGGATAGCCAACAACGGTGCCGTGCTCGTTCTTGTAGTCCTCCAGCTGCTTGGGATCAATGCCTTCTGGGTTGTAGAGTGTGCCGTCGTGCTCAATAACACCGATGCAGGTGGCGCCAGCGCGGGTCAGATAGCGGGTGGTGTGCAGACCCACGTTACCGAAGCCCTGGACAATGAAGGTCTTGCCGCCCCAGCCGGGAGTGGTGCCTGCAAACACAGAATGGTTAAATGAAAGTTCTCAAATGAATGGCACCACCAGTTGGACTTACCAATCATGCTCATGTAGTTGGCCTCATTGATGAAGTTCTCCAGGCCGTGGAAGACGCCGCGACCGGTGGCCGAGACGCGTCCGTGAATACCGCCCTGGTTGATGGGTTTGCCAGTGACACAGGCGTGGGCGTTGATGTCCAAGTGACCGATGGTCTTGGCATAGGTATCGGCGATCCAGGACATTTCACGCTCGCCAGTGCCCATATCGGGGGCGGGCACATCGACGCCGGGGCCAATGAAACCCTTCTTGGCCAGCTCAAGGGTGAAGCGACGAGTGATCTTCTCCAGCTCATGCTCTGAGTACTCCTTGGGGTTGATCTTCAGGCCGGCCTTGGCACCGCCGAAGGGCACATCAACGCAGGCACACTTGAAGGTCATCAGAGCGGACAGGGCTTTGACCTCATCGCGTGACACATCCAACGAGAAGCGAATGCCTGCAGCAAACAACAAACGAATTGCATAAGTCTTACGTATACGACAGGTGTGCCTGGGCACACAGAAAGCCTTGAAAGCAATTTATATACTAAACACTGAATACTATATATGTTTAACAGAAAAGTACATTCCTTCGGTCTCAACAGCTTTGCATTCGTCTTGTTCATATTATGTTGGACTAAATCCAATTGCAAAGCGCTAAGAATAGACAAAGAAAAACATATGCGATATTTCGGCTTTCTTTTTTGTACCTATTCGAAAGCAAAAGTTGATTTCTGAAAGACATTTTCTGTTACTATTTCCCTCTGCTCACGTGCAACTGGGTCATAATCGCATTTAGCTGCCACATTTTAGCCATGGCGTAATACACGAAGGAAAACGAGGTCCATTGGGCAAGTATTTTCCGTTGTTGCTTATCTTGTTTGTTTGTCACATTTATCTTTAGATATCTTTAAAAAAAAATGTCTTGGCGATTAGATAAGTAACTTCCACAAGTTCTAAATGGCTTGCGTTCAAAAAACAAAATGCTTATTTTGTCCAATTTTACGATGTAAGCCATAAAATATTAATGACCCTGCACAAAGTTTAATAATTTTTATCTATAGCCATAAATTTGTATACTCTATGTATCGTATAGCAAGAAACGATCAATCAGTTTTGTTTTCCCGTTGACAAGCCCCCTACGAAACAAAAGAAGAAAATAAACAAATCATTTTTTGCTAATTAAATGCGGTTGCCAAGCGCTAAGCTTGATTGCTTGACCATGAATCCGCTTGAACTTTGCCATTCCACATATTCTCGGCTTTGCTTATCAGCTGTGTCCACATACATCTGCATGGATGTGTGCATGTAGTAGTGTCTCAGCATTAGTGTATTCAGCGCTGCTTGCACTGGCAAGCAGTGCAGCGATAGCGTCTTCAAGAAACGGAATTGGATTGCAGCGTAAACAAACAAAAACTTAACGAACAAAACTCATCAACGCAAAAAAAGCTCAATGCGCTGTTGCCTTATTTCTTTGACATTTTCCATATAATTCCCCTTCTCTTTCTTTCGTTCTACAATTTGTGCGCATAACAACAGCGCGAAAATATTCAGTTTTTGTTGTCTCAAAAAACAAAACTTCAGCTCTATTTATTCTTTCGTTTGTGTTGCGGCCATTTCAAGATACGTTAATAATAACCGGCTTTATCGGTACACTGAAGAAAAACAAGCTACTTGTTTACTTGTTTTCGACTAATATTTTGTTGTACCAAAAAACAAACCAAACAACAAAAAGCGAACGCGTGATTTCTATTTTATGTTTTTTTCGTAGTTCTACTATTTACCACACACATATCGCAGAAATCTATTTATGCCTAGAGCTTGCCAATCTAGAAGCATACAAGCTACATAGAAGCTATATACATATACGTGTGTATATATGTGAGTTTATATACTATGTACGTATGACATGCTTATACAATCGTGCGCGATAAGTTCTTGTGCTTTTTTGGGGGCTCGATCGTATGGGGCGTATATACTGCCACGTCTATAAGCATTGCGTGTGTGTGCTTCTGTGTGCCATTGGCAACAGCAATCGCAAATTCATAGACTAAAAACCGGTTGGACCCCTAGGGGGTCCGCGCACATCAGCTGACTAGTCACTGAGCCATATGATATATATTTTTTTGATTTAGCGTATGCTGACGGCATCTTATGTTATATATGATAAGATATAGCCGAATCAAGATAGCGCAGGAAATGACTTGAGAGCTGTGAAAATATGTACATATCATAGCTGCCAAAAATATTTGGACCATTCGAACAACTGAACAAATAGATATACATCTTGTACAGGGGGCGTTGGGGGCGTCATCGAGAATTGGACGTATTTGCCACTTGAGTCAGAAGCATGTAAGCAAACAACACAGCAGGTTTTCACACAACAGTTAAATGTTGACACAATTTATTTGAATACCAATTGCAACTAGTAGTTTTATAGATTAGAATATTGTAAGCAAATCGTATATAGATACTGAAAGTACAGTCGACACATGAAAAACAAAAACGGTTTAGAGTTATATATGAGTTAAATGTTTAATAAATTGTATTTTATTTATAAATATATAGAATTTGTTTGATTTTTGAAAAAAAATATATTTTTTCCTAGTATTTTTCCATAGAACATTTAATATATTTATGTATTTTTTTTTTAGATTTTTACCAATTTTATTTATTATCTTATTTTCAACATAAATTTTGATAAACAACTCACTCTGACTCTCTCCCTCTTTCACACACTTTACTTAACAAGCGTCTACTGTACATAAGCCCTGGCTTGATAAGGGCTATTATTACATTGCTTAGATTATCAGCGGAAACATCATTTGATTTCCAAGTAAATTTCGATAGTTGAAGGCAAACACACAATGTGCTCATCTGGGCATGGGGAAATATATGCTTTGCCTATACATGTTTCAGCTCAGCCTAATGTCTTGTTTATTTGTCAATCCATTACAGCTACTGTATATATATAAGTGTATCAGTATATATATGATTGTATTTACATTCACATATAGCAAATAAAATGAATCCAATTGTCAGACAGTTCAACGACATAGAAAGCTGTATATGAAGACGGCTAAACACTCGATTCATTTGCTGCACAGTGTGTCGAGACTGTGAAACATGTGACTCACGCTAGTAACACAACGTGAGCATCATGTGAAGCTCATAAAAATTAAATTTGCTGATCGGCGGAGATACAGTTTTATACACACCCAGAGCATTGGGCTGAAAACCGGTTTTTGTGTTTTCGGCTTTTTTACTCTTTCTTTCTTCATTGTCTTGTGAAGGTTATATGCAATTTGTTATTGGATATGCAACATGTATAGGAAAATGTCATGTTTTAAAAGGAAAGAAAATATAGAAAAAAATTATGCGAATTATTGATAGACATATATGACAGCTACAGATCTAACAATAGTGAAAAAGAAGAAGAAAATGTTGAGCAGAAAATAGTCCATTTACTTTTAATATTTCGTAAAAGTAATCTAATATGTTAAAGAGTTCCTAATATGAGAGTTCCTTTACAGCAACATAAAAGCAGGTGCTGAATTAATAACTGAATCATTGAACCTCCAAAGTATTCATTGAGTTAGAATCGACTTGACTCGTGATTTTACTATATCAAAGATTTTTAACTATAATAGTTAATAAGTCAAAAGAACAAATTACTATTTATATCATATGAAAGTGAAAAATCCTTTTAAGCCTTGTCAGAGTGTTTCAAATTCGTTGCGCCTCAGCCAACTGCATGTTGATATTCTTCTTCTTTCATTTTATGACTAGCTTTCGACGTCAAAGCGTTGAGAACAAATTGCAAAATATATTTTGCCGAATTTGAGCCAAGCTATGAAGTCATTTGTGTCAATAAAGTATACACATTCATGAATATACACAGACAGACACATTCATAGATACGTGCATTTATTGAACTGAATGCAATTAACATTAATTAGAGTAACGAAACCCGAACCTATTTAAAATGCCCACTAAAAGGCCGCACAAATAATTTAGCACCCATATCTAGTAGATACAGATATACATATAATATATATATATATATATATATATATATATATGTGCTTATAGCTTTAGCAATCATCTGAAAAGCATCGTAGTATCAAAATATTTAAAGGCATAATTAACAAGCTGAAGTGGTTGGCAACAGCAAGTCACACTTGTTTACAACCAGTTTCAATGATTATATGAAATCGGCAATAAAATCATAAAGTTGTTCAATTATTCGTCTATTTATGCTCCGCAGGCCTTCGAGGGCGTCGCCTATCAACGTCCCAGCCAATAACAATAAGCAAAAACAAAATAACATTCACAATTATATAGTATGATACGACACAAATATATATAAATATATATATACATATTTATATATACATTTTTAGTCTACTTTTTTCTTTTTTGCCTAGTAAAGGTCTGATAACAACCGTGTCTCGTATATAATTTTTAAAGATTTCTTATACGTTAAAAAAATATAATTAAAATGTATTTAAATATATGTCAAATAATATGAATAACTAAATAATAATAATAATAATAATAATAATGCCCATCATATTTATTACCAGATGCAATATTCACTAAATTAAGTTAAAAATAAAAAGGGCTCGGGGGCACGTTTTTTGCAGCTTGACAACTAAATTTCGTTTTTTGACTCTTTCGGCGTATGTTTATGTTTGTCACACTGTACACTATTTGCTGTGCTGCTCTTCTTGCTCTTCAAAACAAAAGCAAAAAGAAAGGAGCTAAACAGCGTTATTAAAAATAGAACAGAAGCAAAGCGCAAAAGCACAAAAACAAATTATTGAAAAATTTTTTGCCAACTAGCTAGGTGAATAAAAATTTGTGTTCATTTTGCACGACACATTCTCTGTTGGAGGCGTGGCAATCGGATGAGGGCGTGTGAACAACACTTGAAGGGTTTGGAAATCAATTAGTGGCACGTGGAATGCCCTACCAGCTGCTTATGCAATTGGACTAACGGTAAGGAAAAGGCAGCACATAATAGCAAACACGCTTAACTGCGGACAGCGTCAATGTAAACAAACAGTAAATGCTGTACAGTGCGCGAGAGCAGGACAAAAGATGCCAAATGGGAGCAGCTAGTGAGTAGACCGAAATATGAGTGCGATGGTTACATAATGGCAAAGGCAAGAAAGAATTGCATCAACTCTAGAGAAATATCGATTTTTGCCAACATTTGGCAAGATGTTTCCCACACGCCACGAATAAAAAAAATCCAAAACAAATACACCGGCTAAAAGGTAGACAGACAAGATAAAGAAAGAGAGACGCGAAAAGAAAAACGAAATGCGTATCGAAAAATGTTTGTTTGTCTTACCTCCTTTTGTTGGAATCCTGTGTGTGCTGTGCTGTGCACGATAGCCTGTAATCATCTCGTAGTTGCCCGCATCACGGCGCAGTGGGAATGCAATCTCGATGATGTGATCGCAGGGTTGCATAAGCATCAATATACCCTTTACTTTCTGCTTTTTTTCATCCAGCGATAGCTTGCCCTTCATGTCATCAATCAGGCGATCCTCCGATATTTGGCAACCGCGATGGAAGAAGTACTCAACCATGTCAAAGAAACGGGGATCCTTGGCGGTTGGCACGTCCTTTAGACGATCAGGAATTTGGTAGTTGCGCGTCTGGAGCACAGCGGTGGGCAATGCCTTGGCCAAGGCGGTCAGCTCATGCTGATGCATGGCTCCCTGTCGGGCCAAACTTTTCAGGTGATACATGGTTTATAATATACGACGCACACACAAAATTCAAATGTTCTATATTGGTACCGCTCCTTAGCTGCTGCTGATGGCTAATACACAACCGCCGCTCCAAACTGAGTACGTTCAGGCACGCTCCAAACGTTGAAAGCTTTCTTATTGAGAATTTCTCACCAGAATCATGGTGAAATTTGCATTTATCAAACCGCGCATAATAGAGATGTGGAACGTGCAAATTCGGAATATCGATAATTAAAACAGCTATTAAAAAATGTTATAACGATATTGAACTAGGAAATTAAATTATGTCAGCCATATGCAATTTAATTTCATGTCCCATAGTCACCCATGTGATATCTGATTGCATTGATTGTACTACACATTTTATCGATTGTGCGTTTAACTATCGAACAGTTTTCCGCGATTGTTTCTCGATAGCCCCTTTACGATATTCACATATTTGTTTGTAGAATCTTAATTGGAGTTATTTGTTTGTTAGCTGGCATCTATCCTAAATTAAAGTTGTTAACATCTTTTAACAAACATGTTCCACATGATAAGACGTCAACTGGGTCAGCAAATTGGCCAAAATTTACGTTTGACACCTCGACGCACGTTCGCCTCTACAATTGCATTGTTCAAAGGTAGTTAAAACCAACGTGACATAATGTTTGATAATGAAATGAATTATTTTTACAGATGTCGCAGCTAAGATTGATACGAACGCGGCAGAGCCTGCACGTATACTTGTGGAGAAAGATAAAAATATTACGCTAATCGGCATAAATCGTCCACAACAACGCAACGCCATCGATTCGAAAACCGCCTCGCTGCTTTGTGAAGCGTTCTCTGCTTTCGAGGCGGATGATACGTCGCCGGTGGCAGTGCTCTATGGGGTGGGTGGCTCGTTCTGCTCGGGATTTGATATACTTGAGATCAGCACTGACGAGAAGGAGGAGATAAGCGTTGATATTCTGATGCGTCCCGAGGGATCGGTGGGCCCCACCCGTCGCCACATCAAGAAGCCGGTCATCTGCGGCATCAATGGCTACTGCATAGCCAATGGTCTGGAGCTCGCGCTGATGTGTGATTTGCGGGTCATGGAGGAATCCGCTGTATTGGGCTTCTTCAATAGGCGCTTCGGTGTACCTATGCTAGATGGTGGCACTGCACGTCTGCCCGCCATGATTGGCCTGTCCCGTGCGCTGGATTTGATCTTGACTGGACGTCCAGTGGGCTCACAGGAGGCACACGATATTGGTCTAGTCAATCGCATAGTGCCCACAGGTACAGCGCTGGGCCATGCTCTGGAGCTGGCCATGTGCTTATCCAAATTTCCGCAACGCGCACTCAATCATGATCGCAACTCGGTTTACTCGGCTTCGTTTGAGACGTCAACGTTCCACCAGGCGGTGCAGAACGAGGTCATGTACACATCTCCAGAAATCATCGAGGACATGCAGAATGGCATCAAGTGGTTCAATAACAGTGAGTAATTCCTTGTTAACTGAAAGCAGATGAACTAAATAGAATATTTCATGGCATTTCAGCGTTCAAGGCAGATACGACGCATTCGTGGCTAAAACGTGATCGTTCCATGGCCGATTGGGATGACGAAGATGTAGCTGTGGCAGCTGCTCAGAAAGAGATCAAGAAGCAAGAGGCAGAGGCCGCAATTGTTGAAGCCGAGAAACAAAAGCAAGCAGAGAAGGCCAAGAGCAAGTCCAAGAAAGCAGCTGAACCAAAACCATCTGTGGAAAAAGCCAAAAAGGACTGCAACGAAGGCGAAAACATTAATGTAACCAAAAAGGAGAACGATAAATAAGGAAAACCTTTGTATATATGAGACAAACTAAAATATTATGTAAATAACATCATTCTTACATGCAGTTCAGATTTGAAAAATTTGAATTTCTTTATTTATTTAAATACATAACATACATAAAGGAACAGTTAATCGGTTTATATTAAACTATTTAAAAAAATGAAAATTTGATTTTCGCCATATTTTACTTTAATTCCTTATAAAATACTTTAAGTCAAGATAAAATGAAATTTTCGCCTATTTATATTTTTAACGGATAAAGCCGGGTACTTAAAATGTTTCTGAAAGCTTTATCAAACGAACGTCAGCTGACGCATTGACATTCACATGTAGATGGCGCTTTGATTATGGATTTTGAATTGATTTTAATTAGAAGATAACGTGGCTGTCACTAATTTCGATGAATTATGATTCACATCTGGCGTCTAGACGCATCAAATCCTGTACTTTGACCAACATGCGATCCATTTACCTACGTGAGTGTTTGTTTGTCCACAGTTCAATGGGAATAAATGAAATAATAAATAAATGAATTTGCAAAGATTGCACTAATTTCATTAAGTCTCATTAGTTGTACTCATTAAAAAGATTATTTTGTAATCAGATTTTCCTATGAAGGGCATCTTTCGATTTTAACTTTCAGTATAAATACTGCAAGCAGTCGATCTTCGCCTTTCAAACTATTTCAGATAATTTTCAAGCGTTTCAGCTCCACAGAGAAAATATATTAAAAAAAGTAAACCTAAGCGAATACCAAAGTGAAGAAGACTGCCAATAAGAAAGACGATTGGATTCATTGTCTGTCTGGCCGTGAGCACAGTAATAAGCCAGCTCTTCCCGGCACAGGTCGATTCGGTTCCTCGGCTTTCATAAATTCCTCAATTACCCTGAAGTACTTAAAGTGTTTGGTGAGTATTTCAGACGTGAAGTGACTTAGAAAATTGATAAAGCACAGTTGAGTTAGAACCAATTTGAAACGTTTTTTACATAAGAGATGTGATTATATAAAAAAACCAAATATAATTCAATACGAATCGTTAAATATGTCTTACGTGTTCCTATTGAAAGCTCGAGTGAAATATAAGTTACGAGCAAAATTTGCTGTCTCAGATCCGCAAGACTTTTAGATTGTCCAGTTATACAACGTAGGCATGTGTATATATATAGATAGCGTGTAAATGTCAAAAGTTCACTTCAAATATAAGCTGATTTGCTTAGTTGAACTTACATAATTGCTGAGTTCAACAAGGCTATCACATGCTATTTGACTTTTAAGAAAAGTCATTGTCGTGTGTATATATCAAAAGATTAGATGGTATATTAGCTACATACCAAATTTGATAGCTCTAACTTATATAGTTGCTGAGTTCAAAAGGACTACAAATGGTATAGTTCGTTTATTATAGGTGCATATATATGTCTAACGTGTAGGTATCGAAAGCTCCTTTGATGTATAAGCTACATACCAAAATTTTCGTGCTTAAACCTATATGTTTGTTGAGATCAGATAGACTATAATATGGTATGAAATCTAGACTTAACATAAAGAATTGAATAGAACTTAAGTATTCAATTAAAGATAAGCTTAAATATAAGCTGCATGGCAAATTTGATAACTCTAACTTATATAGTTACTGAGTTCAGAAGGATCAGATAGACTAAAATATTGTATAAAATAAAGAAAGCTAAAGAATTGAATAGATTTTGAGTATTAAAGAAAAGCTTAGTTTAAATATAAGCTGCATACCACATTTTATAGCTCTAGCTTACGTCTCTGATGAGATCAAGAAAAATCGTAAAATTTTATTTTATATTTTATCCTCGCTTGATTTTAGTAAAAATGCCACCAAATGCAGCCAATGGCCTAGCTGGCAGCGCTGAAGTGGAGCAAATGCTGAGCAGCTCCAAAGCTGGAGCATCCAAGCAGACGGGCGTGCTCTTCGAAGATGATGCAGACACCAACGATGGCGCCTTGGACGTGAATGTCGTAGAGTTGAAGAAGGCCGAGAAGCGCAAGCTGAAGTGGGTCTGGCGCAACATTATACTCTTTGCCTATGTGCATTTCGCTGCTCTCTACGGCGGCTTCTTGCTCTTGACCCAAGCCAAATGGCCAACAGTTGTTTTCTGTAAGCCACACAGAGTTGATCCTCCATTGAGTTGATCCTGAATTGACCAACTTTTCTATTGACAGCCATTTTTCTATACGTGGCGGGCATGCTGGGCATCACGGGCGGCGCTCATCGCCTCTGGGCTCATCGCTCCTACAAGGCCAAGTGGCCGCTGCGCCTGATATTGATCACCTTCAATACGATCGCCTTCCAGGACGCCGCCTTCCATTGGGCGCGCGATCATCGCGTGCATCACAAGTTCTCCGAGACGGATGCCGATCCACACAATGCGACGCGTGGCTTCTTCTTCTCGCACGTCGGCTGGCTACTGTGCAAGAAGCATCCCGATGTGGTGGCCAAGGGCAAAGGCTTGGACTTGACCGATCTGCGCGCCGATCGCATACTCATGTTCCAGCTCAAGTGAGTAGCAAGTTACCTGGCTATAGAGAGAACTATTCCAACTATAGCTGATCTCTCCAATTGACAGACACTACTTTGTTCTAATGCCGCTGGCCTGCTTCATATTGCCAACTGTCATACCCATGGTCTGCTGGAACGAATCGCTGTTGTGCTCCTGGTTTGTGTCCACCATGTTCCGCTGGTGCTTCCAGTTGAACATGACATGGCTCGTCAATAGCGCAGCTCACAAGTTTGGCGGACGTCCTTACGATAAGTGCGTATTATACTTTATAATTATCATAAAACATATAAATAATTCATATATGATTTACGTATAGGAATATTAACCCATCGCAAAGTCCGTATGTCTCGGCCTTTACCTTTGGCGAGGGCTGGCACAACTATCACCATGTCTTCCCCTGGGACTACAAGACCGCCGAATGGGGCAACTATTCGCTGAACATGACCACAGCGTTCATAGATCTATTTGCCAAAATTGGATGGGCCTACGATCTGAAGTCAGTGGCCCCGGACACGGTAGAGCGACGAGTGCGTCGCACCGGCGATGGAACACACGAGCTATGGGGCTGGGGTGATAAGGATATGACCGCAGAGGATCAACAGCGCGTGCTCTTTATGGACATGAAGACGCACTAAAAGCATAGTTAATTAAAAGTACTTTAATCTTAGGACAATATAGTTAGACACTTATGCTAAGTGGGTTGTATTTTATATAGTAACAAAAATATATACAATGTAATTAACTCGGATATCGCAATTGCGTGGTTTTGCTGCTGTGCCAGTCTCTCGGTTAAGATTGTAATCGATTTATTTCTCGCGTGTCTAGACGGCTGTAGTTTGCAGGTGTTATCATGGTGTTGATAAGCATTATCTTCGAATGTGCTCGGGGGATTAACAACGGTCCCTGGATACCCTATGGTAGTATGGGACCATGTTCCTTTTCGTAGTTTTTCACCTTGATGTCTAGGATATGAAGTACTACTTCAGACAGGGCCCTTGGCTGCACACCTGCCTCTATTAGCTCTACACAAATGTCGAGTGCTTCGGTCGAGAGTCGTGTGTTGATGAGCTCCGACATGCCGTGCACTGCAATGCGTAGAGCTGGCGATTTGTTAACAAAGCTGGTCTCTCGCTTATGCTCATCAATACCCATTTGATTAACCATATCATCTTTTGTATCCTGCGCAGCATTGGTATCCATATTTCTTTTCAGATTTAATCTTCTGTATGTATTTGCCTTTACGATATTTTTATTTAGACTTGCTAATTCTGCTGCAGCCGTGCCTACATTTTGTTCCTTAAAAGATATTTTAAATTATTTTAACAGTCATTTGGTTTTACACATACTGCACCAGTATATACCTGGACTTTAACCTCATTCAGCTCCTCATTCGCATTATATTGAGCTTGGTTTAGATCTTTTCTTGCGTCTTCGTCTTCAAGGATTTGCTTTGACATTTTCCTGACTTCAGATAAAATATAAATTGCGATGGCACAATGGCTTGCTATCGATTAAAATCGTTTAATATCCTGTCTATAATAATGCGAGTCATTTAATTTCTTTGACAGTCTTCACTGCGCTTGTTTTGTATTGTGCCAAAAACATAAATAATATATACATTTAAAACATTACGATGACGATAATAACAAGAAATATTTCATACTATTACATACATATTAAAGAATCTGAAGCCAAAAAATTCCATATAGTTGAATATGAATTTGTAGCGAATGCTGCACCGATGGTTGTATCTAATTTTTTTATATCGATATAATGTTTGTATCGTAAATATCGAGTTGCGAGTTTCATACTTACTTCTCGAGAATCCCAGTACGTGTCATCTCTAAACTATTTTACAGGCATCAGTGCAATTTAGCAGATTTTGGATTTATACAACTAAATTGGTCAATAGTTGTACAAGTAAGTTGCATACATATTTATAACTTTTCATTGACCTTGCTTAGAATCAAAAACAATCCATATATTGCCAAAATATATATCAGCTCAGCCAAATGCGCATTCCACACATTGCGAAAAAAAAAATAGAATTTATTTCTTTACAGATTAGAATTGTGTACTAAACAATATTTTGATGCGCAACACACACTCTCCGTGTGACATCACATTGCATGCAATGACGCAAGATTACGGTTTCTATGTAGATTAGGGATTTTTTCCACTGGGACATTGTTTGAAATCACGCGTTTTCTTAGGAACTGTAACACGCTTACATCTTCTACCCTATAAAAAATTTGTAAATGGGGAATGCTGTGCTTTTTCACGTGTATTAATAGGCCATAGAAAAGGTAGCTGCTATAAAGTGTATGCACATGATTTTTATTAGAACAACGGCACATTCGCTCTGTACATGTTCGTCCGCTCGTATATATGAAAACGTCGAACTGCATAATATGGAGATTTGAGACTTAAAATAAAAATTCCATATTAAATCTGCGTTATCTTATCCCATTTGTTTAAAATCTATCAAAAATAAATGAAACTACTAAAAAACCGCAAATTTCGGATGTAATTTGCAGAACTAAATTCGTTAGTTCGTTAATTCAGAGATTAGTCTCGCGCCTTGTCCATATTGCTTACTTTAGTTCTATATGGTATTGAATAGTTGCAGTTCTGAAGGGTTAATCAATTGGCGCGAAGCTCACACCGTGCTAAACGTGACCCTAATCGATTAGAATCCAATTCTAATCTAATTGACTTTAGAGTTCATTTCGAATTTTCCATGCGCAATTGCATGTTAAGTTGTACTATTTTGAAAGAACACATTCGGATATGCATACAAAGTTCGTTTCATATGCAGGTGCATCAACAGCTGCTGTGAATGTCGCTTGCGATCAAACAACAGCTGTGTCTATCGTTTGCGATCCAACAACAGCTGTGCGTATCGTTTACGTTCTTGGACCAGTTATTTATACTCTTTTTTAGCTTTAATCAAGAATATACAAAACCGTCTTAACTATTTGTTACAGCTGCGATTCATGAAAAAAGTAGTGCACAAAATTAAATGCAACGTTACTTTTTCCGTTATAAAAAGATGGGCACTGTTTGTTTCGAGTAGACTGCAAAGAATAGCATTGCATAAAATTCCGTTACTTTCGGTCTGAATTCATTGCATTGAAAATATGCCGTTCATAGAAATAGTAGTGCTGGATGTAAGCAGTTAAAATAAAATAAAAACTTATCAACAGTAAGTGTAATTAATTAAATTATATTTTACTGCTTGCAGTTTATTGGAATGGCTTTTTTATTTTAGTGGGTAGAGGAAAGCATTGCTCGGCAGAAAAGAGAAGTTTAATTGTTAGACTTAAAAATCAAGGCAAAACTTATAAAGAAATTGAAAATGTTGTTGGATGCTCAGCTCCTATGATATTTAACGCCATTCACCATAAGAAGCAGGCTGAAAAACGTGGTCGCAAATCCAAAACTAACTTGCTAGAGGATAGGCAAATTGTGCGATATTCTAAGCTTAATCCGTTAGCTTCATCAAAGGAAATTAAAGAGGTATTGAATCTGTCGGTTAGTGATGTGACAGTTCGTCGTCGACTCCAACATCATTTATCTCCCAGCAAGCACCACGCCGCCCGAAATTGGCCCACAAGTAAGTGGCGCAATATACTGTGGACGGGTGAGAGCGAAATCGTTCACTTTGCTGGGAGTGACTCTACACAGTATGTTCCCAAGAACACTCAGAAGACATTCAAACATGTCCATCTGAGCATTATGGTATGGGCTTGTTTTTCATATGCTGGTGTTGGTCCAATCCAAGTTATAAATGGTATCATGGACGAAAATCTCTACGTCGATTTACTAAAAAATATAATGCTCCCTTATGCCAGTTGGGAAATGCCTTTGAAATGGACGTTACAGCAGGATAACGACCCAAATCATTCGAGTCGGCTTGCTATAGATTGGTTTGCGTCCGAAGGGATTGACGTCATGCAATGGCCAGCTCAGTCCCTGGATCTAAATCCGATCGAAAATCTGTGGGGCGATGTTAAGACAGCTGTGGCAACTGCAAAGCCATCGACCAAAGCAGAGCTGTGTCAAGTAGTTCAGGAGGCGTGGCACCAAATAACTCTAAAGCATTGCCAGGACCTCATCGATTCCATGCCACGCAGGTGCCAAGCCATAATAGAAAATAATGGATAAATGAATAAATAATGAATAAGGATAAGACCAAAAACTATATATAAAAGACAAATTATATAAAGTTAGGCTAATGTCAAATAGATTTACTTTCTTTTTTAGTAACAACTACTATTTTCATGAACAACTGAATATTGTCAAAAAAATTTTGTCACGAAATTCTGTTGTTAAGCATTTGGTGCTCAATCGTACAGCTATTTTCATTAACTCAATGCTCTATATATATATACATATAGATATATATATTTGAATATAAAATACTAGTCTTAATATATTGTTTAACCTATGGAGACTGAAGCAGACTCAAGCTATTTGTATAACAATAGATAATCTTGAGGCTAAATTTTTTTGGCAGGAGTTTTGAATACCGTTTTTCATTGAGGAACAAAAAATTGATTAAAATGTTAAAATCAAAATTTGTCAAAAACCTGAAATAGCTATAGTTTTTTTTTGTTTCTAAAATGTTTACATTTTGAATTCTTAAGCTCTAAATAATTTTACAAAATTGTAATTTACAATTCATATTTGGAAGCTAAATCTGAACTGTGTGACAAACCATATGTATAAGTTGGGCGTCGTTGACAAGTAGAGTAAGAAATGTTTTTGAATATTTTGTGCCATCATCAGCTCGATTTGTCCGGCCAAAGTACTAAAAAAGTACACGTTACTCAAATTTATTATCTCTGTTAGCCACTTAAAGAAGCTATAAATGGGTTTTGAACTTCTATCAAAGTTTAGCAGTTAGTAATCTTGCTAGTCCGATATCTATGTACATATTTTCATGATGAGGGCAGAGTGCATTATTTCCTAAAAGATTTTCGTGCGGTGTACTTTAGGTAATTGTTTAAATTGCATTGGGGCAGTATCTTTAATTGTAATTGATCTATTGACAATGTCCGTAAGTTGTTTGTGAAGGGTTCAAATAACGCTCTAAAGTCATTTTCATTCATTAACGTACTTTCAATTGATCAAAATTTGCGAAATTTGCAAACTTCTATGAGAAGTGCATACGTGCAAATTCAGTTGATCGTAATCTTCCAAGCTAATCTGCGATGATGTACGCGTGTGTATATGTGTGTTTATATACGTATATATGTGTGTACGTATGTATGTACATAGATATATATATAAATATATATATATATATATATGTTTGACAGTTAGAAGTGCCCAAGCACCGGGAATATAACAACAAATGCAAAGAAAGGGGCAGTAAAAGTTTTGCGTCTCTGCCAACGTAAAAGTTTTGAGAGCGAAAAAAATGGTTTAAATTTCACCACTCTGTTCGACTGGCTCTCAGTGTGTGCTGAGACCTCAGAGCGTACGGACGTGTTATAACGTTACCCGCTCGCTAGTTCCCCAGACAAATACTCCGTGCAAAAATACAGTGATAAACTAAAGTTTTTATTTTGTATATTTCTCAAAAGAAAAACCGCGAAAAGTCAACTTTATTAGCTTCGTCAGCAAAACAGGTTAGTACATACACATGTTTATGTTGACGTTCGTCAGTTGCGACAGGATTTGCAAGTGTTTACGTAAACCATTAACTAACACAAACGTTCGTCTGTAGCCAAGTGACCCAAGAGACAACCCAAGAGTATACATAAAAAAAAATACACTACCAACAATCAAAAACTTTTTCAAGTAAAAAATCTTCTCTGTGAGCTTTTTATTACTATCAAACGATCTGTTGATCAGGCATGCAATTCATAGTTTTTTTTTTAAATCTCTTAGCTTCTGAAGGCTGTACTTTAACGGTCAAAGCGTCTATTTGCCGAAGGTTAGAGACTTAGGCGCAGATACACAAATCTTTTATACTTAGCTTGCGGCATTTAACTGCTCGACCATGTATTTAGCATACTTACGCAGGCCCTTTAGACTATTAGATTCACTAAAGCATAAATGAATATCAAATATATGCTTTTGATATTCCGAATACAAATGTACAAAGTTGTATACGTATGTATGTGTATTATGTATAATTAGGCACAGTTAACGAAAATGAAATACATTTGCCTCAAACTAGAAATAAATTAAAACGCAGTTCACCTATTTGTGCCGTATAATTGTTCGTACATTGAACTTTAAGTTGGGAATCAACTTTTTAACTGCTTCATTAACTTAAGCATAGTAGTCACAGAATACTCTTCCATAAATCCAATAATGGTACAATCTGCCGGAAGCTTTACAATTCGCAAATTCAAAAACGCAATTTAGCAGATTAGACGCATCAATAGAAAATGACCGAGACAACCAAGATTTTATGCGTTGAGCAGAAACACGCTTTTGCAACGTGATGCCGGTCGGCGAATTAAGCTCCAATTCGCTTTACGCTCTCTCACTCTCCCGCTCTCTCTCTCTCTCTTGGTGTCGCACTCTCGTCTGTGGTCATTGTCGCCAATGAGGCTACGTGAACAAAAATTTCAAGTTCAATATCAATGTAGTAGGCTTTATCGAATGCTTCTTCCGTAATAATCATACAAATTTTCTTGGAAAAAAAATATAATGAAACATTTACTTCGCTGGCATAGGCAGCCAAGTTGCCGGCTTTGATAAATCTTATGGTTCACTGGGAACACGTACTTATGTATGTATGAACAGCTGATGGCTTTATGCGGCAAAGAAAGAGCCAGAAAGAGTGCGCCATAGTGGCAAAGCTTTCGTTGGCGATCTGCTCTTTTAGTCAATTTCTAAATATTCTTTTGAATTGAAAGTATACACACAAACACACACACTTAGACATTCACTAGTACTGTACAAACAAACCCAACTGGATTTCTTGTTCTTCTCATGCTGTCTCTGTCATGCACGGTTCTCCGGGCCAGGCATAGGAATCGTATGACTTTAAGCATACGTACACACGTGGTTCACATTTCAATGTTAATAATGCAATGCACTGGTGGCACCGTAACTTACACGGAAAACAAAATACAACAGCTTAAGCTGAGGGGTTTTTATTTTTTCGTGTTTTCTGTGAACAAATACCATATGGCATTTCATACGATTTTTGATTTAATAGTTTATAGCCATTTTACCCTCGAAGCTATAAAGCAACGTGATTAAATGCTAGCAGAATATAAAACCCTGACCCTGAATAACTAAACATCATTCGATGTCTGCGTTTAATTATTAATATTTCTTCTAATCTATCTATGGACACCTGCAAAAGCTTGCCGGCATAGCCAACGAATTCGTCGTATATTGCCAAAGCTTTTGGGTATGCTCAAAAGCTTTACCGCACGCTTGTTTGCTTTTGCGCAAATTTTCTGTTCAACAGTTGAAAACTGAACCCCCAATTGGCAGGTTGTCAAATAACTTGTTAGACGTTAACAAAGGTAAAACTATACTATACTATACTGTTTACACAAATGCACAAAATAAATAAATGCACTTACTAATTGATGTTGCTTTGTTTTAGTTGAGACAACAGTTACTTAGTATATACATAATTCTTTCATTCTTAATTGCTGTTACTTGTGCGTTTGTGTTTTTGTATAGCAAATTTAAAGCTGGGAAATTTTCCATGACACACACAAACACATACACAGTCTTGCGAGCTTAGCCTTCACATTAGACGCCCAGTGACCCACATGTGTGTGTATGAACACACACACAAACAGAGGTGTGAATGGTGCTGTCGAATGTTTGTGCCGCGCTGATTTGTTGTTGTCGTGCCGGCATTTTAATTATCAACAGTACAAGCTGCAGACGTGCTCTTTAGCCGGTCGTATTTATTTAATTCCCAATATTTTAATACCCTATTTTTCGGCATGAAACGAGCGCAGAAATAACCCAAGCAACAACAACAAGCAACAATTTTGACTGAGAAAAAGTATTTAAATTGATTATAAAAAGCGATTGTTAAAGGTGGAAATAGGTGTACATGTTTTAGGTGACTTTTACACTGAGAAAAGAGTTAATGGTCACTCAAGCGTGCTTTCACTGTATTGCACGTATCCTTCAGCAAGGACATCATCCTTGAAATTATTGATTTTTTTGTGATTCAGCCTGCCTCAATGCGTCCAACAAGACTACAGCGGCACATTGCCCAAGGGAGGTGTGCAACGACCGCTAGTTAACGTGCAACAATAAAAAACACAAAACAAGCAATAATTAAAGAGCTGTGACACCCAAAACTGCTCACCTCTGCGGGTAAAGCGTGTCAAGTTCAACTTAGTCAATTTGTTTAACTAATTGCGCCAGCAAGTCATTTAAAATGTAATGTCTATTTTCTGTTTTTATTGTATTTGAACTACAGCTGGTACCACAATATGCCGCCCAACGCAACTGCTGGAGGCCAGTCGATTACCGACTCGTTGATCTCTGCCGCAGCGACAGCTGCTGCCGAATCGGAGCAGAATCCAACCAAGCTGCAACAGGATTCAACTGGTGTGTTGTTCGAGTGCGATGCCGAGACCATCGATGGCGGCCTCGTCAAGGACATTGTTTCCATGAAGAAGGCCGACAGACGCAAACTGAAACTCGTCTGGCGTAACATAATTGCATTCGGATATTTACACTTGGCTGCCGTCTACGGCGCATGGCTAATCTTCACCTCGGCTAAATGGCAGACAATTGCTCTGGGTAAGTGAAAAATACAGTCAGACAGACAGCCAGCCAGACGGCCAGATAACCGCACGGCAATCAATAGAATTTTTAATATTTATTCATTGTTTGTCATCTTAGCGTCGCGTGCCTCGCATTTCAATTGCAAGGTTATCAGCGTTGTTTACTTCAAATTTGGCACTGATAACATTGAGCAAAGTCATATCATATAGTCCAATAGATCAGACACGAATTAACATAATGCCCAATCCACGCGAAGCTTATTGCGCAACGTTTCTCTTCTCCATCAAGTATTCAATATATAACTTTTTACCATAGTCTATATATCACAGAGAGCTTAGAAACAGGGCTCGAAGTCAACTGATGAAGCATAATTGAAATGAAATTATAGTAAAAATCAATTTGTTATCTGTGGGCAATATTAAATAGGTATAAATATTCATTGGGAATGTAAAATTTAAATAATTTCCGATTGAACTTGACGACGTAGTAATATTTGTCATTCGCTTAGAGACAATTATATTTATGTCAAATACAGCTACAGAATATAAACTAAACATTAGTATTACATATAGATAAACTCACAGCCATATCTGAACATAGAATGGACAATTTTCGTGTACCTCGCAAGGTGAATCGCCATGTGCTAAAGGCCATTAGCTATATTACAGATAATGAGGATTTGGATTATGCGTCATTCGCTGATATAAAGGATCGCGTGAAGTATTCGATGCGCAATTGCAATCCTGTGCATCGTTTAGAATATCAGGTTGAGTCCTCGCTGTATAACTTGACAAAGCTGGGCGTAATCTCGATCAGCGCTGATAGCAAAGCATATGCCATACGCAATGTCGAGGATATGCTAATCAAAGTTGACAAACTGGGTGAAGATGATGATCAACCGGGGCGATAGTAAAATTTTTCAGTTATGACACAATATTAAATTCTTTGTTGTAATGTCTACATCGTTAGGTACTTTTATATATATATATATATATATATATATATAGGTTATTTCTTATATAAATATCATTTTGTTCTTATAGCTTTCGCTCTTTATGTTGTCTCTGGTTTGGGCATTACGGCTGGCGCTCATCGTCTGTGGGCCCATCGTTCTTACAAGGCTAAGTGGCCGCTGCGCGTGCTGCTGGTCATCTTCAATACAGTTGCCTTCCAGGACGCCGCCTACCACTGGGCTCGCGACCATCGTGTGCACCACAAATACTCGGAGACCGATGCTGATCCACACAATGCCACGCGTGGCTTCTTCTTTTCGCATATTGGCTGGTTGCTGTGCAAGAAGCATCCCGAGGTGAAGGCCAAGGGCAAGGGTGTTGACCTATCCGATTTGCGTGCCGACCGCGTTCTGATGTTCCAGAAAAAGTGAGCGCCTTCATAAGCCAAGCACTTGTACCCTAAGCTAACTTCTTCTTCTCCTGTTGCCTGTTTTTAGACACTACTTTGTGCTGATGCCTTTGGCCTGTTTCATTTTACCCACTGTGGCGCCCATGTACTTCTGGGGTGAGAGCTTTGTGAATGCCTGGTTCGTGGCCACCATGTTCCGCTGGTGCTTCATTCTGAATGTGACATGGCTGGTAAATAGTGCTGCGCACAAATTCGGCGGCCGTCCCTATGACAGGTGAGTTGAATAGCTACGAAATCGTTGAAACTCTTTTTCAACCACATTTCTCTTCTCTGTACTTAGATTCATCAATCCTTCGGAGAACATTTCGGTGGCGATGCTCGCTTTCGGTGAGGGCTGGCATAACTATCATCATGTGTTCCCCTGGGACTACAAGACCGCTGAGTTTGGCAAATACTCGCTAAATCTGACCACGGCTTTCATTGACTTCTTCGCCAAGATTGGCTGGGCCTACGATCTAAAGAGCGTGTCCCCCGACATTATCAAGAAGCGTGTGAAGCGCACCGGCGATGGCACCCACGCCACCTGGGGCTGGGGCGACAAGGATCAGCCCAAGGAGGAGATCGATGATGCCGTGATTACACACAAAAAGAGCGAATAAATTGATTGTGGGTATCTCGCAGGATAGCCAGAATGAAATTGAATCAAAACAAAAGCAGAAATAGATCTAACAAACTATGAATAATGATATTTCCGTTTTAAAAGTGCCGGCTTAATAATATCCAAAGCAGCAGCAAAGCAAAGCAGAAACAACGCAAAGCCAAGCCAAGCCAAGCAAAGCAAAGCAAACAACAGCAGCAAAAAAAAACAAGCTGAACCCCTTTTAAATAATTTTAAGAAATGATGTTGATGATAAACATCTGTTGTTTATCAATAACTGTGTACCGTCTGTGTTAAACCAGCTCTGGAAATCGTTTTTTTATTCGCTCCACATTTGCTTCTTTTGGAAATGCATAGATATCGGCCCTTCCGGATGCCAACCAGGTGTACTGAGTACCCCGTTTGGACCAGCACTCGGACAGCGGGCAGAAATTTAACTTTATACTTATACATACACATACCACTATATACTATATACACTATTACCTATGTTATAAACGACCACAAAGAAATTTTATTTATGGTTCAATTGGATATATATGTGGAGCCTCTCAAGTTTGTAACAAGCAAGATTCACTTGAAAATGAAAATGAAAATTATTTATAATGAGAAATACCTGCAAAAAAATTGATAAATTATAAAAGTTTTTAGTGTTTATGGTAAACCAAAAATGAACTAACACGAATCCAAGAAATCATAATATATATTATATGTCTACTATATATAATAAACGATCTATGTTAGACACACATACACACACACAAACACATATATATACATAAACCTCTTGAACACCTAAATGAATTTTTCGCAAGAAATTGTTATAAATAAAATCGAAAATCTCTTCGTTTTAGCTTTTAAACCCAAAGTAGCCTTTGATTTTTGCTCCCCAGCTCGAGCTCTTGACTCGACTTGAACTATTTCAAAACACTTCGGAAAGTAGTACAAAACACAAACTGGGCAAAGCGCACGAGAATATTAACACGTACATATATATAAATATATATATCATAAAAGCATTTAAACATTAACTTTTTTATTTGCAAAATTATTGTTTAATTATTCAAACATGGATCAATTCAACGTGCCAAAGAAAGTGAATCGGCATGTTTATAAGGCCGTCAACGAATTGCAGGATACGCTGTCCGGTTTTGTGTCCGCCGAACTGATCAATCAGCACGTGAAATATAATTTGCGCCATGGCAAGCCGTTAAACAATGTGGATGAGTTCATTCATCAATCGCTGTGCAATCTGACCAATCTGGGCGTTCTGGCCTGTACGGGATCATCGGGCTATGCCATACGACATACCATTAAGCGCGCCAGCAAGAAATTTACTGGAGTACCAGGATGTGATTTAGGGTCCAAGGCGAGCAAACGTTCTGCGGCCGCAAAGAATCCCTCCGTCAGGAATATAAAGCGGGGATTGAAATCAAGGACAAAGAGAATTCATGTTCCCATTAAACGTACGAAGAGAGGTTATGGGCGCGGGAAGTCGATAATATGCCTTGGTTGTCGTTCGGGTTTAGTCGATATATGTAAAATGCTAACACAGAACAATCTAGTGGAGATGAACGTAAAGCTAGAATCAAGTGAATCAAATCGCCAACTGTTTGCTGAATCGAGCAACATGGAAATGGATGTTGTTCTAGAATCTGATACTAGTTCTCAGACTACTATTTATAACGAGTCGAATTAGAGCTCATCAGTTTTTAGTTAATGTGAACTGATAAAACAAGTAACAAATAAACGTATGTATTGGTTGAAATGTAAACAAGCCGGCACTTTTTCGATAGTCAAAAACTCGGTATCAGAAAATACTAATATGTGGCGGTTGGTCGACTAGCGGCTAGCGTGTCACAGCTGATTCGTTTTTGGCGCTTACAGTGCCATATTGAGCTGTACCTTAACATGGCTGCATTCTAAATAACATTGTGTATATTTACACTTGACATTTTCTCTTAGTTATTTCAATCCACTCTCAAACCTCATCACATACACACATTAGCCCTGCGTCAAACATTTTTGTGCATTTCGGTTTTATCTTTCCGCGAAGCTTCCTTTGCGTTGCATTTCATTGTTTAAAGCACTTGTTAAATAGTATGCATAAGTAAAAAGTGTTTTATTGTTTACGCGCGCTAAGCATCAATTAAAAGTCGCAGTTTCTACTCACGCCTACGTTTCTGTCTTCGTCGAGTCTACCGTCCCGCTTGTGACGTCAAATGCTGTACGGTCTGATATGTACAATATAAACAATTAGATAAATCTTCAATAATTTACAAGGATTAAATACAAATAATACGACAAAATGGAGATGAAATTCGTGATGATATTAATACTCGGCTTTGGCTTTATGTTTGTTTTCACTGCATTTCAAACAATGTGTAACATCGAGGTGAGTTTTGAGTGCGCGTCCGGGCTTTTGTATGCCTCTGTGTGTGAGAATTTGCGTGTATGTATGCGTGGGCGTTGTTGACATTCCCTGTGCCATAGAACACAGGGCTATTTTCGTCCTTGTCCTTGCCAATAGACGTTGTCGTAGCCTTGGCATACGTGGTCGTTTCTCAGTTGTTATTCTAGCCACCCACCCAAACACGCGCGCAAACACACAAATACATACACACATTCCTATATATTAGCTACTTTGTATAAAGAAAGTGCTTCATTCAATTACCATTTGAGTAAATTACTCTGATTTCTATGTATGCACACATACATGTAGATATAAATGTATACAATGTCTAAAGTAACACAGCGCCCTACTTATGTTATAGCTGTTGCTTTAAATATCATATATCATTTCTAATCAGCTCGTGAACTTTATTTGCTTAAACAGCTCCTAGTTATTACAATACGATAATATATTAAGGCTGATAAGGCTATAAAATGGTTGTTTATATTTATGTATATATGTCAAATAAATCAATTGAATTAATGCAAGACTCTCTCACATTCAATTGTCGAGCTCAAAAGTCAACTTTCAATTAAGAATCAACTCCCTTTGTCAGAGGTGAAGGGCCTTTGATAGACTTTTGTGGTCTGATAACAGAAAACGCCCACACTAATTGTATGTGTGTGTGTGTCTGTCTGTGTGCCTTTGTATTTGTATGTGACCCTCTGTCATTACAATAATTACAAACATTTAATGTTTCTGTGCGAGGTTTACATATAACATAAAGGCATGTAAATCTATATGTAGCATCATTAATGAGTCCATTCACGCGATAATTTGCATAACGGCTTATTCAGACTTTCGTCCGGGTTCTGTTAAGATGAAGGTCACTCGCTGTTGTTTATATCTAGTTATGAAAACAACGAATCTGAGCTGCTTTGTGTAGACAGGTTGCACAGTAACTTATTCAAGATATCTGTGCTCAGGATAGTAAGACTTTTAGTCATGGCACTTACAACGAATATGACATGCCCAGTTTTATGTTACTTTTCAGTTTACACTTATTAATTTATAAAGGGAATTTTTGTTATCTTGTTGCTTGACATATATGTTAAATACGAGATTTACAGCTGTTAAATACGATATTGACAGCTGTTGAATATGAAAGCCAATTTAGAAATATATATTAGCTGAAATAAGAGTATCGTTAAACGCGTTAAAATCAACTTTTGTTCAATGTTTTTTATCTGGTGGAATTTCAGGTTTTTGTTTTGTATGCTAAAAGCATTTTTTGTCGATTCTCTTTTTGATTCGAATTCGAAACGAATTTCTTTACTCATCATATACATATGTACATACGTATAAATGATATATTCTGTTCAAGTACGCAGTTCAGTGAACCGGTTTACAGACACCGTTATGAGAGAGCTTCACATTTATATTTTGTATCTTCAAAGTTTTGTTTGCTACTTACCAAAAGTCATTTAATTAGTGCGCTGCGTTTTGTATAAATAACTATGTTAACTCTCACTTTTATGCAAACGTTTGCTCAATTCGCCCTCCGGTTGATTCGAGTTTTGTTTTCTTTTTCATATGTTATTTAATAATATATAAACTACGCCTCACATTGAAGTGAACTGGAATTCCAAGCTGGGCGTTCACCAAATGCCGCTTACCAAACTTATAGAGGAATAACAACGGTCGAGCGATCGATCGACCACTCCGTAGCTAACGCAAACTGAGTGTATGCTATTTCAGTGCCTGGCCCATTAGAGCGCAATTTCAGTGCAAAGACCTTGGCTTATGGTGCAATCTATCCGTAGTCCATAAGTATGTTAGTATATAGACATCGAAATAACTGCCTTATTCCAGTATTAATCACTGCGTAGTAGCTTCAGTGCTTATATTTGCTTTGATACTGAACGAAATATAGGTAAAGTTAAAGTTAGAACAATACAATAGGCTTTTAAAATATTCCAAATTGATTAACAAACATTTAACATTCATAAACGAAAACTGTTAACACCATACTGTTAACAACACACATTAAAGACACGATCAAAGTGTTCATGTGCTCGCACATGTTAAAGGGAAATTAATGAGGAACCAGTTCGCTGAATAACCCACATGTTTGTTAATGGGAACCACAAAATTAGCGAAATTTTATAGCTTTCCACATGATTGCGCAATGAAATGCAAGCTATTGCGATCAATAGACAGGTTGTGTGCTTGTGTGTATGTGTGTCAACGCATCGTTGTCAGCTCTTTCAATGTCAATGAAATTGCAAGCTCGCTGCACACACACAAACGTTCGCATACAGACATGTAGACCCGCCAGGCTCAAGGCCAAGCTGGCCAGCATATACATTAGTTAACATGCAAACATAGAAATACACTCGCACACACACATACGTTCAAATACGAAGTGTTGCCAAACGACGCAAACTGCGCCTGTCCCCTAGGCTGAGCATAATAACCGTTAGTCGCCAAACAGCGACGTCATTACTCAACCCAAAAAAAGTGGGTGCGCCATAGACGAGCCCACAAGGATACCCCGTTACCCCGTGCTACCCTCTAATTGGCTACGCTGTTGCATATGAAACAGAAACCTAAAAAACTAGCAAACGAAACTTGTTTCTGCCATATCTTTTTGCAGGCCTCCTTTTAGGCTGCGCATTCGCATTGTTCAAGAGTTGTCTCACCAGCTGATATTTACGTAACATGAACAAACAACTGTTTATATTAAATCCTAACGCTTCGGCCAATAGTTGAGCAGTGGCTCTTAATTCCGGACTTTATATATATATATATATATATATATATATATATATATATATATATATATATATATATATATATATATATATATATATATATATATATATATATTTCTGCGTCAAATTTGCAGTTTGAATTTGAAGTTGAAGTCTTTTTTTTTAAGACTTTGTCACTTTTATTTGTACAAAACTTGACCCAGATTTGCAAGTGCAACTCTTTTTTTTAGCTCGTTCATTGATCGTGAGTCCCATAGTCGTTATTGAACTGATTAAAACAAAGTATAAAGAGCTCTGTTATCAGTTTATTGTTATTATGCTCATTGAAGATTTTGCGCAAGAAATTAATGATTATAATTTATGCCAAGTGTGCAAAACTGGTTCAATATTGAACTTTGAACTAAGAGTCAAATGGAATCGAAACCTGACTAAGTGAGACAAGTCAAAGAACCATGAGCTGAACTTATAAAGAGAGACGTGAGAGCCTGCAGCCCTGGTTTATTCTTGCTCTGATAACGGTGATTTACAATTGGACAATTCGAAGATCTTTGATAAACAAATAATTTCTATGTTGCGCAAGTGATAAGAATGTTTCTGTTTTAATTATCAATAAAAGCTATAAGAATAATTGTTTGAATATTTGTTTTATTTATAAATAACATTGAAATATATATCAATGAGAGGAATATTTTATAAGGCTTGGAAATTCTTTAATTTGGAAACATTTTGGAACTAATGTGAGTAAGGTTTAGATATCGAAAAAAAAAAATATATATATATAGTTGCCATTTATTCCATTAATAATTAGAACATAGTCAGTCAAAATTTCTGTGAGCTAATGATATTTATTAATAATAAATCATTATCAAATACTCCAAAATGTTTCAGCTACGTTTTCGATATGCGTGTTGATAAATTAGTGTACATTTATTATATATATGTAAATATATATATAATACATAACTTTTTGTTTCACTTTCACTTTCATCCGCTGTCATTGACATTTATAGATAGATATATATATATATATTATAAATAGCTCTATAAATGGGCACAAAAATATATATATATATATATGTATTAATGTAAATCGTAAATTGGTGTCATAGTCAAGTAGACGATAGCAATATCTATTCGTTTTCGTTTTCAGTAAATTTTCAGACAAAATCCTTCGGCTTAAGCGTGGAAAATTTTTGTGTACAGAAAACACGTTTGCCTCTGCATCTGTGGCACATGAAATTTTCCATAATTGCGAATTAATTAATGCACAATGTGGCAGCAAGCCAGCCATGCAAGAATGTTTCTGTTGCAGCTGTCATTGCACTTGAATTTGGTGGCAAACAAAAACCAGTTTCAGTTTGATTTACTGCATATAATTAACGTGTATTTATATATATATATATAATTAGTTATATGTATAATATGCCTCTGTATATTTAAACCTATATATAGTATTGACAAACTGTAGACGAAAATCAACGCCAAAAGTGGAAGTAACGCCCACTACCGCATCCGCATAGGAAACGCTTCGACCTAGTTTAACCTTGATTTGACGACACGTGCTGCACATTTAAGCGAATGCTTAACAGTCTGCTATTGTATACTTAATACCCTGTAATTGACTACTGCAAATGGGGTAGATTGCAACTAGCCAGAAACAGATTGTTGCTGTGGCATGCAAATTGCGAGCAAATCATTCCAATTTGAACTACAAATTATTAATATATATAGGCATATCTACTAGTTTCTCTCTTATCTAGTTAACTTGATCATATACATTTGATATAACAAATTTAAAGTTGCGACCCTAAACAATATTTGATATTTGTTTACAGCTTAAAATCTCTAGCTTAGCAAGAGCTCTATGTCTTTAGAGATACAGTAAAGGCTGCCTAAAGAATCTTCTAGCTTCGTCAAGTTTAGTTTACAGAAGGCAAGCCTTAATTATTAATTTATACAATAAACGAAAATAAGTTACAGCGTATCTCTTAGTCGATCACATTCAATTGCATCTGCTTCACTTGCTACAAGTTCTGAAAATCTATTCACTCCACAGAAAACGATATTGGACAGCATTTCGCAGGAGGATGACAGCTTCAAGGGCGACGGCTACACGAGCCTGGCCATACTCTATCTGTTCTTTTCGCTCTCCAATTGGCTGGCGCCGTCCTTCATATCGTTCACGGGTCCACGCGTGGCGATGGTGGTGGGCGCATCGACCTACACGTGAGTGCTGGCGCGATCTGTCTATATCTATCTGTATATTGATCTTGATTCCATTCCTGCAGACTGTTCATGATCACCTTTCTGTTCCCATCGACCACGCTGCTGTATGTGGCAAGCGCGGTGCTGGGCCTGGGCGCCTCGATCACATGGACGGGCCAGGGCACCTACTTGGCGCGTTGCAGCAGCTCGGAGACGATTTCGCGCAATTCGGGCATCTTCTGGGCTCTGCTGCAGTGCAGCATGTTCTTTGGCAACCTGTTCGTGTACTACCAGTTCCAGGACAAGACGCACATTGACAAGGAGACACGCAATCTGGTCATTGGCGTGCTAACCGTTGTGGCCATACTCGGCATTGTCTTTTTGGCTGCGCTGCGCTTCATGGCCAGCAACGCGGAGCAGGACAATGAGCTGGAGCAGCAGCACACGGGCTGTGGCCAGGCGCTGTACGCTTTGAAGCTGGCCGGCAAACTGTTCTGCACCAAGAAAATGCTGCTGCTTAGCTTGGCTTTCTTCTACACGGGTAAGGCTTCTGGATGATTTATGATTTAGTTTCCTTCGAAACTGATTTGGGTTTGATTTTAGGTCTGGAGCTTTCGTTCTTCAGCGGCGTGTTCGGCTCGTCCATTGGCTTCACCTCGAAAATTGCTTCGACGCCTAAGGAAATTGTCGGCCTGGTGGGCATCTGCATTGGCGTCGGCGAAGTCTTTGGCGGCGGTTTCTTTGGCATTCTGGCATCGAAGACGACTCGCTTTGGTCGCGATCCCATCGTGATTGCCGGCTATGTGATGCACATGGCTGCCTATTTAATGACATTCCTCAATTTGCCCAATAGCGCACCGTTTACGGATACCACCGATATATCGTATTTGGACCCACCCAGTGCTACAATGGCATTAGTGTGCGCTTTTCTGCTGGGCCTGGGCGATGCCTGCTTCAATACGCAGGTCTATTCTATGCTGGGCGGCGAGTTCGTTAACAATCCAGTTGGGGCCTTTGCCCTCTTCAAGTTCACACAGTCCGTGGCGGCGGCCATCAGTTTCTTCTATTCCTCACACTTTGGCCTCTACATCCAGCTGGCCATTTTGGTCATCACTGGAACCATTGGCACGGTGGCATTTGTTATTGTTGAGTGGAGCTTTAAGCGGGAGCATCGCGAGCAGGAGAAGTAGATTGAGACGTCGCCTGCAGAGTAGTCTAATTCGTAACAAATTGAATGCTGTTTGTATGTAAGATTAGTAATAGTATTGAAATATATTGCTTAAGGTAAAGCACGCTTTTGTGTATATATATGTCTATATATATGTGTATGTGCATTGTTTGTTAAAAAACCCTTCGCGCGTGCATTTGCACGTGCACGTGCGCCGGCGTCTTCCTATACATATGCAATAATAGTTAATTTGTTGATCGCTGATGTTGCTATATGTATGAATGTATGTATTTTAATGTTGAACTCCAAAAGATATTCGTATTAATTAGCTGTAAATGTTTTTTTATATGAATATGTGAATGTTTATAAATGTGTTTATTTATTTTAAGCACACAAGTACACGTGCAATTGTAAATTGATATTGTCTACAGTTCGCATTTACAGTGCAAACATAAAATATATACGTAATTGGTGAGAAAATTTAAAGGTTTGTTTCATTTCAAATGTGCTGAAAATACATTTGAAACCATTTTACTTAGAAGAGATCGTGTATTCAAAATATTATCGTTATAAAACTTATCTTCAAATTACTTTAGCTTAAAATATAGTCATTTAAGCTTTCTGTAATCATTTAAAATTTAAAAACCAACTGTTATAAATAAAATTTAAAATTTGAACGAAGCCGCGGAACTGAAGTGCGCGCTGTTCAGCACTGGTTGCGATTAGTTAAGTTTCGTCAAGTTTTTGCTGCCGTTTCATTTTATCGTTCGGTTGCCGTTTCATTTTAGCGTCTCGCGTTTGTTGTCGAACAACACTTGTCGAGAGTGGACGTGCCGTACTTTTGTCGCAGCGCGAAGCTATTGGGTACGCATTGCGGGTGTTTGTGTTTAATTGCGAATAAAACTACTGAAAATCGGTCGTGGCTACAACAACAACTGCCGCAAAAGCCATTGAATAGATTCAATAATAAATAACGTGTAGAATTTTAAGGTGACGCTGTGTCTATGTGTTCGTGCGTGTGCGAAATAAAAATGGCAAAAAGCAAGAGCGGCTAGCAGATGTGCGCGTGTGTGTGTTTTTTTTAAATTGCTATTAACGGCACCGAATTAGCATTAAATTATTAAGTAGTAAAATATTTGAAGCGGCACAGGCTAAAGTACAACTGCAATTCAATTCAGCGACGATTGCAACGCGTAGGTAACTTTAATAATTAGTAATATTTTTAATATGCGTGTGTGTGTGTCGAAACCTTGAGAAATTTGTTTGGTATGTGAGCCAAGTGCCAGCATAAAAACAAAAGCATTTCCAATTCAAACTCATGCAGGCGCAACAGCAGCGGCAGCAGCAGCAGCCTCAGCTGACAGCAGCAGCAGCAGAGGCAGAGGCAGCGGCTGCGATGCGGCAGAATCGCTACGCCTACGCCAGCGACGACGTCATTTGAACGCATTTCGCTTTTCATTTTGTGTTTGTCGTCTGCCGTTGTAGGCGGAGGGGCACTTTCGTACCAAGCAACTCGATAGTTGTCTCTCCCAGAGCAAAGTGTGTCTCATGTGACCGTTGCGTGTGTGAGTGTTTGCCTGGGTGTGTGTGTGTGTGAATTTGTTTGTCTGTGAGTGCTCCTTGGACGCTTGTGCTTGGTCATCGCTGCTTTAACGTTTTTCCGTCTCCGCTTGTGTTTGTCTCTGTCTCTGTTTCTCCTTTCATTCATTTTCTTCAGTTTATTGAATGCTCTACGCTTGGGTCAACAAACCAAATGACTTCAACTTCGTCTTTGTTTGTGTTTGTGTTTGTGCTTGCGCTGGTGTTTGTCTCTCTTCTCTTCTATTTAGCCATTGATCGCGTCCGGTGATTTGATCAACGTCGCAGTCGGCGCAGCCTTATTCACTTCACTTTGCTTTGCTTTTATTGGTGTCATTAAAAATGGATGTATGGAAAAGGTCAATCACACAAATGCACATACACGTTTAGAGTGACTTGCTGTGTCCCTGAACCATTAGAAAATACAACCGGTTATATTTGTATACCCTGTTCACAATGCGATCAGGAGTTTACTATAGTAAAGTCTAATATGTAGCTATACATATACATATTTATATACATAGTTAAGGATAACTAAGGAAAAAACCTTCTCTGTATAGCTTAGAGTCTGAGCACACAGCATCACAGTCTGACAGTCACTGAAAACTCTTCTTTAACAGAGTATTGCGCAGTTGTTAGATTCCAATTGCTTAGCACATAACAGTATTCACAGTCTGCCCATTCAAACCAAACTTCATTATCATTCATTTTGGCGTTTCGTTTTGTTTTTCCCACCCAAGATATTCATCTTCATCTGCTTTTCTTGCTCGCTTTCCTCTTGGCTCCGTGTCAATAGCCTAGAACTTGAGCGAAAATAGAAAGAAATGCCAAAATAGATATTTGCCAGTAATGAATGTGCTTTTGGGTTTTGTTGTTGTCGCTGCTTCGGCTCGGCTCTCACCTTGCGGCTAGCTAATCAGGGCCAACTCAAAAACCAAACAAAAACAAACCAAAACTAAACAAACGTCAAGCTTGAAAGCGCTTTTTGCTGTCATTGGTGTTAATTTGGTTAGAGGAGTCATAACACCTCGAGTCTGTCTGCTGCTGTCTGTCTTCTGCTGCCTTAATTTACGAGCCTGTTTAGTGCGCAGGCGAGATTAGATTAAAGTAGAAGAAAAAAGAGAAGTCGGCTATGGTATACCTATGAACTAATTAATAATGTTGGTTGAAATGTTAATTAACATTTATGTGCAAGTATGGATAATTTAATGTTACGATAACAGCTGAAATCAAACATCAATTATGTTAACCTACCGCACAAATGTTAAGCTGCAACAGAGAAATGTTAAATTGTGTTTATGCTTGTTTGTTAGTTCAGCAAATGTAAATAACATTCCCAGAAACTATACTTAACATAAAAATGTTAACTAAAGTGATTTATGTTTGTTTCGATCATATATCATTTTCTGTTATTGAAATTAGATACTTCAGAGTTAATTTAAGGTCTGCAATTCTAATATGATAACAACAGATGCCATATATTAAGTCGAGTGTAATACAGTAGTTGCTTAAGTCCGCTTTTAGACGTACTTGTTATATAGTGCCACCCACTTATCATCATAAGGTATTTAACATTTTTTCGTTATCGCTAATTTAATTAATCATCAGTTGCCAAAGTTGTTGCTGTTAATGGTGTTGTTGTTGCGCCTTTCGCTGAGCTCAGCGGCAAAGAAAAGCAAAAACTTAATTCACTTTCAACTTGAAGTTGACTAGTGAAGTGGCAAGGCCTTTTGCCGGCACGTTAATAAAAAATGGCAACAATAACAAGCCCATTCGCGGCAAAGTCAACTTTTTCGCTCGTTAGCGCTTGTACAGATACAGCCACAGATACAGACAATATAAATGTATGTACATGGGGCTATGTATCTTATAGATACATGTACTTAACGGGCAAACGTGTCGTCTCAAGCTTCGCTCCCGCTCACCACTTTTCTCTCTTTTTTTTTGCTTTCTTGTTAGTTTTTAATTTGTTTTCGCCTTGCATAGATTTTGGAATTGGCAGACCCACGCACACACAGACACAAAAGGCGGCTTTGTATCTGAGTATCTTTGTATCTGGGCATCTTTATCTGTGTAACGAGCGTGGCAAATGCAAAGCGTCGTTCGGCATTCGTCGCGCCTACTATGGTGCTATGATAAAATTGCGAACAGACTCGTTTTTTTTTTTGGCACTTCGAAGATAGACAATTGTATCTAGCAGATACATTTGTATCTTGCACTCTGTGGCCGCATAATTGCAGCTAGCGAAGCGTTAAAGCATAGCGGCGCTCTGTTAATTCTGTTACAGAACCAAACCAAACCGAAGCGAACCTAACCGAACCCAGCTGGCAATGCACATGTAAATGTTTCCTTACAGCTAACGGCCTGGCAATTATGCTGTCATAAATGAGTGAAGCACAAGAAGAAGAAGCAGCAACAGCAGCAGCAGCAGCAGCTACAACATTAAAACAAGCCAAGCATTCAAGTTTGTTAATGGCATGCAAATGTTTCTGGCCAACAACTTTCTCAGACATTAAGACACACAGTAAAAAAGATGCACTTAAACCCATTAGCCTAATGATGCAGTCACACAGTAGAAAAGAAAACACATATACATTAGTTTAACAGTTAACAACTTACCAAATGCCAGCAAGATCGTTGTAGAAGAAGTTACAAGTTATCTAATCTATATCTAGATGACTTCTTATGCGTATTTAATTTATATATTTGTTGATACATAGTCTCAGATATGTCGATTTCAGTTTCATGTAGACAAGCTTAATGTTGAGTAAATAGGTTTACGTCTCAGTGGAACTTATCAGCTGATTGCCAAGGCTACACGTTTCTTAACTTTATACATTTATAGACTATAAAAATTAAAAAAATATTTAATTTTTTTAAGTTTTAAATTTGTTGTTTAAAAAACATTTCAAGCAGCAAATGCTTTGATATAATTATAAAATATTTAAAAAATTTCAAAACACATAATTTTGAAAAATATTTAAGAAATTTAATTAAACACAAATTTAATTTAAATGCATAAGTATAAAAAGTTGTAGTTTTAGTTTCTTAAACTTACAAACAACCACCAAATTGCCCAGTTACAATAACTTTATATAGTTCAAGTCTTGGAAGTAGTTGCATAAACAGTTTCGATGGTCTCTGTATTTGTAGCTATAAAACAAATTGTGATAAAAATATTGTGATTTGTTTTAAGTAAGCTAAATGATGCAGACTTTTACTTAAATTATACAGACAAACTATTTGCAACTTGCAAGTCACACAACTTGGTTGTGCAAGCGCCCACATGATCTAGTTATAATATCTTGAGATAGTTGCCAGCTGAAAGCCGCTAAAAAAGCTAAACAGCTGCAGAGGGAAACCCACAAAATGCCAAATGCAAATTGCATACGAGTACTTCATTATCTAAAGATCACAAAAAACTTGTGTGCGTTGCACGTTGAGTGCTGTTGCCCTTAGCCCCGCCCACTGAGCAGCCAGTCCAAGCCTATTTGTCGGCTATCTGTCTCCTGGCAACTTGACTGAAGTACACAGACACATATATGTGTTTACACTCGTGCTCTTCACGGTTTGCATTTCGATAAAATGCTGTTGTTTACTTTTCATCAATAAAATGTTTGGCCAGCAACACGACAACAACAGCAAACAGCAAACGGCCACGTTTCAGCCAAAGAATAACAGAAAATAGAAAATAGAAAATAGACAGGTGTTTTCCGGCATTGGCATATGTCGTAAACTGACATTTTCTTTCTGTTAGTTTTGGCATTTGATCTAAGTCTTTAGGTTCATTCCTTGCCCTCAACTTTAGCTAAGTGTAAGCGTTTAATAAGCTTGCCCGACTTAGCTATACTCTGTAGTGGTTGAGCTGGCAAAGAAGTTTTGCTTAAGGGTTGAATCTAAGTTTGACTAAGGAAATGATAGTTTAATAGGGTATACTTAGAAAGGTATGCCTAGCTTATAATACAAGCTAATATACAGATAGTTACAGATATATAATAGATGTTCGAATAGATAGATATATAAGTAGATAGACTGATGTTTAGAGAGATGATAGGTAGATAAATAGCTACACATAAAGCTAAGCAGATAAAAATAGATATAAGATAGACATATACATAGAGAGATAATAGCGGAAGCATGTTTGTATGACTTGTATACCCTGTAAATTTCATGAAAAGCAAATAAATTATTCTAAAAAAATATTCACTAAGTGAAAGTAATTAAGCTTGCAGCTTACAGGGTATTGCCTAGTCGATCAGACGTACAGCTACTCCTACTCGTACCCCTTCTGCTTGGCAAGCTTTTCATGGTCGAATGCCAACATGTTGCGAAGCGACGCAGCAGACCTGCTGCCTTGCCTCGCCTCGCCTTGCCTTGCTATAAACGAGCAACCGAATGCAGACAGAGAGTGTGCAACTTTTGTTAAATAACAATGAAAAGAATTTCTCATCTCATGTTCTCTAACTATTCTCCTCTTTGCTTCCTCTTTCTTGCAGGCGAGCGACTCGTTTTGCATACTGCATTGAAATGACAACCACAACGCAGGTGGAGATCAACACGAATGGCGCTGGGAGCGGGAGCTTGGATGGCAGCAGCGTGACCACAATGCCAACTGCAGCCAACTCCAACTCCAACTCTAACTCGAGTCCAGCTCTGGCCAAAGCCCAGCCCGTGTCCAAGAGCTTGGGCGGCGTGGGCGTGGCCAGCACACAAAGAGGTGAGCACCTGGCTGCGCTTGAGCGCTCAACTAAAGTGGAAAGAAGCAAAAACAAGTTGAAACAAAAGTCTGCTAAGTCAGCTAAATGCTGTTAATTTTGTGCCACACTTTTGCTGCTGGTTGCCAGCAGACACGCGATGTTAGCCAAAAAAAAGCACTGGATGAATGTAACGCCACAAACCCAGCTCTATCTGACTCAGTCACAAATCACAATTTATATTAACAAACATGTGTGAGGCAGCTGTGAAGGTAATTTGTCAAGGGCTATAGACAGATATATATGTAGATATCTATCTCTATATAGAATGTATATGGAAATTGAAGTTGACAGGCTGCCTGTCAGCCTGCTTGGCTAGCTGTAAGCGGAGCTCGTTATAAATAGAACTGCTTCTTTATTACATTCCCGGGCAATAGCTCATTAATAAGTTCTTAAATTAGAAGTCCTTAGAATCGTATTGAGAGTTCGTCAAATGTAATTTTAAACTGTTTACTGACTAGACTTTAAGTGATATTTGAGTTGTTTCTTATACTTGAACTTTAATCCATTGCCAATGGGAATTGTGCAGACATCATAATCTATACTTATTCTGGATAAGTACCAGATGCTGTCTGCAAGTTTGTGCAGCTGTATGAATGCTGAGAACTCGTTAACTACGACAGATGCATTCTAAATACATATATTCGTGCTTATCACATGCGGTACAAGTTCTTCATTTATAAGTTCTATATTTATAATAAATCATTCCATTTATTATTGTCACTAAATATCGATATTTTGACTTTGCTTTTGAGGCATAACTTAAAGGCCATAAAACCTAAATTTACTATATTAAAAAATATCAGATTGTGGCTACCCCTAACATTCCTCTGGCAAATAAACCTTTTTTCAAATATTTAATACTTACATTTGGATAACATTACACATATCTGTTGAAACAGTTCAGTGTATCTGCTAGTCGGATACTCTACACTGGCGACTATTCATTTCATATTTACTTGAGTGTCTACTTGAGATACACACATAGAGACATTGTATTTTATAGTTTACTTGATATAAGAGTTGCTTATATGATATCTAAATATAGGCCTTCTGAGGAAAGAGAACTGAGTCTTTAAAATTGTGAGCTAATGAAACTAAATTCATTTTTAAATATAATTATTAAAAATTAGTTTTTAAGCGCTAAATCTAAATATTTCAGTAAAACAATTGAGCTAAAGTTTTATCTCTGAATCTTCAAGACTCTAGCTATTCTCTCATGTTATTTTTTTATTACATAAAGTCTTTGTTTATTGCACAAACACTCAACTCTTTTAATTTATTGTTTAACTAATTTGCTTAAATTTCTATAGACCCAAACTTTTCTTATAGCTTCGCAGTGTTTTTTCTTTTTGGCTCAGCTGGAGTTGGCTTAAGAAAGTTTTCCCAGGGCATGTCTAGCTGCTGGTGCTATCAAGTGTGCCAGCCCGATTTGCATATATATTTCTTGATTTTCATTCACTCTTTCTCTATAGGTTTTCTTTTTATTGTTATTGCCTTTTCAATTTGCTTGCCAGATGTGCCGAGCATCTGCCGCCCCTTTTTAGCCAGCTTTATGCAACGCACCGTAATCATCTCAAGGCATTTGCTTAATGACTGCAAATCGGTTGTGCAACTTTTAACTTTTTGTTTAGCTTTTAGTTAGCAGCTCCAAAAGTTGTATCATTCGAAAGTTCCCTGATAATTTGTGTGATTAACAGAGAGAGACCCCGAAGCATCTGCTTTCCGTTGCAATTAGAAAGGCATGCATCATAGTCGTTCCATAACGTACCAGGTGACGTGTGCATGTGTGTGTCCATGTGTGTGTGTGTGTGCATATCTATATAGCTAAGTTCACGGTCAGTGATTGATTTAATTTCGATGGGCCTATTATGAAATCTATACACGCGATCTGACATTGAAATTGGGTAAGCGATGCGAATACGATTCAAATTTGGAACAATGTACCAAATGGTTACTAATTAAGACTGCGAGCTGGAGCGCAGGTGGGCGGGTGCATGCAGCAAGCTTTACTGTAAACAGCAGCAGCAGCAGCAGCGAACGATGATATTCATTGGCGGAAGCTTTGATGGAGCACAACTCACAAGCTGCACAATAAAAAGAATTGGCTGGGGAAAATGACGTTATTTGTCACATATGTGCATAGATTACAAAGAACAGAGAACCTAACTGTAGTATAGACTAATACAATGGATTTAGCGCGACAGAGCGTAAATCAAATGTGGCTTAAATTGATGTGGAAAATTTGTGCTTGATGTGAGAATAGAATCTTTAGCAAAGGTTTTTTAGATTTAAATATCTTTAGATTTTGTAGTTAGTTAGTTAGACGCCAGCGTAGCTAAGCACATATTATTTCTTGCTATATTTCTATAATATAATCAGTAACTGATAATATAAAAAGATTGTTTTCCAGCCAGAGCTGTGCTTTGCCTTGTAAAGGCTTGCAGCAAATGCAGACGTGTGTATACATACATGGTTATATATATATATATATATACATAAGCTGACTGGCATGTCTTTTCGTATCGTTTTCAAAGTATATATCATTAGCCAGCAACCACCATTTAGGTAGCATGTCTGTCTGTGCGTCTTAATTCCTGGCTGCTCCTTGTTTTTAGTCACATCCGCTTTTATAACTCGCTCGCATGCTATTTATAGCACCCTCATGGCCACCCTGCGCCAAAGGCGAGCACGCCCCTCGTCAAGATCGCAGCAAGAGCAGCCGCAACAAATATAACAAAAGCGAGACTTTTGCTAAATTTAAACCCCTAGGGGGAATCGACTGCAATCGCTGGAATGCGCAGCATATGACTGCCCGACTCTTGGCTATTCAATTATGCATTCGATTGCAATTGAAGGCAGCTGCTCTCCGCTGTACGATCTGCGATCTGCGATCTGCGATCTCCGGTCTCCGCTGTCCGCTCTCCTCGTTCCGCCCACAGCTCTCTGCATGCTCAATTACCGGTTTGCCAGTGAAACTGTAACGTTGACAAAGTCCCAGCGAAATGTTAGACGAATTTCAATATGTTTTTAGCTAACTGAAATCAAAACAAGTAAGAAAACTGCAGTCGACAGTGCCCGACTAGGCGATACCTATACCGCATGTGAAGAGCCGAATGGAATTACTTAAGTAGACTATTTATGTATCTGTATTGCTACAGATTTGTGTTTGAAATAAGTACTGATAGATATATTATAATATTGAAAATATATTATAAAAATCAAAGAGCTCAACTTCAATATACCCACACTTAAGCAGCCTAAATAGGTACAGGGTGTATGAAGACCAAAAATCAAATATCAATGCGAGAGAAACTTGTTTTGAGAATGCACAAAACGACATTTTTGTGGGCTGAAATAAGCCGAAGCGGTATTCAGAGAGCTTTTAAGTCTGGCTAGCTGCCAATGGGGCAATGTCTGAGTCATTCGTGTATTCGCAATGCGCGAATGCAGGCCGTGATTGATAATTGTTGGCTGTAATTAAGAGCCAAGTTAGAAGCAAACGCTTGGATTACCAGACGAGCGTACGGATTGACCCAGTTTAATTAAGCCATCCAATTAATACGCCGCATCTAATCGACTGATTTGATTTTTTGTTTTAGCCACGGATGTTACCAAACGCAAGAAGCTGAAATCGCGCAGCGCCACAACAACAGCGGCAGCAGCAGCAGCAGCAACAACGGGCACAACAGCAGCAGCAGCAACTACGAACAGCAAGAACAAAAGCAGCAGCAGCAATGGCAGCGCACGGGAGCAATATGCCAAGGATCATTTAGATGCCTGGCTGGAGAATTGCCTGCGGGATGCGACGAATGCGCAACTCTCATCATCGTCAGAATTCCTGGACTTTAATCCAACAACAACGAGCAATAAGACGCTGGCAGCAGCCGCAGCCGCAGCAGCAGCAGCAACAACGGCACAACAGCAGCAGCAACAACAACAGCAGCAGCAACAGCAACAACAACAGCAACAACAGCAGCAGCAGCAGCAACAGCAACAGCAGCAGCAATTTTTCATGCGTTCGCATTCACAACCGTTTGCCATGGGCGGGGCCACGCCCTTTAGCATGGGCATACAGCGCGTGAGTGTTGACCATTAAGGCCAGCGACAGTTGATGACCCAAAATAGTAAACTGTTTCCCATATTGCTTATAGCACCCACAGCCGCTGAGTTATCGTTATCCCATGCTCTTTCCGCCGCAGCCGAATGGCTATGGCCTCAACTTTGGCCTGCCCCTGCCCGGCGATGGGACTCAGGACTTTGCCAGTCTGCCGCCGCTGGTCAATATGCTGGGCGGCTTTGGCGCCAGTCCAGAGCATGACCACAACTCCACGGACGTTGTAGATGGCAGCGGCAGCAATCCGAACATAAGTCGCGGGTAAAACAATTAGACGAAGGCGATTTGGAAGCGACAATGACTAAATCTACTTTTTTGCAGCTTTCGCTTTAGTGATCCCTGCCTGCTGAACCCCTCGGACAATGACTCCAAACTAAGTGGACAGAATACGCCGGAATGTCGCAATGGCAATGGCAATGGCAGCGGCGCCCCAGTCTCGACCAACGGCAACGGCAGCGACGTCGATCAACAGAACAAATTCTTTGCCGCGCTAATGGAGCAGATTAACATATTGCACGAGACGAATTCCAAAATTTGTCGCAATTTGCACGAGACAAAAGGTGCGTGCCAGGCAGAGGAAATGCTTTTATATACCCTGTACCTAAAAGTAAATGGGAAGACTCTGATAAAGTGCAAAGAGAATCTAAATCCAGTAGTGAGAGGCATATCCGATTGCTCACTATGTACATATGCAACAGCAACAATCTAGTTGATCTAGCTATGTCCGTCTGTCTGTCTGCTGAAGTACTTATCCTTAAACATAATATGTAGATTATGCTTATTTAATATCATTAAGAATATTTAAAATCGAACAATAGTTGATTATATACAGTATATAAAGATGAAGCGTATATAGTGCAGAGTACAGGGTATATACTAGTCGTACACTCTCCATTATTGCACACATTTGTGCATACTTTTATTGTACATATTTATATGGCAAGACAGTCTGTAAATTCGTAAAGTATCTTAAACAATCTATGCTCGACTATATATATATTATATATTTCATAAGTATATATATATAGATGTGTTCTCTATCCTATATATGTAAACTCCTTTGGCTCCCTGTTGCTATCTCTTGTTGTTGATATTGTAATTGTTGAAATTTTTGAACAACTTTCTGTATTTACACGCTGCTCTCGATTATGTATTATGTATTTTGTATGCGTTTACTTTGTGCGTATTTGTTGCGTATTTTCTTTTACCATTTTTCGCCTACTATCTTTTACACACACTGCACACTACGTAAATATGTATACACACACACACACACACACACACACAGTTGATATCGAAGCTTTGAAGCACGCTCCCAATGGCCAGCCATGGGCTGGCGGCGGGGGCATGCGGCACCGTAGAGATAGCTTGAGCGGATTAAGCACACAAAGTCAACCATTGGTATTTGGCGGCGGATTCGGTGGCACGCATAGTCCAGCGCCCACTTTTCATTCAGGTATATATATATATATACTAATCTGTGCATTGTGGAACCTGTTCCAACTGCTCGCAATTAATTCATATGCCCGACTATCTTTTAGGCGCCTACACGCCCGGCATGATGACGGATGTGGTGCGCGAGGTCAAAGAGGCGGCACGCGTGCGTGAGGATGCGCTACTCAATCGGTAAGTCTCAAGCTCAGTCGATCTCTGATGCTCTTTATTAACTTAATTATGCCACAGCGTTAAGTCCATGGTAGAGGAGCGCCAGTGGTCCATGAGCGAGGGCAATGTGCGCATACTACGTGATATAGATGAGCTCAAGGTGAGTTTGTCTTTATTCAGACGAAACAGATTAGTTAATTCCTTCATTTGCAGGCCCAGGTGATGCAGCTGCGCGAGGAGCGCAAGGAGACAAAAAAACGTGTGTCCCATCTCGAGGCGGAGAACAAATATCTACGCCAGGCATTGGCCAGTTTGTTCAATCAACGACAGGCATATCACGACATTATATACGAAAACGAGCGCGCTCGAGGTGCGCGTGTCAAAGCGCCTTTTGGCTTTCCCAATGGCGGCGCACGACGTGCACACTCTCTGAATCTGCACTATGGCACCGTGCATCAGGCGCCGGCGCATCCCACCCAACTGCTTGACGAGGACGATGAAGAGGAGCAGCTGCAGGATGAGGATAATGAGGAGCTGGCGAGCAGCAAGCGTCTGTCCAGTTCCAGCAATGAATCTCCCAGCAATGGGCTGGTCGCGCCCATCAAACAGTTGCCGCAAACGCAACCCTTGCAGAGTCCGCCCAAATTCGCATTGTTGGGGGAGCAGGTGGCGTCGACGCCCACGCCGCCCCCACTGTTGCCCCGCAAAAAGGAGCACGCGCAGCTGAAGCGCGAACTCAGCGAAGCGACCAGCGCACGTAAGGAGGCCAATCAGCGTATCATAGCGTGGGTGTAGTCTATGCTCTATATGGTTTATTTTTCTGTTTTACATGTCTAAGCCGTAACCGTAACCACTCGACCTTTCCATTGCACCATTTCATTTCGCATGCATGCACATCTTTTAATGTCGCACTCAGTAACCCATTTCGTATCATGTTTAAAGCGTATTCGGTGACTAAACACAGCAAAGACCACTCACAGTATTTTTTTTGCATTTCTGCTCTTCTCTTCCTACGTCTCTGTTGTGTGCTCCAAATCAAAACTGCTGTTTCGATCGACTGTCGTTAGACTCGAAAAATTGGTTAAAGACCTAAGCGCCCAGGTGGCTAGCCAACCAAATTGGAATCCAAATGTGACTGCGCCCAATGCCGCCGCCGCCGCCGTCGCCGCCACGGCCAACAGACTCAGCCTCGCCGGCGGACCCATTACGGACTTATAGTTCTAGCTAACCGGCTGCGGCGATCCCAGCACGCCCGGCACCAAGCAACAGATGACACCGACGGGTTTACGTGTTACCCATTTATAGCAGGCACCAAAGCCTCGGCGACAACAGCGGCAACTGCACACATTTCGTTTCAAAATTATTTATAATTCTCTAACCTATGCATAAATCAACGAAATGGAGAACATGTTTAATACACACACACACACACACATCTATATATTTCTATATAAGCCAAATGATCATGTTAAAGGCCAAATCGTACCCAACAATTCAACAATTCAGGCCGCACAAATCCTCAAAATTTGTTACTAAATCAAAGTTTCTACGCATACCTACATCTATTAACTATGTAACTAATAGCGAAAAACGTGTACCTATACATATATATATAAATATATATATATATATATACATATATACATTCATATATAATTATTATAACAAGCGAACAAAAATCAAAATCTATTTAGAGACAATTGTAACTGTTTTGTTAAAGGATACAATCACTTAATACGTACGTTCATCGATATTGTTGTGCAGTGTTGTAGTATTAATCACTATTTTTTAATAACTTACATTAAACAGATTTAGGTGCCATTTGATACATAAACAACAAATTCATGTTTTATTTAACTGATATGGAAATAATCCCTACCCCAGATATGAATTGTCTTCACAGATATTTTAATTTTAATTTTAATATATGTAAATATGTATTTACCCAATAATTAACCCACAAACGCATGATTCTTTAATTGTTGTTAACACTCAGTGGGACAAAGAACATCTTTCCATCCATAGCTAGAGCAGAAGTTGGCAAACAGAAGGAAAAAAATTAGCTATATATATATAAAAAATGACTTAATGTATCAAGGACATCCAATTATAGAATTTTCTGTATAAATTGCTGATTCGATCGATTAGATACATAACTGTAGTAAACATTCGTGCCCACTTATTTCTGTTTTCAATATAAAGTCGCAAGTTCTAGTTTAATCATACATATATTACATACATATATGTGCATTTATTGAGAACACTTCGTCAGATAAACACAATCATACATAGGAATAAAGTAAAACTAATAAAATGAATTAAATCGGACGCCTCCTCAGGTGCCGCGTGCCATGCGATTAAGTCGGATATGGTGCTGCCGATGACGTCACCTGCAGCCAGTTTCTTGGCTACATGGTCAAAGCTTATAACGCATCTAGAGAAATACACAAATCCAGATTAAAAGCCAATTTATGGCAATTGATGAATGAAATGCATGTGTGTGCGTGTGGGTGTGTATATGTGAGTGTGCGTGTGTATGTGATTGTGCGAGTGTGTATGTGTAGGTGCCGTCTACATACATTGAGCTGCCATGTCACTGCTGTCAATTCCCAGCATAGCCAATTCGTCCAGCTCCGACTGGCGCCGCATTTTTTCACTCTCTGTCGGCGAGTCGGGCGGCTGGGGTATATCGCCCACATTGAACAGCTCCTCGGCTTTAGCCTTGACCTCGGCTATGGGGTCAGCTGGCGGTGTGCCAGGCATGGGTATATCTTGCGCCGTCATCTGTTTGAGACTAATGGTGCTCTCCACATTGCCATTTGCTTGTTGATAGACACCCTGGGAGGACTCATCAGCGCTGATTTGCATAGATGAATCATTGGACTGAACTGCGTCGTCAAGTGTCGAGCCTGGCATTGAGCTAGATGTGGTCTCCTCGATGGAAACCAGATGTATGCCCTGCTTAGCCAGATCCTGCAGATTATGCTCGTCTAGCACGGGCTCATCTTCCACAATGGTGGTTATAGTTTGTGGCACAGCTGGCACATGTTTATTCTGATTAGATTCGTCCTCAGCTGAACGATCCGCAGGGAATATAATATCGAGTGCTTCAGCCAAATCCTTGGGCAGTTCGCCGTCGCGCGTTTGTTTCGCCGTAGCCAGCGGCTGCGGCACCAGATCTGTTTCAGCCTCATCAATACCGGGCGGAAGTACATCCTCTTCACCGTTCTCCTCGTTGGCCAGCTGATCTGCGTCCAGGGATTCGGTGCCAACCGAATTGGCACTGTCGCCAGGTGGCGGCGGTGGCGGGCAATGTGTCATCAGATTTGCAAACTGCACTGGATCCGGCATTAGCTCATCATAGTCCATCATCATGCCGGCATCGGGATGAAAAGGTGGCGCATTACCAAAGGCATCCTCCATCATTGCCATCTGAATCTGTGCAGCTGTCGGCGCATTTTGACGGGCAGCGTTCGCCATGCCCATTGTTGTGGGTGGGGGTGGTGGAGGTGGTCCCACCGGTATGTTTTCCATGTTGCCATTGGTGTAAGTGCTCGGATCGTTGTAACTGGCAGTTGTTGAAACAGCTGGCTGCTTCTTCAGCACAGGCATTTTACCAATGAAAGGCAACTTTTTGCCCGTTGTGGCGACTGCATTGCTCGAATTGTTCTTGGTTACTTTTGGCTTAGCTGCGGGCTCCTTTTTATCCCGTTTAATATCGTTCTGCTTGCGCTCGGGCAGTTGACGTGGGCGAAACTCTGCATGTTTGACCACTGGCCGCTCGACGCGCTCTTCCGAATGGCTACGGCTGCGACTTCGACTGCTGCGACGCCAGCGACCATCACGTGAGCGACTGCGTCGCCCACCGCGCATTGGCGAACGTGAGTTGCGCCTGCGGCCGCGGCTGCGCGATCTGCTGCGAGAACGCCGGCGGTCGCGATCGCGTTCTCGTTCGCGCTCCCGATCCCGATCACGACCACGGTCACGGTCACGTTCGCGATCACGCTCCCGATCGCGCCGATCACGCTGATCGCGCTCTGTTCGCCCCCGACTTCCGCTGCGTGGGGATGGACTGCGTCGCTTCGAAACAGTCCGTCGTGACTTCTCATCGAGAGCAGCACTAGAATTTCGATTGTCATCTGCCGGGCGAGATTTGGTTTTCAGCTTGCCCTTTAGTTGCTCGAGCAGCTTCTTCTCGCTCTCGCTGATGACCGGCTGCACCGTATTCCATTGTTGCATCATTGCATCGTCGCGCTTTTTTTGATCTTCCTCTTTGTCTTTCGTATCATTACTGGTTGACGTCCATTTGCCACGTTCTGCTGCATCTTTCAGCGCATCTTTTATGAAGGGTGGTGGCGGAGGTACCACCGGAGGCACTGCTTCCAATTTGCCCGGCAGAGTTGTATCTTGTTTACGCATAGCCACACGTATTGAGGCCGCATTGGCGGAAGGCGCCACTTCCCCTGTGGCCTGTCCCTTCTTTGGTTGCTGCATCTCTTCCGCTTCGTCCGATGAGGAGCTGTCTGATGATGTGGATGCGCTGTTTGCTGTATTCGCATTACGTTTATGTTTCTTGCTGTGCTTTCGCTTCTTTTTCTTCTTTTCGCTGCTGTATTAAAGTGAAAGAGATTTTTGCATTCCTCTAATAACTATCTATTTAATACAATACGAACCTCTTCTTCTTACGCTTCTTTGAGGTCTTATCATCCTCCTTCTTGGCCTTCTTCAGCTTGGCCTCCTCGCTTTCCTTTTGTTGCTGTTGCTGGGCTCGTTCGCGTTTACTTAGAAACTCACTCTCGTAGTTTGGTTGCTTCTTCACGAACAACTGCAATTGACATTCGGAATCGTAAAATAACAATTAACGCTTGCATATTATTCCATATTATTATTCACTTACGTCATATCTGTTGGCGTGCAAACGAGATTTCAGATGCGCCGAGGCGCAGTGCAAATCGCCAATCCAAACACTGCACAATTTGCAATACCAGGCACTGGCAGGTACTAGAAATTGTAGACCTCGCACAGGTACACGCTTAATGGGCGCCTTATCGTAAGTGGGATACGGATCATGATCGATGCCCACGTGCCAGGGAGTTTCCATGGTCTCTCGATTCATATGCTCCTCGGCATGTAGATGCTTTAGATAGTCGCGGGCCGTTTTTGGGAACACACTGCAACTCTCACACCAATGTTGTTCGGGATCGAAGAATACATAATTGTAGTTCTGCACTTGAGATGCACTCGATTTAGACGCCGGTGCTGCCTGTCGCTGTTTAGCTTTCATTGTTTTGATAGCGCGGTTCTTGAGGCGATTTGTGGGACTGCCATCACCCGTGCCATTCTCTTCATCGCCCTCATCCTCTGTAGATGACTCTGACGAGCTGCTTGAGGATGAGCTTGACTCTGAGCTATCGGAGCTATCACTTGTCGTGGTGGAGGCCTCAGCACCAGCAGCTGATGGTTGAGCTAATTTACTTATAGCAGGCTCTGAGTCCTTCTTTGGCGTGACCTCCGAATCTTCGTCGGCCTCTTCATCGCCAATGATGCCATTCAACATATCTATGACGTTCTCAATTGTGTCCAGTTTTTTTTTGATTTGCACCTGCAAATTAAATTTAAAATTATAATTTGGAAGGAAATTGCATGGATAGCTATATCATCATATTGACTAACCTGCAGACGATCGTTTTCCTCAATGAAATTCTTTGTTGTTGGCGACGGTGGTGCATCGCCGGCTGTTAGATCATTTCGTTGCTCCTTTAACACTTTCATTTCCTTCTTGAGCAGCGAAACCTTCTTCACATAGTTGGTGCGTTGCTTTTTCAGCTCTTCCTTTTGATTTTCCGCCTCCTGTGCCACAGCTGCCATGATTGATGATTGATTGGAGGTTTTTTTGGGAGTGAGAGAGAGAAATTAATTAATGCACATTCTCGTTAGATGATTTAAAGTTCAAATTTCATTTACAAAATGCAGTCTCGAGTGCATTTCACGGCTAGTTACACACAGTTGGCAAATGAGACCAACGGATGCGTTCGCCGGAACGTTTTCGAATCGGTTTGTAGCATATCGGGTCTGACGGCTTGTACTGCTGTCCATCGGGTATTGGTTGTGCGTGTTGCGGCCGACGCGCTGACGGGCTGACCGTCCGTTTCGTGCCGTGTCGTAACTGCTGACCGTGTGTGCCGCCGCTCCCCCCAAACGAGAAAGTTGGGTCTTAGACATAACACGACAGAAAACGAAACATTGTTGCGCTTTGCTTACGTAAATCGAATTTGAATATTTCAAGTGTCGTCAGAGCCAAAGTCCGTGTCAGTTTAAGCTCTCGCTGCGATTTTATAGCTAGATTCTAAATGTCTTTTACAATGCATTTTCTTAAATACTTTTGTGCGTTTGCAAGCGCATATTTTAAATTACAATCAACAAATTCAATTACAAGTTGGTTTTTTTTGTTGTTAGGGGGCGCGTAAATCATGACAACAATAAAATATAATGTGAGAGGTTTGCATGTGAATTGTGGTAAGTAGCAAAGTCAAAGTTCATTTCCACACTTACCGTCCTGTGGTGGCAAACCTGCGCCCTCAAGCGCCGGAGTTGGTTGCTCCTCCATTATAACTGCCGGGGGTGGCTGCTGTTGCTGCTGTGGTGCAATCTGCTGCGCGGCCAGTGGCTCAGATGATCCTGTCGGTACATTGGGCAGCGGCTGCGGCAGCCATCCTTGTTGTCCATATTCTATTAAAAATTTATTATATAGTACACCCACTGTATGGAGCTTTTTTGGCTTACCATTAACGCCCCAGGCGCCGTAGCCCGTGTTGAAGCTTGCGGCCTGCGTGGGTGGCGGGCCTTGCATATAGCCTGGTGGCGGTCCCGTCGGCGGAAAGGCATTTGGTGGCGCCATGCTGTATTGGTGTCCATATACATCTGGTGCACCATACGCAGCTTGGCCGTACATTGGAGCCGTCATGACACCGTAAGCTGCTGCCTGGACAGGATGCGTTAGCTGTTGCTGGGCAAGCTGTTGAGCTGCTTGGGTTGGCAGCGGCGGCGAAGCTGGCTTTTTCTTAGGCGACCATCGAGACACTGGACTAACACCACGACCTCCGCCTCGCCTTGGCGGTGAGCCGCTGCGCGAACGCGATCGGGATCTGCCGTAACGATCCCGTCGACCACGACGTGGGGGCGATCGCCGGCGATCTGGTGAACGTCGTCGCTCGAAGCGACGTCGTGGCGGATATCGCCCATAGTCCGGTGAATCATAGCGTCCTCGACGCGATGGCGGTGGTGTCGGTGATCGAGTATGTGACCGCCTCCGCCGTAAGGGTGAAGTAGCGTGGCGCGAACTCGAGCGTCGTCGGGACGTTGAGCGTCGACGTGAATTCGACTTCGTTTTGCGGGATGAAGGCGCCGCGGCTGCTGGAGCCTCGTTTTTTTCACTAGCATCATTGCCGTCCACGCCGGGTGGACCGTCATCCAGCGAACTACCCATGCGCTTATCCGTTCCCTGTTTCAACTGTGTGTCGTCATCCATGTCGAAAGAGTGGAATGTATTCCACTAATTACTTGTACTTTTAATGTGCACTTAATGGTTTTTATACGTTTTGCTTTTTTCTCCGTAGATTTTGCCAGTAGAGCTGCAAAAATTATGTCGATACTATCGACAGCTACTACATAAAAGTGTCGGCACTATCGATAGAACGAATTGTTTCGATTTTAATACGATTGACCAAGTGTGACCAAACAAAAACTAGTGAAAAATACAAAAAATGTATTTCATTTATCTTAAATTATATTTTTCTTTTATACATAATTTAAACATGAATACAGTATATTATTAGACTCTGTAGAAAAAATACTAAATATTTCTGTATTTATCGATATCTTAAATTCGAGTTCGAATTCGCGTCATCTTGAAAGGAGAGCGGCACAACTGCCGACATATTGAAAACAAAGAAAAAGTGTTCAATAAAACATATTATTAAAATGGATCGTACAATAATTGCGCCGTGGAAAGCTGAAGAAAAGGATCTTAGTGAAAAGTTACACCAAAAGCTGAGAGGCTTAGCCTTAATGCATTCCATGAATGATGAAATGAAGAAGTTGTTGTCGTGGGACATGTTCCTAAAACCCAATCAGCCCGCCTTTTTTCAAGTAATGCACTATCTGTTTCGTATACTGGATCCAGCCGAGTTCAAGCGTAGGTTCTTTTGGCCCATCACCGACAAGAAAGCGGAAGGAATCTTTCGAGCAACTACCGTTGATTATCTGAAGCATTTGAATGCGAAACATAATCTCAATTGGACTAACATTAAGTCGTATTTGGTTGTCATGCCGGGTGGAATGAAGTTCATCAACTTTATGTTAGATCTTGTTGGCTTCGTAATAAATGAACAGATCAAGCAACGGGAGAAAGCTTTGGCCGCTGACTTCGACATTTCACAATTTCGTGACTGGAGTGCCGAAAGAATGGAAATAGCAAACAAAATCCGAAAAGACTATGTTTCGGCATATATTGAAGAGCTGGACGAGAATACTGCCAAATTACGCGAGTGTACCCAGAAAATTAAGGAAAAATTTAGCGAAATATCATTAGCAACGGGCGTCGACGAAGCGTTGTTGCTTGATGACAAATTTCTGATAGCGTTCGAGGCATCAAATCGCCAGAAATGCGAGGAGCTAATAACTTTGCAAGCGGCAAGAATTGCGCAGCTGGAGACTCCACTGAATGTGCTGAAGGATAACATCGATGAGTTTCAAGCCAAACAGTCGATCCAAAAGTTAAACAAAGAAGCTGCAAATAATGCATTGCGCGGCATCCAAAAGTTATGCGGCAATATCAGCCCCAGTGTAACAGGTAAATTGTGCAACACACTATTTAAACAATTTTTCTATATTTATTCATCTATCACATTTAAGCCAATGTGAACTCCATGATGAGCGCTTTCAATAGCATTAGCGAGACAATTGCCGAGCAATTGGATGCCAATGATCACTGCAACGAATCCAATGAATTTGTTGCCACAGGTCTTGAGACGTTGCGAACCGAACTGCAACAGATTGAGCAGCAAGTGAGCGATGTCCAAAAGAGCTTCAATGCACGCGATAAGGAACAAAGCAGCATTATTAATGGTAATGCGTCGGAGGCATCCAGTTCGCTAGGTATTGTGCCGACCACACCCTTGCGTCATTTGGACCCACATATTCATTCCGGCACATCTGGCCATCCGTTGCTAATGAAATTTGTTTCGACGCCGCCTATTAAAACGGATATGGTCAGTGGCGTGCGCAGTGCGCATGTGCGCTTGCCGCTGCAGGATGACTTTAATGCGAATCAGTTGGAGACGACGTGCAACAATCTGTTGGGTAAAAGCGGTAAAAAGTCTAGTATAACTGACAATTGATTAATTTTCACACATTTGTTCCAGTAGCCGCAGTGCCACGCTCAGCGCGTAAGGTGAAAACAGAGCATGCTTCTGAACTAAACAACACCACCAATCGCTCAAAGATTATGGATCCAATGCAGTTATTGCGCACCATAAATAAAAACTCCAATATTGCTAACACGACAGCTAACCTCTCATCTCTGGGTAGCAAGTGGAAAGCGATGCAGGCCACTTTTAATTTTGATGAGGCTCCATCCACAATGCCTACCTCCCCCAAGCCAACTGTTGCTACTGATCAATCAGCGTTTACGCCACTCAACTGTAACGAACGCACTCGCATTGAGCGAGTGCCACAGGCAGCCACTGCTGATACCAGCAACAATAATAGCAACTCGTTATATGCTATAAAGAGCGTTGCCTTGATGAAAGTATTGGACGCTTCGCTGAACGTGCAAAATCTTACCACTTCGCCATCAGGTCGACTGGATGCATTGGTGCCAGGTCCAATGGCCGAACAGCAATCCATACCGCGCTTGCAGCTCAACGATCAGACAATAAACGTAAGTAGACAATAAATACAACTAAATAGACTACAATTTATTATTTTAGGACTCGCAGCAAACGCAGGCTACTAAGGAGGATATCGACGAGAATCAATTGAATACGCTGCCGCCCAAATTTAATCTTGATTTTAGTGGCGAAAACGACGACTTGCTGAACATGAGCGATAACGTATTAAAGGATATATCATTTTAGATGTCGTATATAAATCTTTTATTTTCATATATCTTATAATGCATTTACATATGTATAAATATTTTATTTTATTATTTAATTATTTATTTGCCTTTTTTCCATTGTTAACTTACATAGAATTCTTGAATGAATTTACAAAATGTTTATTTTAAGATGTTTGCTTGGCAATTCATTTAAAACTGAACGAACTGAGATTAATGAGGTAAACTTCAGAAACTGCATGTTTATGACGTAAAAGTAAACACGTGTGAATTGAATTATATTTTATTAAATAGAAAAGAAACGTGATAATCAACAAAATTAATCTGATATAAATTCAAGTTGTGCATAAATATTAATAGAAATAAAAACTATGTTCCTTATGATTAGTTTTTCTCAATTCATTCAGTTATGTTAGACTTCAATTCTTAGATTCATAATTTTCATGTAATGTTCAGATATGAGTTCTATTGTTTTACACTTAAGTGTTTGCTTATCGTGTTATCACTTCATTTATTGAGCATCCGTTGCAATAAGCACGCTGAGCCAAAAATATGTATTTGTATAATTTTGTTTACATAAATGAGTATGCATGCAATAGGTTATGTCAATAACAATACTATATGTTGGCAAATGTGTAGCATTAATTTAATTACATTATATGTAAGTAGTTATTGCAGTCCGCCCAAAATGTTGCCTTCTAATCAAATATCGTATGAGCAGTAATCGTGCACAACCTGTGGCTTTAATTGCCGTATCATAAATATATAAATATGTGTGTATATATCTTTCCAAAGATCAATCTGCGCTTCAACTTCGTCGAAGCTGCAATTTGCACTGTGATTTACAAGGGATTTTCCATATTGCTTTGGTTTTGCGAACACTCCAATTTAGCCTGCAGTTTTTCTATTTGCTGCGACGCTGTCGCTGCGGCAGCTTATTCTTCTTGCCTAAAATCTTCATGAGTTGTTTGGACATGAAGTAGGGCTTCTCGGGTGTGCCATCATTGCGCTCACAGTCCTCCAAGAAACACAGGAACAGCGTGTCTACAGCCATTGAATAGACGCCAAAGAACACGCTGGTAATCAGAAAGGCGGCGATTACAACTACAGTTGTGGGCACAGCCCTGTGGTTGAGCTGTATAACGGACGGATTGTTGGCCAGAAAATAGTAGGTGGAAACACCTGCGCCGGCGGTGAGAAGCACCTTGGATAGAAAGAAGAGAAAGTCGGTGACTTTATCCAATGTGATAACACGCAAAAAGTTGCGCATTAGCAGATTAAACGCATCCTTGGCACTTGTGCAGAAGTTCTTGCCATGTATCGCACACATGATGTACGCGTTTTTACTGAGGAACTTGAGGAACGATTCCAGCAGCCAGAAGAAGCAACGCATGCAGCAGAGAATGGCTCGTGTCACCACATTATCGTACTTCTTCAATTTGGCATCAATGTATTCCAGCACCAGACGTATCAACCGGCAAATGGCCAGGACGAGGGAGCCAAAGGCTAGCGTACCCAGATGGTAGCAGGCTGTTTGGCAGAAGGCGTGTGTGAGTGTAAAATAAGGCACATCCCGCTTCTTGAAAGTCCAATACCATCGGGCAAAGGTGGCGGCCAGCACCATGTCGCTGAAGGCCGATATAAAGAAGCTCAGCCAGAGGAATCCAAATAAATTATATCCCATGGCCCAGCGCACTAGCTGTGGATTATCAATTTCCAAAAAGCTGCAAGTGGTCTGAGCGCAGGCCTCGCGCCTCAAATTGATGTGACAATACTGTTTAAATATCTCCGGATTGCAGGCGGCGCCAACGGTATAGTTAATGCCGGGTCCTTCACACACACACTGCTCGTTGGTGACCTCGCCCGCATCAGTCAGGCGGCGAACCATGCGAAAAGAAAGCGTGCCTATGGAGCCGAGATAGAGTCCAACGCCAATGGCAAAGCCAATCGCACCAATGTATAGCACCCAGGAGAAGATTGGGAAAAAGACGGTGCTGATGACGGTGCTCACAGCCTTGCTGCCCTCCTTGATCAGCGCAATGGCAATGCGTATACGCTTGCGCAGCACAATAACCAACAGAAATATGACTACAAAGGCGATGCAGGCAGCAATGGACAAGTAGAGCCACGTCTTCGGATTTTGCAGCAGGTTTTGCCATTGCTTATGTAAATTTAGGTCGTGCAACGGCACCGTGGCCGTATTGCTCCAGAAACTGTACTGCTTGAAGCTATAGTAGATGGCAAATAGCAGGCCGACAAGCACGCCAATGATCGAGAACCAGAGTATGGGTGCGGCAATCCAACGCATCAACGCAATGTAGACCAGAGAGGCAAGTAACGAAAAGAATAGCGCCATTAATACCACGGACATTGAGTTGACCAAATCCTCTACAATTTCCTCGCCCAGGCGCTGGGCATCATGAGTGCCATTGTAAAAGTGGGCCACCAGATTGCCCACCATCTTGGCCAGTCGTGTATCCGTTTGCATCATCTTCTCCCTAATGACGGCACCGTTTAGCTGCTGTCGGCGACACTGCCCAACTCGTTCATCTACCGGATCCTGCTTGTTGCTTATGGTTTGGGTTGCGACGCGCGCCTGCGCTTGTGTTTGCATGGTCAGTGCCATCGCCTGCATTTGCAGCTCGTCCACCTGACTCACATTGCCGGGCAAACGTAGCGTTGAGTCCCGGCGAGCACGCAAGAGCACACTCGGCAGCAATTCGCATAGCTGATCCGAGAATTCAAACATGCACCGATTGAGAAAGGGCTGACTTTTGATGTAGTAGCGAGCACAGCGGTTATCCTGGATAGCACGTTCAATATCCGATTTAGATCCAATGGCTGCCTTGTCCTCATCCGTTTTGCAAATGAGTCGAGCTTTCAGCTCCTGCAGATTCATGGTGTTCTTCATAGTATCCCAAACGAACGTCTGTGTAGGACAACTTTCGACGCAAACCTGCCAAAATAGAGAAGAGATGAATACCCAATCCGGATCTGATTTAATCTCTAGACATTTACCTGCGGCGTATTACATCCCGTTATGGGCACCAGCGGATCAATGCACTGGTCCAGATTAAAGAAGAACAAATACTTTTTGTTCAACACGCTGGAATCGATGCCGCACTTCTGGTTATACATGTCCGTCGGCACCATTAGCTTATTGAGATCCCCATTGCGTACGGCATAGTGCGCTATGAGCCCCCAGCCACTCAGAAAGAGCACAAATATGATTAGACAGGGTACATCAGTGCAGCTGCGATCACGCTGTCGAGGTCCCTGAAAATTGCGATCATAGCGCAACGGCTCGCCATATTGGCTCACCAGCTCCACGCTCTCAGTCATCGCAGCCTCCTCGCACTCGCTCTGGTGTTAAACATATATTGAATTGAGAAGCTGTCATTAGACGAAACAGAAAACAACTCAGACTATCATCAATAATGCTCACAACTACAAATGTAATATATATATATATATATATATATATATATATATTTATATATATATCAGAATTTTTCGTTTTTGTTTTCTACGTTACGATATAATATACTTATGTATAGATAGTACTTATATGAACATAGTTCATTGTAAGTTATTTCAGAACATTCGTCATTGCATCAAGCTGAAACCACAACAGATAGCATACGCTAAGTGTCTTTATACATAGTATAAAAAGTCGGACATTACGCGGCCTTCAAATGCTCTATATTTCGAGAGCAACTTCTCTTATAATATATATATTTCATCAAACTATTAAGATCACTTCTTCAATTGCTATTTTATATAAAAAATAATACAATTTTCTAAAAATAATATGTTTTATTATTTCTAACCACATTTCAATATTTAAAGAAATCGCAATAAAATCTAATTGTATAAGACTTAATATTAATAATAAACCAAAGCTTATTTTTATCTTATTTATATAGTTCGTAGTAGTTTAAATATAGTTCTTGTCTATAAAAACAAATTCTAAGTAACTTTAAGCTAAGCAAATATGTAGTTAGATAGGAAATAACCGCATAATCAGGCGCTTAGCATAAGCTAGCATAACGTCATAAAACTAAAAGATAACGTAACACGTCAAAGTTACATTTTATTATGCAACTTTGGTAATAACTTGGAAAAAGTTTAATAAATCTATTCTAATAATAACCATAACAGAACACATAAAATATTATTGAAAATGTGTTCAATTAAGGTTTCAGCTATGTATGAAGTAAATTAATCTAATAAATAAATTTATTTTTAATCGCTCTATATACAAATGTTATCAACGAGGCTTATGGAAAATTTATAAGTTCTAAAAATAATAAGTGAAACATTTTATACTATATAACATTCACAAATTCTGTATTTGCCATATTTGATTTGAGTTCAATAACTTTACAAATTACCGTCTGAAATGTTTCTACGAAAGGGTATACAAACGTTGCCAGAGACAAAGAAAGTCTTTTCTCTTTCAAAATTTGCTTGTATACACATGCACGTGTATGCGTGTCTGTCTAGTTTTCTATTTATTTATTTACATACGTATCTATATGTTTATATAAATATATGTACGTATTGGCATTTGTTGCCGTGTTGCTCCATTGATAACAAACGTGAGTCTCATTCGCTGCCGGCTACAACAAAGCATTGCGCAAATTGGCAATAATGACGCATTATAATCGAATTAAATTCATTTAATTATGTGCACACACACACACACGCACACTCACACATTGATGCGCAACTTGTTGATTGTGGCACGTTTTTGTTTTGTTGTTTTTAGCCGTCCGCCTTGCCACTGTTGACCAAAAATAAAACTAAAAACCTGTTGGGGCCTAAATGGGCGCCTGTGCACTGTTATATCGTCATTGAAATAATTCGCTTTCCATTGAAATTGAAATTGAAATTAAAAAAAAGTGTAAAACCATTTCGGTTGACAAGGCGACGGCGACGGCGATGGCGACACATTCAAGGTCACTTACCGCAGAGCGTTAGTAAATACATATGTATCTAGGTACAGTGAAAGCATTCGTCACGGACAGTTAACTAACCATGGTGTATGATATACTATTTATATAATAGGATGTAGACTTTCCTGGAAGACAAATACAGCTTTTGTTGCATGTAACTAAAACTGAATTTAGCTTATCTGTACACTCATTAGACGCTAGCAGAAACTATTCGAATTATGCAGGTAATATTGTTGTTCTTAAGTTCTTAGAACAAAAAACAACAAAACGTTTTGCTCAAAGTGAGTTTTACTGTACTTGCATACAGACTGGTGTTATAGTCACCTGGCGGAGGTGGCTCACCAGGTCGTGGAGCCTTCTAGTTTTCTATATTTTATCTTGTTTATCTAAGATATTTACGTTTTTAACAAATAGGAAATAGATAAGAGTGCAACTACTACTGCTGCTGCTGCTATTATTGTTGTTGTGGTTGCTTCGCTTATCGAACACAAATGTTGTTACCTTTCTTGTTTTACGAAATGACAAATGGCAAATGGCCGTACAATATTAATTACTAAAAGGCACTATATACACAGCGACATATGAATAGGCAAATTACTCACCGTTTATGAAGTTTCTCCCGCTATTCCACACACCCAATTAACAATTGAAACAATAAACAAGGCAATTCTTTATTGTCTTTGCATAGCTATGAATCCAGTGTCCAGGTGTATGGATGTATGGCTGGTTGGGCGGGGTATTTGCTTTGTTGTTTGTGAAACCGAATGCAGGAATCGCGTTCGGGCTGCGTCTCAGGCGAAAGTCAGCAAACGACTAAAGTGGTTGCCTTTGTTGCCGTTGACGTCGCGGACGTTGCTCTTTGAACGGCGGCGGCGGCGGTCACTGTATGTCGAAAGCAGCAATATTCAGGAGGGGGTGTAGTTGGTCGATTGGAGCTGCAAGCATAAAGGCAACATAAATATACATCACACACACGCGGGCGTCTACATCGCAGGCACACTAAAACAACCACTTGGTTCGCGAATTGGCGATATGGCACATATTCACTATTTTATTACACATAATTTTCTGATAAGGTGCACGGTTCAACAATTTTCGTTAATAGGTAGTGTGCATTTTTGGTTCGAATTGCTATGCATGCAACTTTATTTCTAGAGGTGACAAACAAACAAACAAACACACACACACACACACACTCACTCCGACATATACATACGTATACGCTCCATAAAAAACACTTCAATTAAATAAATAATTATTACACTCACTTGACGTTTAGTTGAGCATTCAGTCTGAATGCACGCAATAGCACTGAGGCGAGAGACCCAAGAATGGAGCTCCCCACTTGCGTTCAGCTGTTTGAAGTAGTGTTGGTCAACGCAATAATGCGCGCTCAAAACAAATGCACACTGACACACATTAGTAGTCTGATGCGATAGTATCGTATAGTATATGTAACGGCAACATGTGAATTGTCAACAAAATATGTTCAGTTCAGCAAGAATATACAATTTTTAAAATGACTACTACGTGGGGGGCACCTCTCATGAAGGAAAAATAAAATAATTACTTCAATCCCTCATTCCTCGAGTGGTTGAAGAATACGCTATATAATGAAAAGTCAACAAACATGTATTGTATTTTATTTAAATAATCAAAAAGTATTGTTTATGGTGGTTTTATTCTTACATGCTAAAGGCAATGAAACATACATATGAATTGATAATTTGGCGTGTCCACTGCACGCACAATAAAGCATGCTGAAATTATATGTTCGATAATAAGTGAGCATTCATATTCCAATCAAATTCTTTGCATTAAATATAGCTGCGCAACAGTTTCGGGCGCCAAGTGTAAGTCCAACTAGAGCGAGATAGTCATATTGCAATTCTGCAGCCAGTGCTGGTAAGCGGCACAATTAATTAATTGCGGGGTCGGCGGCATGAGTGCAGTGAAAATGTTTAGCGTTGAAGACGGCACAAGATTTGATTGAAACGAAAACAAAATAAGAACTGCTCGTAATTTTGCAAATAGCGAATGCTTGAATTACATATAAGACACTCATATTGGCTATTAGCTATAAGTGTCCATGATCATATGTGTGTTTGGCGAAAGCCTTTGTGTTGTTTCCGCCGGCTGGACGCCAAAACTACAAATTTATTGTCAATTGCACAAAAGTGACAAATTATTTTCTCGACTGCTGCGAGTGCAACGTACAGCGGACAATTTGGATACGCTTAACAAAGAGTGTGTGCAATAAATATAAACGCCGAATCATCGAATTTGTTTTTGTTTATACCAGTTTCTGCACACATTTCTAAATTGCAAAACAAAAAAGTGAAAACAGGCCAAGAGCTGGCAGTATTTGTCGCGCTGGTGGTGTACGTGCACGGGCTGAAACAGAAGCAGAAGCAGACATCGCTGACAACCAACAGGAGGTGGGGCCCGACATCGCCGTCGTTTTTGCTGTTACTGTTCTTGTTTTTGCTGCTGCTGCTGACATTGTTTTTGTTTGGCACACAAAACACGCGGCGTGCAGCTTAGCAAAAGGGCGGGAAGGCAACTATAACGGTTTACGTCCGAATTTTTGTCACGCGTGTGTCGATAGTTTTATTGTTTTTTTTTTTTTTTGTTTTTCATTATTATTATTTGTGTGCATTGCGTTTTGAATTCAGCCTCACAATTGGGGGGCTGCGGCGGTGGCAATGTCGAAGCTGGGCGAGCACAAGCGTGTGTCCCTCACCACAATCAGCACACAAAGAAGCAATGAAGCGAGCTTCAGTTCAATGCCACCGATGTTCTCGCGTTTCGGTGACTTCATGGATCCGGACGCAGTGCAGACAAACAAGAGCAGCAAGTCGGCAACCAAAAGCGTTCGACTGGAACTGGAAATGTTTGAGACAGACTCGAACAGGTATCCTGAGTTCAATTACTCAAAGCTGCTCTACTTGGAGAAGGTAAATATATGCTAGCCACCTGTTAAGTGATTATGGTTTCTTATTTATTAAAATCTGTTGCAGAAAAAAGCAAAAATGCTGAAAGAAAAAACCAATAATGGCAGAACTGATCCTTTCGCCGATAATGATGATGATGTGGCACGCATTGCCAAGGAGCTGGAGGCCAAATATGGCAATGCCTATGCCAGAGGCCGTGGCAGGCGTAAAAAGGATGAGTTTTGTGACATTGGAATGGGCTACGACGAGTCGGATTCCTTTATAGATAATACCGAGGCGGTAAGCTTCTATTTGTCACGTACGATAAAGTTGATATTAACTCAATATTCTTATAGTACGATGAAATCTTGCCTGAAGAGGTGGAAACTCTCGAGGGTGGGTTTTATATTAACTGCGGCGCCTTAGAATTTAAGAATCTAAACAAAAAATCAAGTACGCGGCGCACTGATGCTATTATCAAAATGCCGGAACGATCACGCAAACGTGTTGTGTCCAGCAGCTCGGATGAATCTACTGAATCATCATCAGATTCTTCAAGTGATATTGAACAGAAACGAGTTTCCAATAATAAGATACACAATAATAATAATAATAATGATGATGATGGTGAGGACGAGGATGACGACGATGCTGATGATGATGACGATGATGATGATGAGGATGATGACGATGAAGACGATGATTCGGATTCAGATGACAGTGAGAGCATTGACGGCTCTGACAGCGATAGCGAAAGCCTCGACGATGAGACCAACGGCACGTCTGCCGATGCCAAAAAAAAGTTGAAGCAAAGCGATTTGAAACGTCCAAAATCCAGTTCCGCTTCCAAGCAGAGGATACACAGTACCAATGCAAAGAAGCCAAGCAGCAAGCTGAACGTTGTGCCGTCCTCTTCCTCGAATTCACCGCGTCCCATTACCATAGACAATTCGGACACGGAGGAGCGGCAGGCACAGGCGCTTAAAAAAGTTGTCAAGACTACCACCGTCAAGGATATGCTAAAGGCTAAACGCGATAGCTTCCTCAAATCGCAAGGTCAACTCGATGGACCAGCGAAGAACACTGTAAATGGCGAAGTTAAGAGCATCTCCACGAGTATTGTTGAATCCAGTAGCGACAACGACGACACCGATTCAGCCAGTGAGCAAGGGAAATCGGAAAAGTTGCCCAAGAACAAGGACGCCAATGAAAGTACGCAAACAGCTTTTAAATTATTTACTTCTGCTTCTCACATTTACTGTTCACCATTCCTCATAGATCTACGATCGGCAGATACGATTCTACCGGCAACACTCGATAGAGATATTCTTGGGAACATTAATAGCTTCAAGGAACTGGTTAGAAGCAGAGATTTGTGTGGCAAGCGGTTTTACTTTGATGGCAAACTCACGACGCTTTTGCTCAAGTAAGTTTTACCAACGAACATTTCATTTATTCATTAATTTAATTTCTTTAATTTATAAATCGGCAGGATTTACGAGGCCCTGCTTTGCACGGACCGCAATGAACGAAATATGGTGTTTGCGCATCTGGAATACCAGCTGCAGTTGCCGAAATATTTTGTCCTGCGTAAGGCCAAGGCGCTGCGCGCCAAGGAGGAGAAAAATAAGACGACAAACGCATTGGAGCGATTACGCAAAGCAGTCGCCGAGGTGATGCCTAAAGCAATTGCCAATTACGAGATCGAACTTCATAAATTTGCTGAGCTAGCGTAAGATAGAAACTGAACGTCTAACCCATGAAATAGTTTTTAACTATTTTTAACTTTTAGAGCGGCAGATGTCAACGCAGAGCATCCGCCAAAGATGCCGCGGAAAAAGTTTCAGTGGACAAATGAGCTGCGCGAACGGCTTTACGAGGTTTACCAAGCGCGCTGGACATCTTACGCAGTGCTTGGCAAGCGAAAGGATTCACTTGAGCAGTTCATCAACGGCTACCTGAAAGAAAAAATAGTGGATGTTTGGGCTACCGGCTGGATGCGTTACGAAGATTTGCAGCGTGAAATCGAACGGCACAAGAACGCTAGCAAAAAGCTTAAAGAGAAAGCAAAGAAACAGTCAATAGGCTCAACGACAACCACCACAGTCGCAGCATCCGCAATACAAACAACCAATATTTACCTGAAGCAAATCGACGATCTGACGGTGACTGAACAGAGTCGGTCGCGTGCCAATTCCGATACGGATTCAGCTACAAGTGCCTCATCCAATAGTGTCAAGCGTAAACTTGAACTGCCACCCAGCACCAATGCTGCCACGACACAGCAAAAGCCAAGCGCAAAGCCGCCCAAAATCAAGTTCCAAAAACAATTGGCGGCCACGCTGGCACAGATGTCGCAAGTAAATAGCGCATTGCCGTTGGCACCAGCTGCCATTGAGACGATGTCGCTGCCAGCTGTCAACAATTACCTGAAGCAATTCGAGGACATTACTGTTACCGCTCCACAAAGTCGCTCGTGTGCCAATTCTGATACAGATTCCGTTAAAAGTGCCTCATCGACCAGTCTGAAGCGCAAGCTTGAAAATCCTGCCGTAGGAACACAATCGAAGCCAATCAGCAAGCCGCCGAAGAAGAAGAAACCGCTCACCTCTCCACAGCCACAGATGTCACAGTTGGATACGCTAATGTCGCAGCCGAGCACTTCGGCGCAGGCAGCGGCACTTAACGCAGCTGTTGTGGCAGCAGCAGCTAGTATGCTGGAGCTGGCGTCCCCTACTAAAACCGATCACAGCATCTACAATATAATAACATCAACATCGATGAACCCAACGGCGGTTAGTGTCGCTGCTCCCATAAATAGTCTACCGCAGGCTGCAGCACATTCCACATCAACTGTCAGTACAGCTCGTCTCGTTCCGCATGTTATCAACTTGGACGACTATAAGAGTCCCAGCGATATACTGCAGACATCACAGCAACTGGCCGCCAGCAAATGGCAGCCCGTTTCTGTGCCAGCAGTGCCTCCCGCAGTTGTGCGATGCGAGAGCAGCAGCGAGTCGGACGGCGTGGAGATTGTGGGCGTCTATCCGGCGGTGGTCAAGCAGATACTTCCAAATCAAACCAAGTCCAGGTCGAAAGCCAGCCAGAAGAGCAAACCGACATCCGTGATTAGCACGACGGGCACGGTTCCCAATGGAGTTAATGGAACGCTTGGGTTTAATTTAGAAAACATGTATGTGTACAACAACAATAATACTGGCCATAAGGTGGGAACTGGAGTCATACGCGCTACTGCGGCAACTAACACGACGGCAAATCTTGGCTATGATCTCAGTCGCAATCCGCAGATAATTAAAAAATTATCGGAACTATCGGCGCTCGATAAACAACTAAAATGGTCACCGTGCTCGCTGCTATCCGGCGGTATCAAAGCTGCTGGCACCAGCGGTGGTGCGGGCGCTAGTGCTGGAGCGGGTGCTGGAACACCAACAACGCATCAATGACATACGGGGAATGCCACACAGCCCCAATCGGTGTCGGTGTCGGCATTCTATAATCATGAGCAGGCTGTGGCTGCCGCCTTGGTGCTCTCCTCGATGAGTGCCTCTGCCGCCCGTTATGATGCGTACGATGTGCAGCTGGGCCTGTTGAATGGTTCGCTGGTTACCAGTAACCAGATGTCCAGTGCCTCAACTCAACCAGTTGTAACAGCAACAACAACACCACAAACACTGCCACAAGTATTTCTGAAGCCTTCCCCGCCGCCTTCAGCCGCTGTCGATGGGATTAGTGACATGGCAGCAAATACGGCGCAAGCGGCGCAACTGCCCACAAAATTCATTTAGATATATGGATAGCACACACACGCTCCCTAAACGATTCTGAGTTCAACATTTATAGATCTATACATATATACTTATATACATATATGTATATCTCCGAGAGTGGAGAGAATTAAGACGCTTAGTTTGTAGGTTTCATAAGAATTAGTCATTTTAAATTGATATTGTGGGTCTGCATCACTGCCAATATTTATCATGAGAGGATGCAGGAAATGCTCAACAATCAAATGATGCATGTACGAAATAAGGGTATGCCGTCTTCGGTGTGTTCGTGTGTGTGTGCCGGATGTGATGTTTTCGTATTTGTTTTGTATTTTTCGTTTATAATTCTTTGAAGAATATCAAGTCCACCAACTTAAAGTATGTACTTTGAAAGAGGTTAAGAATCAATCGAGTTGTATCTAGTTATTTATAGTGAATCAATTTTTATTAAATAAAAGAAAAATAAGTTATAAAATAAAAAGTAAAACAAAGAGCGCATAGTCTAAGTCTACCCAAAATGTGCACACACAAGGTTCGTTCTTTACATACAAATTAGAAGCAATCATCAATGACACTCAAGCAAACTGACCATAATTTGTATACATTATGATTAACGTATCCATTGGGTATTTACATAGCTCCCATGGTTGATTATTATCTTAAATAAGCCATCAAATAACAGCAAACACCCGCTCTTCCGCATGCCCTTCCTCTAGCTCGAGCAATCTAACCTAATTTGTAAAAATATAACAGACACACTCGTAGACAGGTAATTGGTTTACTTGATCCAGCGTAGCATTGAGGTGAGGCGATTCGCTGCCATGGCTATGGTGGACTGCTGTGCCACCGCAGGTATCAGATTGGACTCAGTCAGTTCTGGCTGAGCTACGCTTACGCTCGGCACCGCCTCCCAGTCCAGGCGTAACGAACTTTCGTCTGCAAGAAGATCATCGATTAATATTTCAATTAATCAAATTCTAATTTAACCAAATGGTAACCTTCAGATTCAGATTCCGTTGCCGTCTCAATGCCAATGAGAAGCGAGTCCACAGATTTCATTAGCGGCGCATTGGCCACATCTAAATGACCGTAGCGTCCTAAGTCACTGCGATCAAGATCCAGAATGGCCAGAATATTTTCGAGCGTATGCTGTTCGTTGAGCGCGCGCAGCTTCACCATCTGAGAATAGGCTAGATACATGATGTTGTTGTTGACACGACAGACCTTGCGCAGGAACTGCTCCTCGTTGCGCATCTTTCGACAGAAATCGCTGTAGGCGATCTTGTGTGGCAGCCGCACGTTCAGATAGAAGCTGAGCAACTGCGTCAGCTGAACCGTGTAGGTGAGTGCACCCATAATTCGGTAGGCCTCAAAGCGACTGGGCGTTATCTCATTGGCCGTGGTCTTGGGGACATCCTCTTTGTTGTCGGACAGATAGTCCAGGTAGGCAGAGTAGTCGCCGTTGGCGGGCAGCGAGGGCCCCACTATGCGATATTGCACCTCGCTGATGCCACTGCCATGAAACACCCATTTACCGCGTATGTATGAGGTGTTCTTGGCATCGGCCAGAGCTGCAATTGTTTCGGCATCTTCGCTGCGCTCGGCACAAACCTTGCGCTGCTGTTCGTCCTTCAATACCACCTCCGAGATGGGAAATATATAGGTGACAAGCTGTTGAATGTCACGACGAGCCGTTTGTTTGATGCTATCCAATAGATTCATATGGTGCTGGCGCAGTTTATCAATTCGCATCGAACGATCGATCACATAATCCTCCAGCATCTTTACCTTGGTTGGATACTTGGGCAGGTTCTTGCGTTTCTCAGCATTGGCCTGACGAAGTTCATCTCTCTGTTCACTTAGCGTCTGCAGCCGTTGCGTTGTGTTGCCGATCAGCTGTTGCAGCAGCTGCAGCTGCTCCCGTTTCGCACGGATCGCAATCATTCGATTCTCATTGCATTTGTGTTGTTGTATAAGGTGCTCGTACCGATTGCTATATGTCTTCAAACCAGCCTGGAGGTTAATGTATTTCTGCTGCTTCTCCGTTAAGCTGCAATAATTTAAGATACATTTATTTTTATCTATGCGAATGTATGTGTGTGTGTGCAATGGGGGTTTCTGTGTGAATGAGTAACAACCTTTCAGATTCTAAGGCAGAACTATGAGTAATGTTTCCATTTTTAACACAAGTTCTGCAATGCAGTCGTCGCTGTTGTCTGCAGCAGAGTGGACATCGCAGACCTGTGGAAGCTACACCAGCTGTTGGCTTTACGCGCACATCGCTTTTCGGATGCTTCTTTGTGTAGGCAACGCCGTCGCAGACATCGACATCGTTCTCGTCGTCGTCATCATTTGTGGATGCGCTTGATAATTGAAAATTTTCAGGTGCTTTGGAGCTTTCATCGGAGCTTGAGCTATTTGCCATTACAGACAAATCATTGCACTTAATATGCGTAGTCGATTTTTCATTGATAATTGTTTTTGTTATTGATACTTTTTCCCCCTGTCAAAACAGGAGTGCTGTGTAATATTGTATTGATGCCGTCAGTGTTGATAAACAGTTAGCTGTGACCAGGGCTGGGAGTACTTTGTAGCGCCAATTTTAAATTTCCTAACAAATTCAATATATTCTAATCGTACAATAAGGTTTTATTTTTGCTCTTTAGAGATTTCAATTGCCAAATATAATTAAACTAATATGCTGAGTTTGGAAACAAAATTATTGATCCGCTTCCATTAGCAAACATTTATATTTTCACTTTTCGATTTGCCACGCATTTAAAAATTTGGACAAATAATGCCCATCGTTTTTTAAAGGACAAAAAATTTGGTAAGCCTGATTGGTTTGTGTGCATATATATGCCTGTTTATTTCTTGCCGCCAAGCACTTTCAGCGCGGCTGCAGTGACATCGGGCTCGCGAGGCAGTGCATTGAGTTCCAGAGTCTTGGCATATGGCATGGGCACATCAACCCCGCAGCATCGCCACACTGGTGCGTCTAGTTCAAAGAAGGCCTGATCCTCCATAAAGCGAGCACAAATCTCAGCACCAACACCTGTCGATCAACAGAAAAAAAGTTATAAATGTGATCCTAGCTGGAGTTAGATGCATTCTCACCATGTTGTGGCCAGCCGTTTTCTACGGTGATTAAATGATGCGTTTTACGCACAGAATTAAAAATGGTTTGCATGTCCAGAGGGCGTATGGAACGCAGGTTAATTATTTCAGCTTCGATGCCTATAAAACAAGGTAGTTAGAGTATTATCTTAATGAAATACATGTCTAGCCGTTTGCCTTTTTTAGCAAGCTCTGCAGCCGAAAGTAGCGCTGTTTCCACAGCCTTGGAGTGCGCCACAATTGTGATGTCCTTGCCAGGCCGCATGATCTTGGCTTTTCCAATGGGCACCAAGAAATCGGCATCGGTTACTTTTTCGTCAACCGGAAATGCAACACCATACATCAGCTCGTTCTCTAAGACAACAACTGGATCGGGATCACGTATGGCAGACTTCAGCAATCCACGTGCATCCTCTGTATCGTAGGGTGACACGACCTTCAATCCTGGACAGTGAGCGTACCATGCTGCAAAGCATTGGGAGTGCTGTGCTGCAACACCAGCTGATGCTCCATTAGGTCCACGGAACACGATGGGCACGTTGACGGCTCCAGCGGACATGTAAAATGTCTTGGCAGCTGAATTGATCACCTAATGGTAAAAGCAAGGATATTAAATAATTTTCTTAATAAAAAAATGACAGTGAGAGATAGATGATAGATAGATTCATGATCATTCAAGACAGCTCAACTGGATATCAATTCAAGTTCGTACACTCGCATTTTATTTATTTTTTTTACTCTTATCTCTTTACTTAATGCCTAGCTTTTGCTTAATAATAAATGCGGGTAGGCGACGTCCTTTCCAGTAGCGTGGCAGGGGCACCTCGTTTGCTTGCCGCAGCACCTCGGTTACATACTGTTCGGCGTTAAAACTCTCGGCCTGTTTGATCTGTGACATAAGCTGGGCTTGGAACGCTTTCTCTTTGCGCATTTCCCGTCGCTGCCGCACCTTGGCCCACTCAAACTTCATCTTGCGGCGCAGCTTCTTTAGCTTATGCTTCTTCATCTTGCGACGTCGAATGACAATCAGCCGAGCTGCTTCCATTTTGTCGGGTTTGCTCCTGTCCAGCGGTGGTGCTATTATCTCACCAACTCGATCTCTATTCAATATGTCATTGATTTCCGTTAAGAGGCTGGAGCGCGGACTCTCAATAATCTTCTTGTGCATCTGTGGCAAATCACCAATGGTCTGTGGCCTGACCAATGGGCGCAAGGAGAGGTCGCTGACGGGCTTAAGCGAATTGGCCTGCACATAATTGGATAATATGGGTGGAATTAGTCAATCAATCGTTTTGGCTAAATGTCCGAATGACAGTTAGATTCTACTACAGCAGCAGCTCAACTTGATTTTGAGACCCATATTATCCCATTACGTTAAAGTGGAGGCAATTTATAATTTACAGATCGTGTGAAACACTTGAATTGATATTCAGCTAGCTGGGCACATTTGCACATTATTGTTGGAGTTCAGTTGAGTTTGGTTATATATGAGATAATATGAGTAGTTAAGCTACTGCTTGTGGTTTGTGTGTGGGCGGTCGGGGTTTCGGGTGCAACAGATGCGTGCAACTCACGTGATCGATGGCCTGCATTGAGAAGTTAAAAGTCATGAACTCGCAAATTGGACGCAGCCCAGCCATTGCTGCGCCGACGGCAATTCCAGCGAAACCCATTTCTGTGATTGGCGTATCGATGATTCGTTTGTCTCCATATTTTTTCCATAGACCACGAGACACCTATACATAAAGAGTATTTGTTAGTTTCCATGTAAATAACAAGATTTACACATTATTTATATATTTTAATTTTATTAACTATTTATAGCTTTACTTTTACCTATTACTTTTCATTATATTGTAAAAATGTATGCAGCAATCAAATACAGCTTTAAAAAAGTTTGGGATCTTTAAAATTGCGGGTTGTAAACAAAAATGGACTTATCGATTGTGTGTATTATCGATGCGTGCTTTATCGGCTCTCACAACCTAAGCGTGACCTTAAACAATCACGCAGCATTAAAAGAAAAATTATGAGCTTTGTAATCAGCACCGTTGGTAGCCGAGTCCGCTGCAACTGATGTTTTACGGACCGCGCGCCAGTCCCTAACCCAAACAGCTGTCATTGCTAGCTGTCATTTGGCCTGTTTACGTAACCATCTTACAAGTGGCAAAGTCAAATCTTTTACTCACCTTGTAGGCGCCATCGTATTGTGCCACCTCTTCGCCGAGCAAAAACACACGATCATCTCTGGCTAACTCGTCGTCTAGGGCGCTGTTTAGGCCATCGCGTACGGTCATCTGCTTGGCTGCCAACGATTTGGGGCTCATGGAGAATGCACGCTGGGTGGCGCATGCCACTTGCGAGAGTTTAGAACGCAGCATTATGACTTATTTCGTTGACCGTTTTTTAACTGTTCTGAATGCGTACTATTAATGAGGTTGTTTTAAAAATTTTGGCATTACCTAATAAAACTAAAGCACAAATTTATACACACCGACGAACGTCTTCTCGCCCCAATAAAATGTCAGAATATTCTACTCTCCTACACAACACTTATTTTTTACCTGCCTCCACAAAACATTTTTAGTAACGAACAGCTGGAAGGTTTCACTTATCGATAGTCAATTATACGCTTATTTATCGAAAATGTTTAAGTCTATTCTTGCCCAGGCTTTACGTTGCAGCTCAAATGCACAACTTCCTCATGGACAGCAGGTAACTAATGTAACGAAGGTTTGGGTCGCTCCACTGCCTGAGGTTTCTAAATGGATAGTACCGATTCAGATGCACTACATTGAAAATGGAAAATTAAAGATTCAAGACATAGTTAAAGTAAAAGATAGCGTATCTGTAGTCTTGTACAATATTTCAAGGCAGAAGCTTATTTTTGTACGTCAATTTCGGCCAGCAGTATACCATGGCTTAATAATGGGCAACACTCGTAATTTACATAAGGAAGACATTGACTTAATACGTTTTCCGTATGAATTGGGCATCACATTGGAATCTTGTGCGGGTGTGGTGGATAAGGATAAAAGCTTGGCGGAAATAGCTAAAGATGAGGTGTTCGAAGAATGTGGCTATAATGTGCCCGTTGACAAATTGGAACATGTATTTGAATACCGACCCAGTGTTGGTGCATCTAGCAGTGCCCATAATTTGTACTACTGTGAAGTTTGCGATGAGGAAAAAGTGTCTGATGGCGGCGGCATTGATAATGAGGTCATTCAGGTTGTAGAGCTGTCAATTGATGAAGCCAGAAATTTTGTAAAAGAGGGCTCATCAATAAATAGCGGTCCGACAACTATAGCAGGCACACTGTGGTTTCTGGCCAACAAGATTTAAGCTGAAATTCGAAATTAAATTTAAGTGTGCCCATATAACGGTTTCATGTTAAATGTCAAAAAAGCGTTGTGTAACTTATAAAAATTTAGTCGGTTGTTTGTTTGCCGGAATCAGCTGTAGCCCGCAGTTTGATTCGTTATAAAATGGAAAACATATCAAAGGTGTGGTTGGGTCCGCTTCCCGCTGACTCGCCCTATGTGAAACCATTTCGCATGTATTACGTTCAAAATGGCGTCGAAAAGAATTGGGATTTACTGAAGGTGCACGACAGCGTTGCGATTATATTGTTCAACACAACGCGTCAGAAACTTGTGCTCGTGCGTCAGTTTCGTCCGGCTGTTTATCACGGTGTGATAGCCAGCAAGGAGGGCAGTTTTGACGATGTCGACCTGTCGGCCTTTCCGCCATCGATTGGCGTGACCTTGGAACTGTGCGCTGGCATTGTGGATAAGTCGAAAAGCTGGAAAGAAATTGCACGCGAAGAAATGCTTGAAGAATGTGGCTACGATGTGTCCGTGGAGCGCATCGAGGAAGTCATGAAATATAGGTATGTAGATAAATAAGCTATTATACTAACCAAGTTCATCTGACGTACATCTTTCACTCATGCAGATCTGGCGTTGGTTCATCGGGCGCCAGACAAGAGATGTACTATTGCGAAGTAACCGATGCGGATAAAGTTAATAGCGGAGGCGGCGTGGAAGATGAATTGATTGAGGTGGTGGAACTGTCATTGGATGAGGGAAAGCGCATGGTGCAGCAGGGCGCCGTTAACAATAGCCCACCCAGTTGCCTTATGGGTCTTATGTGGTTCTTTGCAAACAAAGCGCCTAAAAATGTTTAGACCCCCTCGCATCCATCCGCTGTAATCGCGCATTTGTGTTATCTGCTCTGATAACATCTCCATAACGATAATACTCTGCGCTGAACCATGGACGAAAAATATACACACACAGAACTTCACATGCTTTCCAATTCACAACTGAATCAGTTAACACGCGTAGCGTAACTAAATTGCAATGCCTCTCGAGTCCACACTTACTTAGTACTTATATTTATATGTATAGAAAATTAATATGTGTATATTTTGTTTATCGTTATGTTTGAGAATAAAGCAACGATATGCACTCCTTTGACTTGTGGAAATCGGTCAAGTGGATGCGCACAAATGTGTCTGCGGCTGAATGCCAAAATGAAAATCAAGTGTGCTTCAGTCGAGCGTATCCAACCTGACGATACCCTTAATATCGTACTGAGCTGCTGTGCTAATCTGATTATATCATCAAAATGTGATAAAGTACTAATTCCATTGGTATCCAAAAATTAAGTATTCAAGCTCTTAAAACATGATAAGCTTACAAATTCGAAAATCAAGTTTAACTGATTTTGTAGAAACTAAAACATATATCGATGTTTTGAAACTAATTCTGCGATCTCTAACTCGCAAGTCTCCAATCTCTAACGGTCAAATCGAATCGGCTATTCTTGTTAAGTATATACATATAAATAATTTACAGGCTTGACCACGCCTCTTTCTGACTGTTACAAGCATTTTAACAAAAACATTATGCCCTCTTTAGTCATCTTCAATGGGTTGAGGGTATAAAGAGCATTCATGAGAGCCGATGGCCAAGCCAGCTGACAGCAGCAGCCAAGTGCATAAATCGCAAATAAATCAAAAAGCCGCCAGGCGCACACGCGAGCTGCTGCAATCTGCAAAAGGGGCAGGCAGCTTCTGCAGCAGCGGCATCTGAACAAGTTGGCAACCCAGTCGCTGCCCAGCCGATCCAATCCGATCCCAGCCAAGCCAAGCCAAGCCGTGTGCCGTTTTTGGGCTGTCAGGCAGCGTGTTGCGCGGCTCAGGTTACTTATTTATACACGGCCAGGCATTTTAGCTGCTGCTGCTACTCCTTTGCCTCTGTCTCTGCCCCTGCCCCTGTCACTGCCGACGTCAGAAGTTCAGCGGTCACGGCGAGCGGTGGCGTGGAAATTTATTTACTTCAAAGCCATGATTTGGCAATATTTCAACATTCAACGCTGCAATAGAATTTCTTTTTAAGCTTTACAAACTTGATGTGCTGTTTGTTGCTCCTGTTGCAGCTATTGTTGTTGCTGTTGTAGCCTCACAGTGCGCTGGTGTGTGCGTGCATTCGATTTTACAGTAGATAATCAAGGCCAGTCCTGAGGCATCTGGTGCCGCCTGTTTGCTTGCGTGTTAACCTCATGTAAATTATGGACATACGTACGGCAGCAAAAGAATCAACAGCAATGCGAGTGTTGAAATTATATTTAATTTGCATATGTGTATATAGAAAACGAGCAGTAGCCGAGCTCCAACCATCTCTCAAGTAGCTGTGAACGTGAACGTATTTACGGTTAAGCCCCTCCGTGATTCGCATGACACCCTCCTGACTTGTTTGTGGGTGTTGCAGTCAGGTGTTGATCACAAGGACTCCGTTAACAATTTTTTGCGTAAAAAGGTAGTCGGATCATGCTTTGAAATTTGAATTCGAATTGGATGTGTAAAAAATACCAAAATTACTTATACCATTTTTAGTGCATTTTTCATATGGTGACTGGTCTAATTAACTCATTTCTGTAGTTCACAAAATACATACGAGATCCAACGGCTTTCCAATTAGTCATTCAGAAGAATACGTAGATTTACAGCTAATTCTTATTTATTTTACTTCCGGTTCAAATGTAGAAGATGTATATACACACATTGTAATGCTTGTGAATTGGCTTTTGTGTGATGCGTTTGCGATCGCTGTTGATATGGCTGTCAGGCATCAACTGTCATCAACTGCCCTGTCATTGCTCCTGTTCGTGTCAAACTCCCCAAGGTGTTGTGATCGCTTTGTTGCTTCAACACGTTCTCGTCATGAGCTGATCTTAAATCAACTGCCGACTGATTGGCATTAACTTTGGCCGTATATTGCGCAAGATCCAAGTACAAGCAACCAAAACAGATCTGCAATTATTTCATAATCACGTCCCAATTTATGTTGCTAGAGCAGCGGCAGCGGCAGCAGCAGCAACAAGAGTTACAACAAAAAGTAGATAATGCTATTTGAAATCAAAGCTTCTTTCTATTCCTTGTTGCTGACCCCAGACTTGCAGTGGCTGAGAACCAAAAATCAAAATGGCGTACGCTGCGGAACGGCAGGGAACGAAACGAACGGAATGAACAAATCGCGATCATGAGCTCTCAGTGCGCATGCGAAAATTAAGTGCAGCCAGCAACAATCATAACAACAACAGCAAAAGCAACAGCAACAGCAACAGCAACAAAGATTACCTGCAAAACAGTTATGGGCGCTGCTGCCGCAGTTGTTGTTGCTGCCGTTGCAATAATGAAATTTTTTTATCGGATTTGATTATAAGTTGGTACGTACCAGCAATCCACCCCGCAGCCGTAATCTGCCAATAAGAAGAAAAGTAAGTAAGGAAGGTTTTGTTCAACTGGCCCGCTGGCCGGCTGGTAGCTGCTTGGCTACTAGCGAGACGGACGGAATGGGCCGCCACGGGCAACGACTGCAGCGTCTCAACTATGTTAGCGGTCGCTCATTGATTCCAGCCAGCAGCTGGCCGTCTGCTGTCCGTTGTCCGTCGTGATGCACTTTAATGAAATGAAATCTTATACTATCATGAACTGGAAAAAGAAAACACTGCAAGCTGGTGGCCAGTAAGCCAGACTGCAGCCACAACTGCAGCCTGGGCCACTCAAAATGTATAATTATCTGGCGGTTTTATCCGTTTGCCAATATTAAATTTCTCATCACGCCCAGACACTGCCACAGAGTGAGGCAAATCCAGCATGGAGAGGGCTTCTGGGAGAGCAGCAACTGCAGCAGCAGCAGCAACTTCATGGGCACGGGCGCCGTCAAACAATTAATAAAAGGCCAAATGTCTGCAATAAGTTATATATATACATATATATATTTATACATATATATGAGCTGTGCTTTTCCGCTCCTGTTGCTGGCAAAAAGGAAAAGGCTGCGGCTTTACCGTTTTAAGCGCTGCGATTTTGAGCTGACTTTCTAAAATCGATGCCACCGTTTGCTGGCTTAGCTGAGGGCTTTCGGGGCGTTGTCCACCGAAAGTTGAGTCGATCTCAGCTGCACCTTGCACTCACTAGTGGGCCGCAAGGTGCGCCACGAGCAGAGCTGCGCAGGGAAGCTCAGGTGGCTCAAACAGTTGCCGGTTGACAAATTGTAAATTATCTTCGATTGAGTCCAACACAATGCAGCATATGCATGTGCATATCCTAATATAGATTAGGTAGCAAAGATAACATAATGCTTAGATATTTTTTCTAGGTGATACCAATTAGATAAAATAAAACAATAGTGATATTTTAAGGGTTAAATTTTAACATTTTTTTAGAAATAAATGTGTTTTTTCTCCTCAATATCGATCGATCGATCGATAACTTTTAATTAACGCAGCATCGCAGTTCGCATCTTTGGCCGCGTTATGTTGCACGTGTTGCCATTTTAATTGCCCCTAAAGTGTCAACAAATAATTTGGCCAAATACGTATAATTGAAATTAAGTCATAAATGGCTAAAAATGTGCACGACACACATAAAGTTGGCTGGTAAAAATTTCACACTCTCTGCTCGGCTTGATTTATGACGAGCCGCGGTTCACGCATGGAAACTTGCTTTTTGCATTGGCTGCCAGTGGCTGCCTAACTGTGTCGCGGAACTGCACCTGTGATTGATTTCTGGGCTGCAAGCGAGTTTAATTACACATGAGAGCGCGAGAGTGGGCGAAGTCTACGAGTCTTCTCTTTGCTAGCTACAGCGCAACTTGAGCTAAGAGAGCTTATGGTGCTCTTAGCCAAAGCTTATGTCGCTCTCTTAAATGCCCGCTAGACCTAGCTATACGCCCCGCCCACTAAGTGAAGTGAACAGTTGAGCGCGTTATTCCACCTGTTTCCCCTTCTGAGGCGCCCCTCGCTCAACTCTATGCGAATCTCAACCATTTTGTCTATGCAAATTTGCGAAAGTGCCAAAAAATGGGCGCTTACAAATTTTTGCCACGTTTTTATAAATATTTATGATCAACGCGCTGACTCATGCCGCTTGAGTCAATTGCTGTGTGGTCCGGATACTTAAGTCGTCATTAAGTCGTTTAAATAGAGATTTCCAGCAGCTTAACTAGCCGGGCTCACAATTAAAAATCATTTGCATAGGCCGATAATGAAGGTCGGAGCCACAATAAAGCGAAGCATTAAAAGAAACTAAACAGATTCGTCCGAAGGGCAACAAAGCAAATGAGATTGGCCCAAACAAGATCCTGATAAGGAACCAATCGCAATCGTCCACGGCAATCGAAGAAACTGTGGGGCAGTCGCAGCTGCCACCGGCGATGCGACGTTTTTGACCGGCAACAACTTTGTTGCCTTCAAGTTGTTGAACTTAACGCGAAATCTTGTTGGCCTGCGCCTGGGAAATTGACAGAGAAACAACAACAAAAACCACATCAAGTAAGAGTGCTACAGTTGAGCTTAGCCGATCGTGTGATGCACTGCACCGCCCAATGATAAACTAATCCGAACTGTCTTGCCTGTGTTTATGAGAGCCCAAAAGTCAAATGTGATATCTCGAACTCTTAAAGTCTACAAGTTCTATAAAAAAGATGCTAAAAATCGATATTTATCGACAATGAGCTATTTCGGTTTATACTGAACTGGAATACATAATTCAAATCTCTAGTTTCTAGTTCTTGAGATATACCAGATCTTGAAGATCTCTGAGTTGCCTTCTCCTGCTCCTGTTACATACCTTCGCACCAAAGCAAAGCACCCTTTTTATAAGGCATAGCAACAGCAGCATCAGCTTCGAGCAACAAACGTCAGAGCATTTCCTCAGCGCTACAAAGTCAATGTCTGGGAATGCTGCGACGGATGCGCAGGAGGAGTTGACTCTGTCAGTTGGAGTTGAGCTGTGGCTGAGCTCTGTCTGTCTGCCTGTATGTATGTATGTACATATGTATATGCAGCCTGCTGGAAGGAGTTGATGGCCAGCGAACGATCTGCGGTTATCTGATTTTAATTAAACGGCATCGCATAATAAATTATCTTCATTAGGGTGCTCTGAAGACCAACTGAAGCTGAGCGGAACGCACTGCCGAATTTCTTTCAGTGTCCGTATTCCCCCCTTTAACTAGGCTCAGGTCATAAATCAAATGACCATAGCCATGTTGTCGTGTTTGTCGCGTTCAGTGCGTGTGTTCTTTCAGTCTCTCGCTCTCACTCTCTCATGTTCATTAATGAAAAACCGGATCGGATGTCAAACAGAATCTGCGAATCATTCGACGGCTGTGCGCCGTTGACAGTTGGAAAAGCACCGCAGCGCGAGCAGGAAAAATCAACACATGCTTAGATAATCATATTAAAAGAAAAAGAAACAAAAACACTCTGAATTATTTTCTTATCAAGCACAACTGACTGCGTAATACTCTGCCGTTCTAATTTGGTACTTAACATCTGACTTTAACCTTTTTGGTCTTGACTTTGATAGTCTTGATATTACAGCAGCATTCAAGTTTTATTGAAACATGTTCAATTATTTTTCTTTAATTTCTTAAATATTTTCTTTTCAGCTAAATATCAAGTATACGCCTGTACTAATTTTTGACAAACTTTCAAGTAGATAATAGCCGAAATCAACTTAATTATAATCATCAATGCAACGCGAATGATTTTGACTTTGGCATAAAACCTGGGCTGGACTGCTGCATATCCAGTCGTTCATTCGAAAAGAATTGTTCCGTAACCACAAATGGACGCAATGTTCATTGCCACCGGCATTATCAGGCTGTCCGCCGGACCATTCAGTGTAGGGCAATGGCATTCCGCTTGTTACTGATAAGAATTTACGGTTTTGGACCAGATCGTTGCCGGATGTCCATAGCCAGGTGTTTCCATAACCCTGGCTGATCAGATAATTCGAAATACTCTGCATCTCCGAGGCCGATTCGATCAAGGCCAAATCTCCGCCCAGCCTTCGGCAAATGTGGATTGCGTTAAACCAGGATACATTTGTGTGCCATATAAAGTAGTACTTGGTGTTTACCTTAAAGTACGTCTGTTGTGAATTGCCATCGCAGGTTACTGAAGCAATAAATACATTTAAATTGAAAAGAAACTGTATGGATAGTATGTAGGTATATCATTTACCTGATAATGTGTCGCCGGCTGAACATAGGTACAATGTTGGACAAAGCAGCAGCGCGATTAAAAAAGAACCGCACTTAATCATTGTGCGCAGAATTCAGATTGAACATTCACAGATTTCTAATTGATAATGTTGCGAATTAGTGTAAGTGTTGGGAAACTCATTGGGGTGATTTTAATCGATTGTTTATGGCCGCTATTTCCTCATCTCGAAGAATTTGCGATATTCTACATGCAGAAGATTCATCGTGGTGTTATCGATGTCAATGGAAGATTTACCAAAATATTGAATCTTGGTGGTTAAAAATTATGTTGAATTAAATAATTTTGAGAAGAGGGTATACATATATGATTAATGGCAAGATCAGCTCTTACTTTTTGTTAGGGTATAGTAAATAAAACAAAATAAAATTCTGCATTGGAAGTGGATCACAAACCGGTTGCAACTTGGCCTGGTCAATTGATTGACGAGCTGCGTGCCGTAAATGTGCAGACAGAGGAGGCACACACACAGACACACATATACAGAAGCACACAGGTGCGTTTGTCTGGCAGGAGGTATCTCCAATAAGCTGCAAAGGAAGCGCATGTATATGTCCATGTTGTCGTTGTTCTGCTCGCGCTCGCTCTTAATGATCTCTAAATCAAATTCTATGAAGTCGAATTAGCATCGAGCGTAGCCACAGAATAATGTTTCAATTATATGTAAGTTACGCTGGGCTGTAGCTGTAGCTGTAGCTGATAAGAATTATGAATAATCGTGCTCATTAATCAATCGTTAATCTTCATGCATGTGCCGACCTATACAACTACTCAAATATATGTATATATATATGAATAGGTATGCACATACAGATTATAGAAACCATTTTCAAAAAGCCGCAATCTCTAATTTATTACTTTTGTAGCATTTTGCTAATGAAGACATAAAAACGGCAATCAAATTAAATATTTTTTTTCATGGGAACCGAATGTAAACGAATCTCCGTTAGTCATCGTCATTGTTTTGGCCACAGACTTGTATTTCTATTTATTTTTTTATCCACGCATCATGGCCTTGTCTGAGCGCCTAAAGTGGAACTAAAGTGTTTGGCGCCCCGGCACCGGGACTACCCCCAATATGCCTAAATAACCAAAGCGCACAAGAAACGAGAACAAATCTAAAAGGAAAGCAAGCGAGAGAGCATTACAGTTGCGTGTACGCGACTATTTAATACTCGCCTACGGATCAACTTAATGAATTCTGATTTTCTTCAACTCTAATGGGCTTCAAACTTTTTAGCTTCACAAATATACTCTGCTCTCGTTGTGAACGAGCATCAACAAAATACGTTATGAAATCCAATTTGAATCTTTTGTTTCAGCTCCGCATTTGTTGATTGGAAAAAGTGTGAGACATTAAAAACGAACAATTTGATGCTTTGATTAATATACACAGCGGCCAAAGATCTTTATTTATAAAGTTCAACAAAAATTAGTTGCGCTCCGCTTACAAATTTTAAGACTACTTTTTAATTGGAATGTATATATATTTCTTAATGCTCGTTCACAAAGTGAAAATATTATATTGTAGTCTGTATATATTTTTTTATATTTACTTAAAACAATCGATTAAAATGTAATTTTTATATCTTTTGATCAGTTCTGGTGTTTGATCAACCTAATGAAGAGCTTAAAATATAAATACTCTAAGCATTCAGTATTGGCTAGATAAACGAGAGCGGAGCTATGAAGACTGCAAAATATAATTTTGTTACTGTGCAAGTTTGGCTTCTTCTAAATTTGAGCTACAATGTAAGTTTTTTACTTTTATTAATACATATATATAAATATTAATATCTTTTGTGCTCTAGAATGCAGCTGAGTTTCGGTTTACCAATGTCGTCTGCAAGTCGTACAATGAATCGTGGATTGTGTTTAACACTTGTCGCATCAGGACAGTGGATCGGAGAAATGTTATTGATGTTTATTCTACGATACTGCAGCCGGTATATGTGTTTCATTTTGAATCACAGTTTTCTATGAATGTGAATGGGTACAAGCCACGGCCTTATACACTCACCATCGATGTCTGTCGCTTCCTAAGGAAGCCATACCATCCTCTTGGAATACTTATTTTTAACCTGTTTAAGAACTTTTCCAATCTTAACCATACCTGTCCCTATGTGGTAAGAACCTTTCTCAATATTTTATAATTTTAATATTTTGATTTTATATTTTATATATATATTTAGGGTGATGTTATTATAGATGGACTTTACATTGATTATGAAAAGATAGTAGTGCCCGTAGCACCTGGTGAATATCTTATTGAATTTAATATCTTGTTTAATAAGAAACTTCAATCATCTTTAAAATATTTCTTTGAAATTATGAAATAACTTGATATATTTTCGATTAATACTAATTTTAAATAAATATGCAAAGTTATTATATACAAAATGTAAACTTGAAATTTGGAAAACTTGAATCTATCCTCCACTGATCGAAGAAGTAGTAGATGCAGTTGGTGTATTCAGAATCGGTTTATTATGTTATGTTATAGTATGAGCAGTATAAACCTTAGCTAGTCACTTGAAAATTAAGTTCCAATAATATCTTAGTTATCGCAAGATACTATATTTTCCAAAGCTTTAGAGTTTGGATTACCTTTTCTATGGATCAACCAATTAATTAGTTTTCAGCTTTCGTATGGTACGATACAAATTCATAACTTTTCTTAAAGATATTGCTTATCTTTTAGAGAGACAGACTGAAGTTTATAGTGGCTATAATAGTCACATAGCTTAAGGAAAGTTTACATTTCAGTTGGCTTTCGCAATCCTTCCGGATTAGTGGAAGTGTGGAACAGCCGTGAGCAGTTTGGTTGAGTTGTTGTCTTTGCTCGTCGGACTCATGGCTTGTAAGCGTCGTTGCCCTTTCCAATTTATAACCAAAAGCCCAAAAAACTTTTCACCAGCAATAAAAAATTGGCGTACACGAGATGCGAACACGCCCCCTTCATTTGAAGCAGCTTCCTCATTTCACATGGCCTTTTCCGTGGCCCCGCGATTGTGTGTTCGCATTTAGCGGCATAAACCCAAATTAAATTGTCGAATTAAGGCAACATTTTTAACAGCTGAGAGAGTAAAATACATAAAAACTCAAATTGAAACATACACAATAAAATGTAAATCCGCGAGGCTGCCAGCTGAAATAATCAACGACTTCCAACTGACTCTAAATGATGTAAAGCCCGCATTTATTGGACCAAAGCCGGGCCAAGCACAATTACGAGCTGGGCTCACTGGCTGGCCGGTTGGTTGGCTTTAGCTTTTCGGGCGATCAAGAGGAACACAAATTGTTGTTGCCACAAATTATATGGTGTGGCAGGGATCCAAAGTTTTGCGAATTATGCTTCATGGCGCGGCTTAAGTAAAATATGAATTACGCATGGGCCAAGGCAGCGGCAAGAAATTAAGTTAAAAATAAAACTCAACTTGAGGACCCAACTCGAAAGACAACAAAAACATGCAGCTACAACTACTGTAGGTAAACAAAAAAGCAGCATAAAAAAAACAGGCCGGCAGCAACAAAAACAATAACAGCGAACAGCATCAAAAATTTACAAGTCACTCACACACACACGCGCTAAATGTGTGTGTGTGTGTGTGCAAGGGGCAGGGCTGGCGAGTCAAGCTCTGAAAAAATCAAATTAAAGTACGTACAGGTTGAGCCGAGGTTGTTGTTGTTGTTGCTGTTGCGTTCCAAAAGTCCAACAAAGTCCAAGAACCGGAGCATATAGTCAGCACATAAAACACACGCGCGCACACACACACACACATACATACACAGCCTGACTTAGAGCACAGTTTGTGGCATAATCCAAGCAGCACCTAAAAAAAAAACAAGTAAGAATGTTGCAGTTGGTTGTCATTGACTTCGCAATGCTCGTTCACGCTCGGAACAAAAAAAAATTTTTGTGAAATCAAAAATTTCGGATTCGAAAAGTGAGTTATTCATGTTAGATTATGATTTTCTTTCTGTACAAAAGTCTTTAACTTCAGTTGACCTTTGAACAGAGGAAGCGATCACAAAACTAATATTCTCTCTTCAGCTCGAGAAGTAGCATATTAACAGAAGAGCAGAGAACCCATGCTCCAGCAAAACATTTGTGAGCCGAGCAAATAACACTTTATTTCATTCATTTAACAGGTTTCATTTATGAGCAGCAGCAGCAGCAGCAACGGCAGCATCAACAGAGCAGCTCGTCAATTCGTCCGTCAGTCAGTTCGTCCGTCAGTCAGTTAGACAATGGTCAGGCAACGTGGCTGCAGTCAGTCGGAGTCAGAGGTGGAGTTAGGCCCCGAGTAGGTAATGTTCCCACGAAACAGGTTGTTGCTGCCTCGACTTTGGCTGCTGTGGTCCTGCGCTCAAGTGTTGCGCCGAGAGCTATGGGCCAGGTACTGGCTGCAACTATGGCTTGGCTTTTTACAGCTAGGCTGGCTGCATTTGGCCAGGGGCAAGGCAAGGTAACGTAAGGCAAGGCAGTGGCTACCACATCCAGCGGACTTCAAATCAAAATCTCTGCACAATTATGGGCTACACATCTGGACAAGAAGTTGTGTGTATGTGTGTGTGTGAGTGTGTGTGAGTGGTATGCATGCACCTCGTGCTGCTCATAAATATTTAACGAGTTGCATTCGTAGCTGGCCATAGTTCGCTGTCCCAGACTGTGGCCATTGTCTGCGAGCATTTGGCATTAGACGCCTCATGAGCGGCCAATTAGTGTTGCATTACATTTGCCACTACTCATTGGCAACTTGCAACGTTTTGTATCTTAATGGCTGCAACAATTCTCATTTTAGCTAGATAAATGCGCATCTTTACGTCCATTCAAAAAAGTCATCAAAATCCATTTCATTTATCGGTTCGTCGCTTTGCCTAAACACAATTTTCAACGTATAAATTGTGAAATTAACTCTCGATGAATCGACAAATATATCTATTGCGAGTACAATTTAATGCTTTTAAATAGTTATAAATCAAAATGAATGCGGTTTATCATATAGATACTTACTCTCCCGCCCTCTCTCTCTCTCTTTCTCTCTGTGTGTAAACAAAATTTGTATATGTAAAGTGTGCTGTACATGGAAAATAGATTTGTCTTTATAGAGAG